AAAAATAATTAAATAAAGTATAAACATTATATATGCTCAGAAAAAATTAAAATTATAAAAAGTAACTCAGCACCATTCTTAATAGTATTTAAGTATAAATAATTGAAAATAAATAAATACACACAAATAAATTAATTAAATCTAAATGTAATATAATAAACAAAATAAGTTGAAGAAAATAAAATTTATAAAACAGACAGATATTTAATTTTGAATAAAATTGTCATTGCCTTTTAAGGCAATTTGGATTGCCCAAAAAGTCTAAACTTAATTACCTTGGTAAAAGTAATCGGTATTTCAGGAGAGAAATGAAGAACTGGTGCAAGATGGCGAAATTGTCCACAATGCTCTTGTATTGTAGCTACAGCTCTCCTTACTTGTGCTCCAGATGAAACAAGCCTTGCATCGTCGCAACCAAGAGCACTTTCACACAAGACAACAGTTGATACCACCTAGGAAACGAATTGAACTGTTCTAAAAACAATACTCAAAATATAAATAAGTTGGAAATTAAAAACTGTTATTATCTTAAAATAATATATTTAACATATTCCTTTCCCATTTTCTCTTCTCATATATTTTTATTATTTCTGGATCAGAATTCGGGATTAGCCAGCAAAACTTCAAGAGAAACCAACAATATTAATTTGCATTACTTAGTTTTTGCATAATTCAATCAGCTGTCACTAATATATTATTCTTAATATTGTAATAATTTTATTTGATCAACAATTGTAATTAAATAAAGAATTTAAAGAAAATAATTTAATTAAATTATGAAGTATATATATTTACCTGGGCTAATCTTTGAGCTAAGTCAGCCCTTGTACTGGATAGTGCTGCAAGTCTTTCACGAGCATGGGCTTCAACAGACGCTCTAGCTGCAGATTCTTGTCCAGCAAGCCTCCCACGGAGTTCTTCGAAATGAGCAGCGACTCTTCCAATAGCAGATTCTAATCCACCTTCCATTCCAGTGACTGATTCTTCTGCACATCAATAGAAAAATAAATAAGATTTTAGTGAATTGTTACTGGCATGTTGGTTACAAGAAAAACTCCATAAGTATTCCTAGAATCTAACTCTAGCCCGCATTGCGGGATGTAATCAGTAATGCAAGCACTATATCATGTATATTAGATGGAAAGTTTACAAATAAAGATAATAGGAATAAAAAAAGTCAACTAATATTCAAACATATAAATGATTTAAATAATAGATCTTTCTTCTTCTATTGGTACAACAGAAGCATACAGCTATCCTCAACCAGCCTTCCCCACTGTGCTCTGCTTTCTGGCATGGTGATACTTATTCCAGCTTTCAGATGTGACAGCTTACATTATCCCATCTAGTTTTTGGTCTTCCTCTCAAGCGCACTCCATCTGGATCATGCATGTATAGCCGTTTGCCTGCTCTTGTTTCATCCATCATATGCACATGCTGCAGCCATTTAAGACATTGAACTTTTATAAACATGAACGCTGCTAGTTCCTGATATTTCCTTGTTTGTCCTTATTCTCCATATTTCTGATTCTTGAACTGGTCCGAAGATCCGTCTAAGGACTTTTCTTTCAAATCTTAATCTTTTCAGCAACAGTATTGTTAAACGTACAGTCTAATCTTAGCAGTCCGGCACAGCAATTTACTTCTGAATAGCTTAATCAGAGCAAAGTATGCTTTATTTCCTGCAACTTGCTCTTATCTCCTCATTTTTATCTTCACTGATAAGAACCCCAAGGTAGCTGAAATTGTTGACCACTTCTAAGATGTAGTCTCTGACAACACATGTACTTCGAGGGTGCATGGGTTTCTTTCTCCTTAGTTCTATTACTTTGATTTCCCCCTCATTGACTCTGAGACCCACACGCCGCGACTCTGGATCAAGCTTGATAAATTCACCTCTGGCGCTAGCCAGAGATCTTCCAGTAACCACATCATTTGCATATGCCAGGACCTGGGTTATCTTAGTGTATGTGGTTCCTACTGGGTCTAGCTCAACTCGCTTCACAAATAGTTTGGAGGGCAATATTAAATAAAAGGGGGGCTTCTGGGTCTCCTTGATTCAATCTATTCTTTACTTCAAATGGCTCTAAGGGTTTACTCGGGATTTTAACTCGGCATTCGTTCCGAACCATGGTGCACCTGGTCAGCCTGATGAGCTTATCTGGTATCTCAAAGTCTCTCAGAGCCATAAACAAAATACTTCTGTAGATAGTGTCATGTGCTGCTTCAAAATCCGAAAACAGTATCCATAAAGGCCTTCAAAATTCTCTTACTTTCTCAGAGATCTGCATAATAGAGAAAATATGGTCTATCGTGGATCTGTTGTGTCGGAATCCTCCTTTTTAGTCTCCAAGTACCATTTCTGCATATGTGACTATTCATTTATATAACACAACGGAAAATACCTAATGTGCAATAGTGAGTAACGTGATTCACCTGTGATTCTTACATTGAATGATATCCCCTTACTGCATTGACCCGTCTTATATCCTCAGCCTATTTACGATTTAAGAGCTTCTAAAATGTTTTTCTCATTGATCTTGCATTTGTCCCTTGACCAATAGCTCTCCCTTATTATCTTTGATTGTTGTTGTATTTTGGGCCCTATACATTTTCCTTGTTTTGTTATTTTTTCTGGAAGATTCAATTTCCTCTACTTTCTTTAGCAAGGCTTTTCGCTTTTTCATTCTTATAATTTTTTTGGCATAGGCTCTTGCATCTCTATATTTTTTGTGGCTTTGCCAGTTACTCCTTTTTAGAAATTGCAACCTTTTCATGTTCGGCTCCTTAATAGCTACCTCACATTCTTTTTGGACTTCTTTCTGTGCTTTATGGAGAGATTTCTTTTGTTGCATTAGAAACAGCTGCTTTAATATCATGCCATTTTGTTTCGATTGAACTTGCCTCGTCTATCACACTGGGGATACTTTGTAAGAGTTCATTTACCGTTTGCTGGTATTTTGTGCATGTTTTCTCATTTCTTAGTAGACCAGGCTTCCATGCCTGCGCTTTTTCTCTTCTACTCCTTAGTTTTACCTCTATTATAATGCCCTGCTTCAAGTTCATAATAATGATGTAGTGATCAGAGTTTATATCTAATCCTCTATATGAACATCATTAACACTATTGAAATGACGATTAGATATCAGAATATGATCGATCTAGTTGCTAATACTTACATCTGGGGAATACCAGGTTTGCTTGTGAACGGTTTTATGAGGAAAAAATATGAAAATTATAGTGACGTTTCGGGATACAGAAAATTTCTCCATTCTCATTTCATTGGCTGTGCAAACTGTGATCGCCAACGGTGGGTTTAAACTACACTTCTCTTTCAATTTGTGCGTTGAAGTCTCTGAGAACTATCTTCAAGTCATTTGACAGTATGCTATCATATACCTACTGCAGATCTTGATAGTAGGTGTCCTTTAATTTTGGTGCCTTCTCCTCTGTTGGTGCATGCATATTCAAAATGGAGATATGTTGTCCTTTGACTTTAAGGAAACTTACTTGGGAGCTGATGGCTCAGAAGATGAACACTGCTGGTTGAAGCCGACTAGAAATTAGGAATACTGTTCCAAACTCATGCTTTTGTGCACTGCCACTTTTTTTTTTTTTTGGATCCTCCCCTACCTCCCCTTTAAGGCTATACGGGGTTCTCCCGGGCCAGGGAGTGTGGGTGAGGATTTAAAAGACTTCCCCGGCACCGGGATGCGAACTCGTAACTATTTTTCATCATTGTCTCATATGTCAGGTTGCCAGGCAACGGCGGTGCTGTGCACACTCGTTAGCCCATTCGGCCACCTTGCCCACTTGTGCACTGCCACTATATAGTATGCTGTAGTCACACTTCTTAATTCTTCCTTTGCCCAACCACTTCACCTCTTGCACAGCCACTATATCCAGGGCACCCTTCTTGGCTCTGATCTCAGTTCATGAAGTGTACCAGGCCTATTGAGTGATTTAACATTCCAAGTTCCAATTTTCTAAATCCGATTCTGTAAGCCAGGTCGTTGTTGCAAATCAGCCCAGTTGTTGAATTTTTGCATGTTCATAACACAGGGCTTTTTATAGGTGGGGGTTGTCAGTCCTACTCACCAACCCTCCTGCTTTATCCGGACTTGGAACCAGCAGTGGTGTCTAACAAGCTAACTACACCGGCACAGTTCTTAAATAATATATATTCAACATTAAACAACGTATAATCAATTTATAGATAAAACTATTTCCTTTAGTAATACATACTTGAGTAAAAACAATTATTAGATCTTTATTATAGTAGTTATTGCAAAGTTATAATAACATCACACAAATTATAGACCAAGACGCAGTCATTATAAAGTTTTTATTAGTGCTGACGTTTCAACCCAAACATGTGGTTCATCATGAGGGCATGGTTCAAGCACTGAAGGTATACAAGTTCAATTGAGTACTTAAATACATTCAGTGCTCGAACCATGCCCTGATGATGACCCACATGTTTGGGTTGAAATGTCGGCACTAATAAAAATTTTATAATGACTACGTCCTGAATATTTATCATCCAAAATTATAGAACAAGCTTTAATAATGAAATATTATATTAAAATATATAAGGAATATTATATTTAAATTAAATAAAAAGTTGATGATTTCTAATACAGTATCTGGATTTCATTTTCTGCTGAAAAACAATATTTAACAATATTAATATTGATACTAACTTAAAAAAATAAATTAATTTTTTTGTTTAATTCATACCTAATCTGTGAACAGTTGTGTTCATTTGTTCGAGCAGTTGTTGAGAAGTCTGTAATGCAGCAAGCACCATTGCTCGTAATCTTTCAGCTTCAACTTCAACCTGAGAATCCTATCAATATGAAATGCTATATTGAAAAGGAAACTAAGCTATTCTAATTTTAAAAATTTGTGTTATTAATTGAATGAGCAATGAATTTTTTCACTGTATTTATTATAGTGAATTTATTTCAAAGAAAACCTGAAAATTATAATTAGGAATTATGATGTACCACCAATGCAATTATTATCAGTTATTTATTCAGGTTTTAATTATAATGGAAGTTATAAACTTTTCTTTCAATTACGCTTACATAAAATATATGGTGATTTATAGTAAGGAAAAAATAGTTTTCATTACAAGCGAAATTAAAACTACTGCAACAGCTGTTATGAAAATAATGTTAGGCACCTTACCATTGCAGCTGAAGGTTGAAGCACAGGCCTTAAGAATTATCAATAGGCTTGCCAATGTAAACACTTGTTCTAAAGTCATTACTCAAGATGGACATTAGAAATGAGATTGATATAGAAAATCGTGATGATGCTTGCCAAGCCTTCTGAAACTCAAATCCAAGAATATCTTGAAACCAGGTATTGGATGTCAATATTGACACAACCAAGCAGCATAGACTAAACAATGGCATAAACAGCTAAATAGACAACTTTCTCATAGCCAGTGACTCAGAACCTGGCATGGAGTAAAAATAGATATAATGAAGGAATATCTTTAGCCAAATACAATTCAATATTTCAGTTGGATGTTCTGGCAATTTGTCATTGCGTTTTCACACTGTCCAATGAGAGGCTGAGACACAAATTATTAACGATTTACAGTGAAAAGCAGGCAGCAATAGCAGGACGCAGAAACTTTCTTACAAGATTGCATTACAATTCTAAACAACCTTGCTTTGCATTTCATAAACATTGATTGATTATCAGGACACTATTAAATCTGAAGTAACAATAAAGTTGATAAACTAGCAAAGAAAGATTCTGAAAATATCCTCATTAACTACGAATCAGTTTGTGGTGTATTCATCAACTTTACTAAAAGGAGCATCGAGGAAATTTATGGTACCATAGCAAAACAACACTGGGATAACAGGGAACAGCTTCACTTTAAGTGGATCATTAACGGTCTCTTACCCAGTCGAAGTAATCTTTTATTTCAACAGGGCATCTCTAAGCCAAATTAAAACATCATACAGTAAACTGTATATATAATTTACAACTCTGATTTTCAACATTTCTAAATATTAATGAGTTATGGACTTTCAAATAGCAAGAATCTGAACTATCTAACATTGATGAAAAAATACATAATGTGTCATTGATTGTAGTGTAAACTCTTTTCTAACAGAGAAGTGATGCAAACCTATTTACCTAATCTACATAGCTGTAGCTACTTTGGAAGAAAACCAGCACAACTTAAAACTTGCCCATTTTTCAGTTTTGCGTAATCATATCCAACAAGATGCCAGTGATTATGAAAAAGTTAAAAAACCTTAAATATTTAAGAGAAGAATGGTTGGGGTGATCTGTCAAGTAAAAAATGACAATAATAAATAATGATATTAATTTTTACATTTGCCGACGTTTTGGCCCGAAGTTCAGGCCTTCATCAGGGCTGAGAAAATAAATCTATTTATTGAATAATAATACAATCAGCCACTGCTGGAGGGCTATAAGCATTAGGGCTAAAAGTTCTATACAAATAATAAAGAAATAAATATAAATATAAGAAGTAAATAAATAATACTGATGAAGAAGGTAAATAAAAATAAAAAATAAAAATAAACAAATAAAATAAAATAAAAACTTCTAAACACAATCATAACTATATACAATATATACATTCGCCCAAGAATCTCCGAGCCAGGCTTTTCCCCCCACACGCGGAAGGCAAAGCAAGACTCCGGAAGATCCCAGTGCCACTTTTCCAGCCGCATCACTAGTATTAGAAGCCAATGGAGACTGAAAGAGGGCACTACAGCCACAGACGCTCAGGACATGAGTGGAGAAGCTGGCCATTGCCAGGACTCCAAAGGCATATTTACAAAAGATCTCGAGGTCACTGCCGTTTCAAGCTTCGAGGGGGATGGTATGAATGCTCGGAGCTGGATAAGGATTGCGCTAGAGGATTGGGATGATGAATGAGGTTCTGGTGAAAGTTGGAGAATCTGGATGGGATGATGTCATGGACATATGGGATGTTAAGGTCATGGTGTAGGGTCTTGTTCGTGACATAATATGGAGCATTGACTATTGTTCGAAGGACTTTGGACTGGAAGGATTGGATGCGTTTGATATTCGATGATTTAGTTGTCCCCCACAGTTCAAGTCCGTAGGTCCAGATAGGTTTCAGTATGGTCTTGTAGATTAATAATTTGTTTTCTGTTGAGAGATGAGATGTTCTGTTCAGTAGTCTATATAGCTGACCAAATCGTCGGTTAAGCTCTTGTCTTTTAAGTCTCGTATGTGGGTTCCAAGTCAGTCTTTTGTCCAGAAGGAAGCCAAGGTATCGGACTGTATCTGAGTAGGGAAGAGGAATTGAATTAAAAAGGATTGACAGACAGGATCTGCGTTGAAGAGTGAAAGTTACATGTTTGCATTTTGATTCATTAATTTTGATGCGCCAGTTGTTGCACCACTGCTCAATGAAGGAGAGGTGTCTTTGCAGGTTCCGGGACGCTATTAGAGGATCCGAGTGGGAGGATAGGATGGCAGTATCATCAGCAAATGTTGCTAGGAAGGTATCAGGACTTGAAGGGATGTCAGCGGTGAAAAGGATATAGAGAACTGGGCCCAAGACACTGCCTTGTGGAACACCAGCCTCAATTGGATAATGTTTAGAGAGTTCAGTGCCGCAGCGGACTTGAAAGGAGCGATTTGAAAGGTAAGATTTGATGACTAGGTACAAGGATTGAGGTAAATGGGTTTTGAGCTTGAAAAGCAAGCCATCGTGCCACACCCGATCGAAAGCAGGGCTGAGAAAAGAACCAGATAATAATAGGTATGAGAAACATAAACAATGTAGGTACAAAAACTTAAAAGTAAAATGCAGTAGATAAGTGAACATTAAAGTAAAATAAAGAAGGTAGAATAATAACCATAACAGAGAACTAAGAAATAAATAATAATAACGGCTAAAAAGTGTGGACTAATGAAGTAAACATAATCAAAATAAGGTAACATGTAAAAATAAATATTATTCTTTATTTTTGAAATTTTTTATTTGACTGATTACCCCAACCATCCTTCTCTTCAATTATTCACTACAGTCAACCACCAACCCGCAATCTTAAATATTTAAGTTGAGTCAGTTAACCTTCTTCGCCTCCCTCTCAGAAGCTACATCATTTGTGTAGTAAAAATTTGTGAATTCCAACAATTTTTGTTTAAAAAATCATTAATTCGTTTCAAACATACAAATTAATGCAGTATAATCTTTGAAAAATTAAATAAATATATCCATATTTTAAAAAAAAAAAATAGAATAACAGGCATAAAAACCCATAAATTTGCATTTATGAACCTATTCAAAGCAGTGATAAATAAGAAGATTTAAAAATTATTCAAGTATTAGTTCATATACTATGTACAAATTTCATTCCATTTATAATTAATTATTTACCACTGACTCTTTATTGTAAATAATGGCTTAAATATGAAACAAAAATATTTATGAACATGCATTTACATACAGGTCTACATTGAGAGGCATGGGCTGAATGGGAGCATGCAGAACAAAGTTGAGAGCGACAAGCAAAACAGTAGACTGCACCTTCACTATGACACGTCTAAAAATACAAAAACACAATTAATTCACTGAATATTTTTAATATTCTAATGAGTGAAACTTGAAAATATTAAACACTTAAAACATACTTCATTTCCAGCAGAAGAAATTTGTTTTTCTGGGAGGTTAGACTCTTTATCAGCTTGTTCCAATTTCTCCAAAAGCTCAAGGAGTGCAAAGTTTTTTTTGAGACCCCATACACTATTTTCACCTGAACAATAAGTATAGTTAAAACCAAATTAAACTTAGTTACCAATGAATGAAAGTATGGGCAGAATACAAACCAACAGGAGTTGGTTGTCGATCAAATGGGCAAAGAATTGTTTCATCTTTCAAAGGAAGGCGCAGAAGACAAGCATGACATACTGTGTGTCCACAATACAACAATCTTGGTACTCTTTCACCCTGAACAGTGAACACATCTTCACAAACTCGACACTCAAGGACCTAATTACAAAAATAATATATTTACTAATAAGTGAATAATATTCGTAATTTGAACTGTCTAGAAATTTTTGGTACAAACATTATTTTTTTGTGTTATTTTATTTTTTGTTGTATTCATAATTCTTATGAAAATATGTTAGGATAGTGTACGAATTTGCAGCATTAATAAATAAAACTTATAGAATTGTGTAGCCTCGGTTCCATTTTCATATTCAAATTAAATATAAGTTAAATAAATTAGCCTTTAAACTTTGACAGTTGAAGAAAATATTAAAAGGTTGAGTGTATTCTCCAACGAGGTCGAAAAATATAGTCCTACAGAAATAAATTAGTTTGTTCAAGTTAAACTATATGATAGCAGCGTAGTTATTCTTCTTGCTTATACTAATAGTTATTCTTCTTACTTATACTAATAGTTATTCTTCTTACTTATACTTCCTGTTAACGTATATACTTTTGTGGAAATGAATAACTCCTCCACAACGGACATTACTTAAAACTCTATGATAATTAAATTATATAATATAATTTCACGATATCACTCAAATCTTCTATTAATTTTTATACGACGATGATATATTACAAAAAGCCACTAAGTACAATTATAATTAGGCTATTTTCAACCCCGTTTTTCGGAATTTCGGTTTTATATATCGATATAAAAATACAGCAAGTGTCAAAAATTCTTTTATATATAAAAGTTAGACTAAGTATATCATGTTTTGATTTCATAGAGGGAAAATTCAATTAGGTACTTAGTGATTTAATTTTATTAAATGTCATTTATAACTTTTTGCAATAAACCTACGATATACGATATCTCTAAACGTTAAACAACTCGTATAACGTTATAAGATATAATATTCGTAAAAGAATGACAAGAACAGCTCTTATGTAGAAAATAATCGGCTCTAACTGGGGTGCAAATATGATAACACTGAGGTCATTATACACTGGCTACGTTAGGCTTTCGATGGAGTATAGAATAACCAGGTGTGGAAACGCTGCAGCCTTGAACCTCCAGAAGATCTCAACCACGCAAAATGTAGGGCTAAGGATTATGACAGGGGAAATGAAGTCTACACCAATTTAAAAAGTGGAAGCAATTACGAAGCTTCTCTCAATATAGGATAGTAGCGATATTAAACACTCAGATGCAGAAACCAAGTCCATTCCAAATCAACCTTCAAAAAACAGTGAGATAAAGGAATATATAAACAGACTGAATCCGCAAAGCATACTTCACAGAACTACAAAGCTGGTTTCTGAAACTTAGGAAAAACAAGTGCCTGTAGAACGTTTAACAACAGTAGAAGACAAAGCTCCTTGGTTTGAATCTCTGAAACCACAAATTGTTCTGTCCATCCCTGGTATCAAAAGCAAATAAAAACGGTGAGACTGGTATCCACTTTCAATTTTCTGGGAAGAATATTATTGAGAAGGCTGTTTCAAAGGGCATCACTTCTTCAAATTATTCAGCTGTGCATGAAGCTATATGTGAGGCATCAATGCTATTAAGGACACTAAAGACCTGAAAACTCAAAAATTGTGTTTCTTACTGATGCAGCCTCAATGTCGCAATGACTCAGGTTGATGTGGAGCAAAATCCTGGGAAAACGGATCAAAGGACCTTCCCCTTCCGAATTTAAAAAAAATATATATAAAATAGCAATATGTTTGGGTAGGTGGAGGATACTTTTGGGGGGGGGGGGAAGGAAAGGAAAAACCCTCCTTAAATTTTTTTTAATACAAAATTGTACAATTTTCAAAAAGTATTGTCAAAATACAAAAAGTATTTTATGCCATTTGACTGTTTCAAAGTTACTTTTTTAGTTTAAAACTTGATTTTTATACAAAATTTAATAACAATTTTTTTTTTTACAAAACTTTTTTTAAAAATATTAAATAATCAGAAAACAGGAAAAGAACCAATTCTAAACAAGAAACGCTTAAATATCTAGGAACACAATAAACATAAGAACACATATTTTTGGTGTCATATTAAATACTTGATGGTTAACAATCTTATATTTTTGAGGAAGGAGATGGTCTGGAGTGGCTGTCATAGAAAGACTAAAATAGTGAAAACGTAAATAGTGGAACCAAAGGTTGGCTTGAAATAAAATAGTTTCTCACCATTTTAATCTTTTTATGACCATCTCCTCCTCACAGACTTTATATTTTTTTTTCTCTTATTTTTTAATGCTATAGTCAAGACAATTAAAGTAATAAATAATAAATTAATCAATTTTAAGTTACTTATTTTACCTTCACTAGGTTCATCCTTGACCCCTGAAATTCCTTCAAATCTCCATATAAGCACTAATCCACTCACTATGAATTCCACATACCAGGACTGAAGATCGAACCCATCATTTGTAAAAATTATCCCAAGAATTCAAGGTTCAATTATTTATTTTATATAAGATTATAAAAAAAGGGATTAGCAGAGTGGTTAGCAAAGGGAACTTAGTGCATACCCTCTTAATTAGGGGAGGCATGCAAGTTGTAACATACTTGTAAGAACTAGCTAGTGAAAAAAAAAAAAAAGAAAAATAAGCAATACTCTTTTATATTATAAAATTATTCTTATTTAATACTATTAATAATATAAAAAAATGAAATATAGGGAAAACACAAATGAATGAGTGCCTTTAGCTTGATTTACTTATGTGAGTCTGAAGTCCAAGATGGACTTTGGCATCCGGAACAATTAGCCTCCATTCCACTTTATCCTGATTCTTTTATCCCAGTTCTTTAGAATAGAAGAGAAAAATAATTTTATTCTGGGACGAAGTCCCTTCAGAATAACAAAAAAGTACAGACGCAAATTTTCTGAGGTCCTCTTTCAGATCCTTTTACCAGCTATTCCTAGGGTATCTTCTCTTCCTCTTTTCTATTAGAAGTATTCTCTTGTGACCTTCACTTTCACCCTTTGTTCATTGGGTAACCTTTCAACATGTCCAAGTCAGCTTATTCTTCTTGACTTAATAAATCTTAAAAAATCCTTATGAATATTTATCCCATCCAGTTCCTGGTTATTCCTTATGCACCAGGCACCTTCTTCGTATATGGGACCAAAAATGCATCCCATTGCTTTCTCCTCTAAGACCCTATTGGTCCTTTGTTTTCAGTGTCCATGTTTTTGCACCATAGCAGCAAACTACTGGGCTGATAAGTGATACATATATATATATATATATATATATATATATATATATATATATATATATATATATATATATATATATATATATATATATATATATAATTTGGTGCATTTAGAGAGTGAAGTCGACCTCATCAAGATCACATGGACATAGTAGGCTTTATTGCCATTTATAATTATTTTCTTGATCTCATCACTGACCTTATTATCAGAGTTAATTTCAGTATGGAGGCATATGAAATTATCAACAGCTTCTAAAGTTTAATTGTTATACATAAGATTATCTATGTGGCCTTCTTCTTGCTTCGGAAGTTGTTCATATATTTTGTTTTTGGCACATTAATCTCAAGTCAAACTTTTTTACTTTCATGGTGCAGCTTGATGAGTTCTTCTCTTAACACTTCTACACTTCTTGCCAAGATAACAATGTCATCTACATAAACAAGAATCTGTTATGAACGGAATTCTCAAGTACCGTTTGAATCAATACATCCAATATGTAGCACTAGGTTAAAGAGGATTGCTGAGGGCATCTGCTAGTCTTACTTCAGAGGTAAACTCTATCTACAGTGATTATACTATTAATCTATAACAAAAACATTAGAGATAGGTAAGTAGATGACTGATCAATTATAAGGAGGAGACCAAATTGTCAGAAATTTCAGTCAAGAAATTTTTTTAGGTTAACTGACGTTTCGACCCACATGTTTGGGTCGAAACATCGGCTAAAGCAATAAAAATATCTTGACTGAAATTCCTGACAATTTTTTCTCATCCTTATAAAGAAAACAGTTCAAAATGGTCCCAAGTAGAAAATGGTTAAGGACTCATTCCTCAATACACCAATTATTGATATGGTGGTTAACAATGAGATGATGAAAAACAGGTATCATTAAATAAATATTAGAAATTATATATAATAAATAATTTAATTAAAAATTACAGCATATAAAATGGTGAGAGAGAACACTAAGTTATTCATCACAGCCTTTCAACAATTCTTCATTCTATGAGAACAATTCTGTATAATACTTTACATTACCAACAATGAGAGTTTCTTAAAATTACAGAATCATAAATTATCAATTATCTTTCCATGAGTTGAAACACTAATTTAATAGATCAAATTAATTTGAAATAGTGTAAGTTATAACAGCTGAGCGCGGATTGGGAGAACAGGATAATAGAATATTTTATTCAATAAGAGACTGAAGTCCAGGAAAACACTGATTTTTTAACAGTTCATTTCTTCTTTCTTCAATTTTTTTTGGGCACAGTTTTTGCAACGTTTGTATTACTTCCTTTAATATTTTGTCAACACAAAAATCAGTATAACGATTATGTTCAATACCAAGGTAAATTTTACAAATTAGAAGAAAGATATGATCAAAATGAGCATATATTCTTGGCCAACATACTTCTATAAAACATTTAAGAGCCTGAAATAAAAAATAAAAAAAAATTAAAAATAAGTTAAAGAGATGAATAGGTTAAAATTATTTCATGATACCAATAACAGTATTTCATCATATAAATGTCATACAAAATATAAATAATGCAGGCATTTTAACAAAATTCAGATTGTGGACTTAATGGAAACAATTTTTTTAAGTTTGCACAAATTTTTGTTTATAATTATCTTCGCTCCATTTACAATTCTAAGATGGATTTTGCAACACGATTTACTATCATACGTACCATTTTAGCAATTAGTGCCGCAGAAAACGAGGCGTTAACAGTAGAAACTATAATGTGATTTGAAATAAATGATCAAAATCAAGATGTGAAGATGCAGGCAAAGAAATATAAAATCTATACAAAATACATACCACACTTTTTGGCTATAGAACTTTGGTTTAGAAGGAGGGGAACTATCTGTCTTATAAGTAAGTTTTTGGAGAAGCTCAGCATTGGAAGCTACGAGGCATTGTAGAAGCTATTATTTCAGACTTATTGAGAATCCTTCATCACCACATATATTGATGAATAAAAAACTATAAACATTTTATATTGCTATATATTGAACATTATCTTTTAAAATTATTATGAGGTGCCAAAAATAAAGTTAAAATATGCTGACACCAAAGGCAGCGTTAAGGTGGGGATCAGGTACCTAAGGACAGAGAGCTGAGGGAGGCCTTTTCTTAACTGGTAACTAATAACGGGTCAAATAACTGGTTCTCTTTAAGATGTGGCCAGTTAAAATAATTTTTACACCAGCCGAAGTTAAAAACAAATCAAAACTATCCTTGCCCCTACTCTGAAAAGTTGTATAAAATCTCATGGATGAAAAAGTGCGAAATTTTATGACTTTTTTATGCCCCTGGGGGACTGAAGAGGTAGCTTGGCCTGTAAAGACTGGCGTAATTTCCTACAAAATGCATAGATTCGGGCATTAACACCTGATGATGCCTGAATAGGCGAAACATTGATGGTTTTGGTTTTCTTTGCTTGTATTTTGGAGACATAAGGCTGTGTGGTTTGGAATTTTTCCAAATTATAACTTAACATTTTATGTTCTGTCTCTTGATTAGTTTAGTTTGTTACTAATTTATATCAGTAGCTATAAAAATGTAAACTTTTTTTTTAACTTTCCGTCATAGATGAAAAATATTCTTTACTTAAATGAATCTTCATTGATCACTGAACAAACCTACTAAAATTAACAGCTGAACTCATAAAATAAATTTTAAATACCAAACATACATTTGAATTCTTACAACAAACCATTAAATTATAACATGCTTACTTCAAGACCTTCCACAGAAGAAGTAGGTTCTAAAACATATTCATCAATTACTTTTAACAAAGCAATTGAATGTAGCAACATGCCGAGCCCTCTAGCTCTAATGATGACAGGGAGCATTTTTACATAGGCACTTCTAATTTTAAGTCTTTGTTCCAACATCATATTATGCAAAATAGTATTTATAAGGGGATCAAACTCATTTACCTAAAATTAAGAACAATTTTTAATAAGAATTAATCTATAATGATAGGTAAATTAAACAAGAAAAAATAATGTGCAACAAAAGAATCTAGAACCCAACCCGATTTCAATACTTTCTGGAAGCTTCCAGAAAGTTATAGCCATATTAATCAGAAACAAAGTTTTTTTTTTTTAAATTCCAAAGTGACAAACCTGTAGTTCGGAGTTTATTATTTGAGGAAATTTCTTCTTAAGCAATGACATTAATACCAAAATTAAAGGTTCAATGAGGTTTTCATCTTTAAAAAATACTAGGGGCTCTAATGCCTTCAAAACAACTTCATCTTGAGCAAACCAACATAACTGGGTTCTTCCCTGAAACAATAAAAATAATGTATTTCAAAATTGTGAACATAAAAAAAAATAAAATAAAACACTATGGGTCAAAGTTACACTGCTAATTATATATCTTGATAGTATGAAAACTTAGAAAATTAATTTATCTTCTCAAGGGTATTTATAATACACTAAAAATAATTATTACTCGTTTTTTATGAAAAGATTAACCAGATACAATAACTCTGTTAATATTCCTTATTTGTCCCCCCTTTTTTTTTTTTTTAAATTTATCACAAAAAAACTTCAAAATAATTGTAGGGCAACAGTTTTTATTCACAAGAAGCTTTGTTACAAGATTCTAAATGACACCTGAAAGGTAGCCAATTCAATGGTGTACGCTTCACCCTTTTTAGGAAAATAAAGTATTGCAAATTACAACTCCGGTACCAGGAAAATCAGAGAATCCTTTTATATTTATATTCTAATGCTGAATTGAACAAATACAAAACGATATCAAAAGCACCAAAGGTAAAGTTAGGTAAAATTTGCACAAAATTGTTGTGTTGAAATTTTTACTGCAAAAATTTTAATAGCACAGTCAAAACATTGTACAGATAGGTTGTAGTTTCAACAATTTTATTTTGATTTATAAATGTAAATTAAGTCAACAATATATGAGTTGTTCACTTACTACGTTATTGATAATATGTTCTAAACTCTTCAGGCCGAGTGTTCTGTTTTCAGAAACAAAGTCATCTACAAGTATTAAAGCTGTTGGAAGAATGTTGTTCAAATGTTCAGCCAAATGTGGACTCTAAAAAATAAATAAATAAATGTATAAATAATATGAAATAAAAATATATTACTTTTGGGTCAAGATTTAAAAAAATATTATATATCTTTCTATAAAACTAAAAATGGTACCACTGTACAAATGTCACTCCACCTTATTCAGTGGGCCAAAATTCCTAATTTGTGGTATAAGTGAAACCCTGAGTGTTTGAAAGTAAATGTAAGTGACTGAACCATCCATTAAGGTTCCAAACTCAACTGAAAAGGTTATATTATAAAGGTTGTCGATCCTTGGCTATTCTCAGAACCCCATTTATACTATAAACAAGAGATCTTGGCTCACTGAACAAGCAGAGATGTTTGTTATGGTACCCGTTCATTAGCAACCATGAATGTGAATTTGGGGTGATGTACAAACAGTGCTACAATTGAAACAGTCTTAAAATTCATTTCACTATCTCAAATTCCAAAACTTCAATGACAGACAACATAGTCATACTCCACATTCTATATCCATGGAACGGTTGCCAATGGCCAGTTTAAGATATTTAAAATGGTCAACTCTTTCCATTAACTATATCAAAATATTTCTGTATTTTGCTTAACACGAATATTGATCTGTTTGAACATTATCTCCTCTCAATTCAATAATTCACAAATGTAAATACTATATAATGTTTCATAAACTGCTATGCGTTCAATAGTATAATAACTATATCTTCATCATTCAAGGTAACAAATAACAATAATTTATTGTTCTTACCTCAACTAGCTTTAACACCCAAGAATAACAAACTACAGCAGCTCCAAAACATTTCCAAGAATCCTTCAATAATTTAGGCCTAAGATCATTCAGAATATATCCAAATACAATACCATTAGAAGAGGTCAGGGCATCAGCAATATTAGTATAACCACATTCTTTCATTAACCTTTCCAATATCAATTTAGCTAATTCAAGGGATACATCAGTGGTCCATAAACTAGAAGAAGAATGCTCCCCACAAAGAATAATTGCTGAGGCAATACATTTCTGTTTTAGTTTATTACCAACAACTGGACAAGCAACTAAGTTGGGGCATGAAGAATATAATTCTTCAAACCTCTTATCACAACTGCTGATATAAGACTCATAATCTGACAAATCGGCTGGTCTCTCAAAACCACTTTCAAATTTTGGAACATACAATTCTTCAATTCCTTTCTTGATTGTAAGAAAAACAACTTCCTTATCATTATCACATATACCTTCACCGTTGTCCATATTTATACTGAAAATTCTAACATTTAAGCAAACCCATAATTAGTAAAACAAAATAAGCATATACAAAAAAAAAATTAAAATAGACCAGATATCAATATATCAAAGGATGTAAGTAAAGGCTCAACTACAAATTTATACACTCATTACGGATTGATCATCTAATGTTTTTAGAGGTAGATGTTATATTCTAGGACTGAACATGAAGTATTTATTTCAGATCAAATAAGATAACATTACCCCCTCTTTCAATATCCATCTTGAGTACCACTAACTATTTTAACCCAACGTGTGATTTTAAAAATTCAGGTGTTTTAATTTTATTGTTAACTCGCTTAGTGGCTCCATTTTCAAACACACAGTAGTTCCTCTTCCATTTGTGAACCTAATGTGTGAATACTCAGGGTTTCCTTCTAAATGATTTCTTCAGTTAGTGGATCATACTTCGATTGACGAATAGGTTATCTCATTTGAATTGATGCGGGGTATCATTAGCCATGAAGGCATTATTTTACCAACCAATGAAATTCTCGAGAAACGTGTGAATCTTTGTAGCATATTATGTACATTGAAGAGCACTTAAGAATCATATCCAGAGGAAAATGGTACTCGGCTGGATTAGATTTTGGTCCCTGAAGCATTTTATGAAATGAATATAGGTATTGATCTGAAAGGTATTCGACAGTTGCATTAGCAATTAGCTATGGATGCCAAGCTTGGTCATTGATTAAAGCTCAAGAGAGGAAGATCCAGGTGTAGCAGAACAGTATTGAAAGATGTATTATGAACTTCAGAAAAAGGGACAGTTTGAGAAATGCCAGTATCGAATAATAGCTCCTTACAAGGAAATACTAAGCATTTCTCTCGTTAAGAGGAGGAGATGGGAAACATGGTGGGATTTTAGGATTTTCTTGGTGATATTCCATTTGGAATTGTCATGAGCGGAGAGAGAGGTAAGGTAGGAGTTAAAGGATTGGGATCTGAAGGATTTTTAAACTCTGTTTATTGGTCAGTCGAGTTTCAGTAATGAGGGCTACGTCAACGTTCTTGTCTAGTAGTAGATCTGTTAGTTCGTCAGTGTGGTTTCTAAAACCATTCGCATTCTAAAGGAGAATGGATAAGGGTTCGATGGGATTCATTTAAGGATTTTTTAAAGGGAGGATGAGATGAGATACTAGATTTGTGAGGAGTGATATCAGTGGGGTAACAATGGATTTGAATTCAGTGAGGAAAGATGCCAACAGACTGGTAAGATTTTTGGCATGTGATGGTGGAGGAATATGAGGAATTTGATGTTGATGAGATTGATGAGGGTTTTGTTCATTAGGAGGGACAGGATGTTGACGTTTTGATTGGGGTCACTGATGCGGCAGGGCCTCACATTTATCAGTCTGGTCTCTACTCCCAAATAACTGAGAGAAGGAAACTTTAGGGTCCACTTTTTTAGCAGGTTCTCTTCTGGGTTGGGAAGTTTTTTCTTTGTTTCGAGATTTATAAAATTGATTTTTGATATTTGTATAGATCTCACAGCCCTTGTAGTTGGCAGGATGTACTTCCAGACATAGAGCACATACTGCGGGTGCCGATTTCGATTTCGTGTATTCACCGAACTTGTGTCTGTCCGCATTTCACGCATCTTGGTATGTGAAGCCTTGGTGTGACCAAATGCCTGACAGTTGTAGCACTGAACAATTTCTCTCTTAGTGTAAGTTTTTAAAATTTTATTTCCGTATATTTTATCCACTCCTGCTGAGCGTTTTAAGTCAACAAAAAGTAGAGGTAATGGTATCTTTCTATTTTCCCCTGAGTCATCTCTGTTGTCCTTTATTACATTGGTGACCTGTCTTACTTTAAATCCCATGGCCGTAAGTTCGTCTTGTATAGCTTCAACTGGTGTAGAGGGGTGTAAGTTACGGACCTCTACTCTCAGAGAGCGCTCCTGCCTGAACTTGTATGTGTGAAAATCTGCCTTTGTATTGGACAGATATTTAACTATTTGTCGATAAGCACCAGCTGTACTTGTGGATATTTTAGTATCGCTAGTGTGACTTAAGCAGGAGTAACTCCCAGCAATTATTTTATTTAGCTGTATGCACAACAATGAATCTTTTTTTATATTTTTAACGAAAATCGTAGGTCGAGGGTCTTGTAGTTATGGGTGCAAATTCCATCCACTCTTTTTCATTTTGAAGAATTTCAAAAGGATTAGGAGCAAAAAAAATGATTCAGTCTCTTGAGAAGTACCAGGCTGAGATTGAATGACTTCTGTTGTTACCGGGGTAGCTGGAGTCGCAGGTGGCGTCATTCTTTTCGCTTGCTTTTTTTGTTTCTCAGGAGACGAGCGCGGTGTGGATCCGACAGATCGACAACGCTTAGGGTTTTGTATATTAGTATTTTTGTTTAACTGTTAATGAACCCATTCTTGAAGCCACTAGCAGATCCAGGATTTCATTTTGGAGGGGGGGGGGCTGTTTCAGTAATTCTTGAAGTCCTATTAAATGTAATTACACGGACAATGATACTTAAAGAAATAATATTTTACTTTCACTTACCTACATATGAAATATATAGTGAGGCACAGTATTGCGATCGTCAAAATATTCGACTCTGAGTTTTCAACGGAAATATATGTTTTGAGGACTACTGAGTTCAAATAACCAAGTCCCTCAAGATGGTCTGTGTGTGTGTTAACAGTCTAGCTAAAAAACGAAAAGTCGTATAAAAGTGAAATTTCATATTTAAGGTTTGTATAAACCTTGTATGTTCAATCTTTTTTGTTAAAATCGGCTGATCGGAGGTGCCACTTCATATCAACGGTGAAACACTTTTTTACAATTTTCTCAAAACGGCTCTAACGATTTTGATTAAACTCGGTGTAGCATTGTATAACTAAGTGATCTTTAATATCATTTAGGTCTGATCGACATTGATGTCACTTTACAGGGCTTAAATGCTCAATGTTCATAAACATCTTCATCTAAAGTACCTTCAATATGGTTTATTTAAAAAAATTAACTCTCTTTTACTGACCATAAATATAAAAAATGGCTAAATATGAAGTTTGAAATAATATGATAGTAGGAAACTGGAGAAACAATAAAAATGCTTATCCAGGTCGAAAATGAATCTCCAGAAATACTAGTCAGAAGGTAATAGGTGAAGAATGATGATGTTATATTCTGTTTCTTTCTAGAATATGACTAAGAGTTAAGCAATAAAGTTACCATTCAATTAACATTTTAAAAACCCATAAAAGTGGGATTGTCTTGGTTAGTGGCGTCCAGGAAGACCGCGTCCTCAGCCTGATCTCTAGGGATCAGGGGATGGTACACCGTACAATGTACATTGCGGCTTTATAATTATTCATTGTTATTTTCGGTATATTTTGCTAAATAATTTCTTTGAACTAATTCGCTCATACTCATCCCTATCATAAATATCCTTATCATATAATTAGAATATAATTCGCAATAATATGTCAGAATGAATAGATAGATGAATAAAATTATTTATTCCATATTTAAAATTAAAATACTTTTCTTCCTTTCATTGTTTTATGTAGTTTTGAATACACTTGTTTTAAAAATTCTCTTAAAAGATGTTAATTTTTGTTTTGTTTTTAACATCTTGGCAACACTGTGTAGATAAACCTCATCCCGGTTCACTTCAGCGTGTTCGTTTAATATTTTTATAAGTTGATTATATTTGTCGTTAATTTGTCAACATGGCTTTACACGTACCTAAAGCACCAGGATTTTCGCAAATGTTGAAGGAAGGGGCCAGAGTAAGATTCATTTAATTATTATGATTCGGATGGTCACACATGATTCTTATTTTGATCTGTACTTATTTTGTTTAAGTTTAACGAGGATGTTTGAGTTTTTTTAATATTCTTAATATTATAAATGAACGATTGAACTAATTGGTTGACTGATATAATTTGCAGAAAATATTAAACTCGATTTTTGTTTGTTGCAGCATTTCTCTGGTTTGGAAGAAGCTGTATTCAGAAACATAGCAGCCTGTAAAGAATTTGTAAATACCATAAAAACTGCATATGGGCCCTATGGAATGAATAAAATAATTATTAATCATATCGATAAGTTATTTGTCACAAATGATGCTGCCACTATTGTTAAGGAACTTGAAGTAAGTGTGAATAATATTGGCAATTACTCCATGTTATTTCACCCTTTAAAGTGTTATAGGAGACTTATATTTCTATCTAGATGATTTAGTTTCAGTAATTGGGTTTTTTTATGATTTTCTATTTGATACTTATTGCAGATATCATTTTCCTTGTTACCAAATTTAAGTGTGCGCTAGTGTTGTATCTGGCTTACAGCTGGGTTAAACCTGATTTATTTTACTGGAAATAGAATTCTGAAAGTAGTTCAGGGTTAAAAATTATGTTTTCAGGTGGGTTCATTATACCTGCCCTAGGTATGAGCTAAAGCAGAGTTTCTGGCATACTTAAGTCGGGAAATGTTTTGAACTTGTAGAAATTTGGTAGGTACTATTTCATGCATCATGCCACCTTGAAGGATTAGCACAAGATCACTTGATCATTTTATAGATATGATTCCCATAATGATGGAGTGTGCCCGAAAGTTGATGGAGATAACTGAACCTTCTTGTAAAGTTTGAACTTCTGTATGAGCAAAATACTGTAGTAGCCATACTGTTTAATCTAATGAATTCCTAATTTTAATAAAAACGGCTTGTTGATAGTTTTCTAAAGTTGTAAATCTTGACCTAAATAAAGGGAGATTATAAACATGAACAGGTCAATTCTTGGAACTCCATCTTTAGCATGATCATGAGATTAATATTCACAGATCATGGGATACTGTTGGACTCCAGGTTGTTAGGTTATGGATTAGTAACTTTCAGTGGTCATGGCCATATTTTAATCCACAATACTGGAGGCCTTCTAAGAAAATTATAAATACATCAATTCTCCAATAATGTTTTGGGAAACACCCTGAAATCTCTAACAGGATTTTTATTTCAGTTAAGGTCAGTGCCTTATTAAGACTCTTCACTTCTTTATATCCTTAGCTACTTTTGGGATTCTATGTACAGTGTGATTGATGAAATCTTGACCCCTTCATAAATAACTAATAAGAACGAGCCCTATGGGAACATTTTTTAGAGTAGTACAATAGATTCCCATTAATCTGAACCTTAGGTGTCTGTACATCTAGTTAATATAAATAGGATTCAAAAATAAGTAATAAAAATTAAGTTAACTAATAATTTCAATAGGCTGTAAGTATATAAACAGAAGAGGAAGTTTGATTTAAAACCTATTTTACAAATGCATTACATCAACACGAAAGATGTAACTTTTTCGCCAGTTTAGTGTTAAGTCTTGCAACAGCCAGTTTTATCATTCACATGTTGTACCCAAATTTTATTTCATTTTTATTGTTTATTATGCAGCATTAATTTACTGTCATATTATACCATAAATAGATTTTATACTGGAATTAAGTTGAAGGAATTGTATATGATTTAAAGAAGTTATTAAAATATTTTAACAATGCACTTTTAAGATACTTCTGTTTAATCTGGATTTTTGATGATACAGATGGTTTCCAGTTCAGTTTAGAGAGACTCTACAGTACATCAATTAGTTTTTTTCCTAGTTTTCCATATCTGTTTGTGATCGTATTTTTTTTACGAGGTCAGAGAGAAAATTTGATTTTTGCTTGTAATGGACATAGTTTTTATTTATTTATTGATTGAAGTGAATGGCTTCATGTCAAAGACAGATACCAACCTGTTATTTTCAGAAAGTTGAAAAAAAAAATATATATACATTAAATTTTTATGCAATTTTAAATAGTACTGATAATTTTTTTTTTTAATGTTTAATTATGAAACAAAATCATCAAAATTGGATTAAGTTGATTTACAACAAAAATTGACTATTTAACAACCTTTTGAAAATGACTTATGCCCACCATTCAAATATATCTTCTATTAATTATAATTTCTCTCGCTTATTTTGATTAAACAGATTTTACTAAACTAAATTTTCATTCTATCTATAACAATTTTTTTTTTTTATAGTTTAACTTACTTAATTAATCTGATTGAAGATTGCAAACGAAGAAGTAATCTTTGATTAATTTCTTATTTTTATTGTAGATTGAACATCCTGCCGCCAAAGTGTTAGTTCTTGCCTCCAATATGCAAGAAGAAGAAGTTGGAGATGGTACTAATTTTGTTCTTATTCTGGCTGGCACATTATTGGAAGAAGCTTTACCTTTATTAAAGATGGTAATTACTTGTTAAAACATAAGATGTTATTTTATATTGTCAATGTTTTAAAAATTTGATCTTTAACTAGCTATACCATGAATTACATTTATCAGTCCAGAGGAAGTATTTATGCCAATTTTGACTTGGAACATAAATAATGCAGTTAACTGTAAATATTAGTTTCTTTGATAACTCCATTTTTACATCACTCTCTTCAGAAAACATTATTTACTAAATGAATTAAAGGATATCATTAAAACTTTCTTCTACAATTCAAAGAATGAAATGTTAGAATTTATAAATTGATAATAAATTAGTAATAATAAATTGATAATAAATTGCTGCTTCTATTATTATCCTTTATTATATTAATTTATGCCTATGTATCGCTAAAATCTTAGGTTCGATTTTATAGTTTTCCTCCTCATTCTGCTAATGAAACAAAATTTGCTAATTGTTGTAGGGAATGACTCCTGCTGATATTATTGAAGGTTATGAACTGGCTTTGAAAAAAGCATTAGAAGTGTTAAAAACATTAACTTGTGAAGAAATCAAAGATCCGAGAGATGAAGCAGCCGTGCTGAAAGCAGTTCGTAGCTCAGTCATGAGCAAGCAATTTGGTTATGAAGATTTCCTGGGAAATTTGATAACTAAAGCTTGCAGTGAGTATATTCAAACCTTTGATCTCATAAATTTTGACTAAAATAACAGAAGTAACAGCCCTCCCTTTTTCCTCTCCAAGTATAGGCAAAAATATTATTGCGGTTTGAAGGCGTTTTAATCACTTTAGATGAACTGGATCATTTTTTAATTAATAATTTATTGATTTAAAGCATTCAAGACTTTTTATCACTTTTTTACACAATTACGATAATTTTTTGAATAATTTTTTTTTATATTTGGAAGTGAAAACGATATGTTAAGTCTGAATAATAATTAGGAATATGTATATATGCCTATATTTAGATATGAAGTTTTATATACACAAAAGTTTGATTATTAATTTTTTCTATTGTTATATTTCTTTTTAATTTTTTAGTTTCAATCTTGCCTGAAGAGACTACCTTCAATGTTGACAATGTCAGGATACAGAAGATTAGTGTAAGCTTTTTGAACTTATTATTGGCATGTAGTTTAAACTAGCTCTAAAACAACTGATGAATTTCCCAGATATTTGATTTTATTTTTAAAATTGAGATGAATTTTTGTATTATAAATATCTTTTCTTACTAAATAATGTCTTTATACTTAGTGTATTTCCTAACATTGTGTTGTTAAATTTTGTTTACATGGTTTTAAATTTTATTTTTGGATCTTCTCTATTTTAAAAACTTATTTTAATCAAGCTTCCTAAATGGTAATTTATTTTCATATCTTAAGACAATCTTTTATTTTAAACTATAAATTTATTCAGGGTTCGAGTATTTTGAGCTCTGAAACTGTTCTCGGCATGGTATTTAAAAGAGGCGTTGAAGGAGAAATCACAAAGATGTCTGGAGCAAAAGTTGTTGTCTATACATGTCCATTTGATATTGCAACAACAGAAACAAAGGTAATCAGTTTTATTCTATAATTGCTTTTATATTTTAAAATTACTTCTAATAAATGTGTTATATTTATTTCAAATATAAAAAGAATTTTATGTTATTACAGGGTACTGTCCTTATAAAAACAGCTGCCGAATTGCATTCATTTTCAAGTGGTGAAGAATCACAATTGGAATCGCAGATAACTGCTATCAAAAATGCAGGTTTGTTATTAATAATTTTTGTATTCTCATTTTTTTTTTTTTTTTTTTTTTTAATTTATCCTTTTGATATATCTGTCATCTATTTTAAATAGGACCTAGTAATAGTTGTCAAAATAAAAATTAATCACTTTATAGGAGAACTATTATTGAATAATAAATGGATAAGGTCCAGATGTTCAAAAATATTACTGCTAGAAATAACAGTGATTTTTATTTTATATTTTTAGACTAAATTTGGCAGGTATTTCATTAAAAAAAAATGTTATTAAACAGGACTTTTAATTTATACCTAGGATTATAACTGGTATATTTTTAATACTTGCAAATTTGATCAATATTAGTATTTTTGTTTGATCTGATTCCATAAAGGTTTTCATGGAGTTAGTGATTAATCCTATCTTTTACTTGTTAAATTATCACCTTTATTAAATGAATATAATCAGAATGGTGATGAGTTATGTCCTCCACACAGCATCTTAAGTTAAAGAAAATTCCATTCAATACTTCATTTGATACTTTTTTTTAGGAGATTGTCTAATTTACCAATATTAATGTAGTCAATTCTTTATATTTTAAGGTGTCAACGTAGTTGTAGCTGGTGGTAAGATTTCCGATATCGCCCTTCATTTCCTGAACAAAGCTGGACTCATGGCTGTTCGTCTGCAGTCTAAATTTGACATAAGAAGGCTATGTAAAGTGACTGGTGCTGTTCCTCTCCCGATTCTTGTAAGTATGACATGTTTTGAATGGATAAATCAATGATTTATATATGATTGATAGTCTACAATATTGTCAGGTTAGAGTGATTAAATTGCTTTGTATGATATTCCAAAAGTTTAAATATTTCATTGAAACATTTTAAGAAAAAAAAAAAAAAAGAATTACATAAGTAAAATAATTGAGTGAGGTAAGGTGGAGTGGGATGTGTTGAAATGAGATCAGAAAACCATTATTCAATAATGTTAAAATATTGGTAATTCTGCTTTGCGTCGCTATCATTATTATTATTGATAAGTTTTGATGATAATATTTTATTCTGCTTGACTAATTGCTAACTAAAGGTTCTTATACTTATGTTGTCTGATGACTATCTCTTGAATAATATTTTTGTTGACCCCATCCTGACACTATAAATTTTATAATGTTTTGTTAATAACTAGTTAAGTAACATTAAAAAAAAGCAATCTTGGACTTAGAAGATTTTTATTTAATGAACTCTTTAAATATAAGCAACAATATATGAAAAGTAAAGTTATTGTTTTGTTAACCAGCTACATCACTGTTTGTATGTAATTATCATTCCAAACAATTTTTAGCATAGGGCTCAACTTTTAGTGTAGTACTTAATTTTTCCTCCATTTTTTCTTTGTATATGTGCTTTTTATTTTTTCTCTATTGAGGTATAAAGTCATAAATAATTTTGAAAAAAAAAAAAAACACAATTTCTCCTGCATTGCTAGATGAAATTTTGGCATTCCCTGATGAAGACCTATAATGTAAGTCGAAACGTTGGCAAATGAATTAAACACTACTATAATATATAGTATGGGTCTATTGATCGCACTTCTCCTTTCGCAGTCAACTGTTTCCATACCATTAAAAAATATATGTATGTTTTTGTACTGATTTAAATGTTAATTTTATTTCAGACACCTCCTTCAAAAGAAGAACTTGGTTATGCTGACAGTGTATATATTGATGAAATTGGAGATAATTCAATTGTTGTCTTCAAGCTGGATGGGAAAGAATCAAGGATTTCCACTATAATCGTTCGAGGAGCAACAGAAAACTACATGGATGATATTGAGAGAGCTATTGATGATGGTGTTAACACATTTAAATTAATTACTAGGGTAAATATATTTTTAAGAAACATAATTTACTTGTTACTACCTCCTACATTAAACATTACAGAATCTGCCCTTAAACCAAATCATGTTTATAGTATAACAAAAAAATTGGGTTTTTTTTAGGATGGTCATATGGTTCCCGGTGGAGGTGCTGTTGAAGCTGAGCTTGCTAAACAGGTATTTTGATTTTGCTTAACATTACAGAAATTACTTCAGTTCCTATCATGCTAGAACTTTATTTTTAATGTTTATTTGTTTTAAAGGTTAGAGATTATTCAGAAACTATACCTGGCTTAGAAAGGTATGCTGCTGCGAAATTCGCTCATTCTCTCACAATATTCCCTAAAATCCTTGCTGAGAGCTCTGGTCTCCAAGCTAGAACTGCTCTTCAACAACTCTATGAAGGTCACAGAACACCTGAAGGAGTAAATCTTGGAATAAATATTCAGGTATGAGTGAGATAAAAATTTTTTAACTTTATCACTCAATTATTACAAATTAGAAAGAATATTAACCTCGTCTACTATTCTCAGTTTCTAATAATGAATTGGAAATTTTATTTTTGTTTTCAGGGCGAAGATGATAAACTTATTATTGACTGTCACGAAGCAGGCATCCTTGATTGTTTGAGCTTAAAGGAGTGGGGACTCAAATTTGCCACAATGGCAGCTTGTACCGTCTTGAGGATTGACCAAATAATAATGGCAAAGAGGGCTGGGGGCCCTTCAGCAAAACCCCCTGCACAGCCGGACGATGATTAAATTTATATTATTTTCCTCCTCATATTTTATAATTCCTTTGATAAAACTACTTCAGTTTTCACATACCATTAATTCGCTTTACTATTATTAATTTAACACCAATAATAACTGTATTTTTTTTTTACTATTTAGTGTTTTTATTATTAGAACCCTTTTTACCATTATTGATTCGGTATAATTTAGTAAGTATGTATCCGAAAGAATCTATGTGCCTTCAGGAAAATTTTTTAAATTCATATTTCAAAATTCAATATTAATGGAATATGCCTTAATTAAAAACAAATATTTTACTTTTATATAATATATATCAGTGATGTTATAATAGCATAAACTTAGCCCACAGACTTGTAATCTAGTCAAAAAATAAAGGTATTATGATTTCAATTTAGCTGGGACTTCTGATATTTTGTGCTAATAAAATTTGCTTAAAAATTATATTCTTTCTGTAGTTTATTGGGGTTCAACATCCTTATGACAATAAATATATATTGATGTTCCGCTTCTGGTAAAAACTTGAATTAAAAATCATAACTCTATCCACCTCTAAGATTTAAATATACATGTAGCTAACCTAATTAATAACTAGGCCATAGTATTGCAGGTATAGAATACAGGCTAAGTAAGTAGCTTTTATTACAAAAAATAAACAAATTATTAAAAATAATAAGTTATTTTGTGTTATGAATAAGCTGCCACTAATCTTAATTGTTTAAAAATTATTTAACAGTCATTGAAAATAAAAAATGCAATAATTTTTCAGAAATTTTTATCTAATAACTCAAATTTTGCTCTTCCTTTGGTTGGAATGCATATCAGCCAGACTTCTTTAAATAACTTTAAGGACTATATTCTTGACTTCAGGTAGCCAAGAAAGGAAAAGTTGCTATGCATTTATAGATTAATGCATTGAAGTATTCCCTTTTAAAATTAATGAATTAACTTAATCAAAAAACTGAAAATCCTGTTATCCTTTCTCAAATAATTTCATTCAACATTAAAAGGTTTCAAACCAGGTGACGAGGAATACTGAACACAGAAACTGTAATTGTAAATCATATGTCATTTTTCTAATTCTACTTTTGCTTAAACTTTTTGAGAAGAGGGGAGCAATAAGATTATGTGAGAGGGGGAGGATAATTCATTCACCATCAATGTTAGGGAGAGGGCATCCCTGAAACTGACCAGATAAGCTTGACTTGGTTGCCATTCAGAAAAAATTATTGTCAGACCAGAATATATTAAAAAAGAAAAGTCACACCATATAGTACAGTTGCTTTATCACTAATGGTTGAATTCAGACTAAAAAACTTCCGAATCATTATATATATAGGCAAACCCAAAACGGTTCTGCCCCTTTAACTTCTCTATTATTTAACCGATTTTCTTCCTTCTTTTTTGTTTAATTTATATTGACGGGCTTTAGCACGGGCGGATCTACGGGGGGGGGGGGCTTTCGGGCTGAAGCCCCCCCCCCCCAAAATGGTAAAATATAACCATGTTTTATCGAAAAAAATATTTAAAAAGTATCTCTTAAAGTATTATTGTTCGAGTAATTACATTTAAAAGGGCTTTAGGGATCACTTAAACACCATTTCATATAGGTAGTTAGTTTCTTTCTTTTTTTCCAAAGTAATTATCGTTATTTTTATGAAAAAAACAACTTTCGGGCTTAAGCCCCCCCCAAAAATAAATCCTGGATCCGCTAGTGGGCTTTAGTGGTATCAATAAATAAAAATATAAATAGTAGCTTGTTCAAAATGGCTAATCTCCGAAAGTTCTTCACAGATTTCTTTTAAATTTTGACTCCTCACCATAATATTTACAAGTGTTTTTGTATACATTTCATTATCATCAGGCCTTTCCTTTTGAAATGGCGGCCGAAAAACGTAATTTGCTTTAGACTGTAGCACAGGCGGATTAATGGGGGAGGGGCTTTCGAGCTGAAGCTCTCTCCCCAAAATGGTAAAATTTAACCATGTTTTATGGTAAAAAATATAAAAAAATTATGTCTTAAAGTATTATTGCTCGTTTAATTACATTTAATAGGACTCCAAGAATCACTTAAACAGCATTTCATATAGGTAGTTAGTATCTTTCTGTTTTTCCAAAGTAATTATCGTTATATACATGAAAAAAAAAGCTTCCAGTCTAATGCCCCTCCCAAAATTAAATCCTGGATCCGCTAGTGGACTGTATGGCCAATACGGCTTCAACGATTTCAATAAAACTTGGCTGAAATCTTCCCTTAGAAACCTTCATAATTTATGTTTATTACGTACTTTCCCGAAAACAAATTGCAATTTTTATGATGAATTCAGTATTTTATTTGTGAATAACACAAAAAGTACACATCTTTTATTGATAACACCAGTATTTATTTGAAAGATTTTTTGATTCCCTACAAAATAAAAAAATATCGAAATCGGACTATTTTTTGCAGAGATATATCATTTTAAACATTTGGTACGTTTTATTTTGCTAAGTCGATTTCCATTCTTTAGTTTTTTTATAAATCGAAAATTTTACATTTAATGGAGTAATCTGGATATCATTGAATGTTATTGGAATAATCTGAGTAAATTCTATAGTTTTGCTCATTCTTAATTTGAATACTGCACAAACATTAGTTAATGAAACACGAATGAGAGTGAAGTAATAAAGCAACTGTGATAGTAACACATAAATTTAGTATTTTTGAATGAGTCTATTTCGTATTACTTATAAATAATTTTAAGTAGTTTAAGCTCGATTTTTAATAGAAATTGAAATTTTGTTTATATTAATACTTGAGGATTTTCGAATCGTGATTTACTCTTTATTTATTTTGTATTTAATTATATGTTTTTCTCAAATTTTTAATGACTATGGTCGAATTTCGACCATGGGGGCGGGATGGCCGAATGGGCTAAAGCGTGTGCACTGCACCGCGAGTTAGTTGCCTGGTCACTGGATAAGAGATTTGAGAAGATTAAAAAAGTATGAGTCAGCATCCCGGTGCCGGAGGGGATTTTCAATTCCCTGCCCTCAACCTCCAGCCCAGGACATGAAAAGTTCAGCTGAAGATTTTAATAAAAAAGTAAGTATATAAATACAGGGCGAGTTTAGCTTGCATCATGTTAGCAATGATCAGGAGCAAAGATTGGTCATCGAAGGAGGTAATCTACTAATGAATAAAATTCAGTTCCATATCAAAACGGAACTTTTTAAATATTATTAACACCCAAGAAATCTATTGAATGGGAAAATTAAGAATCTTCTTTGAGACAAAAACTTTAAAGTACCTTCCCCCAATTTCAATCACCTTTTGGAAAACGAGAGGGAGAGGATGGTCTGAAAAACTAGGTCCCCCCACATTATGGTCTTTAGTCTCAGTTATTAAAACTCATTGACAGTGAACAGCATAAAAGACTCCAAGGAAATGCACGTTTCTACTCATTTCTGTTTTGGTATTATAGCACCCATGTAGACTAGCTTTAATGCTGGAGTTCCTAGTCCTTAAGTATGTCTTCCTGCAATAGTGAGGATATTAATGGTATTCAGGGATTTATAAACAACCATGTCCGTGTGGACAGCATAGAACTCATCGAGAAAATAAATGTTGCTGCACGTTTGCAGCAAGTCACTAATATATCCAATTTATAAAATCGACTGCCTTCTTAAATTATACTTTCATATGATCACAAAATACTCTTAAATATATTTTTCTATCCCCTTTAGCCGAATGCAGAACAAGAGCTTGGAAATTATCAATGCGATTTCAGGAAGGGTAAGTATATTATCGACCAGCCTAAGGAAAAAACTCACTACATGCTCCCCGAATTTAAAACAGCCTCTGGCATTATTAATCGCCATGAGCTTTATAAAGCACTAAAAAAAAAATCACAATAAACTCTGCATATATGATTAAATTAATTATGATAGGTATTATATATATATATATATATATATATATATATATATATATATATATATATATATCATTGACAAATGGAGATCGTTCTTAAGCAATTGCTACAGAAAAAGGATTCCATAAGGATGGTGAATTATTAGCTTTTCTTCTCTTCAATTGTAGCCTTGAATATACCGTTAAACAAAATAAAATACAGGCTGGAGAACAATATTTTATTAATATATTCAACTGCTAGTTTATGCAGACAACGTTGCATCATCACACATTCAATGAGGGACATCACAGAAGCAATCTTAGCATGCCGACCTTGAGCCCACCTAACACGGTCAATATTCTTGAATTTGGTGTACATATTAAAATTTTTACAATATATCAGACGGTCAATATGTTCGATATTGAATCAATAATATATAAAATTAAATACATGGTGACAGAAGATCCTACTAGATCTGTAGATATTGTGACCATAGATCCATAAAATTTTGAGTCCACTCAATAAAAAATGACAATGTTTTGGCTAATATTAGTATGAAAATTTTGACAGCCTACCGATGCTACTTCAGCTTATGTAGGCAGCTTTATGGTTGCCTTTTATTCAGAAAAACCATGGCACATTTCCATGAAATCTATATGAGAAGGAACGCTCACTCGAAATAAAGAGCGTAATTTTCTGATAGATGAATATGTGAAGGAGTCTAAGCTACGGAACGAAAGAGGAGATGCTCCAATTAGAATTATATATCACATTTACCATACTCGACGATTTCAGGATTATTAGTTAATTAAAAGAACATGCTGAGATAGGCAGGATATGTATCAGAGATGGGAGAGTAGGAAACGCCAAAGAAGCTCCTTATGCAACCACATTACAGAACAAGAAACTCAGGAAGGAGAGATTGGGAAAGTGTGGCTGAGGATACAGAAATAATCTGAGAATAAAGAAGTGAACGGAATCCGCACAGGGCAACGACAATTGAGGAAAACTGCTAGAAAAGACCAAGACCCGAAATCGAGTTGCAGAGCCATATATCTTGTGATGATAATGATGAGAGTCATCAATTTTTAATAACTTAAATCAAAATTAACTCCGAAAATCATGGATACTTAATAGGAAGTCGTGATTTCTATGAATCGTGTTTTATTTGAGTCTATTCCAATCACAAAGTCATACTAAATAATGTTCAGTGATTATATTTATGATTTATCGCTCTTTTGGGGTCCATTATAAACACATTACAGTGGGGGGTAGAGAACAATGTTTAGTTCATAAAAATATATTATATTTATTCGTTCTGATAGACATTTTAAATTTATTATTTTTGTTTCAGTATCTTGTAATTTGTTGTGATACATACAACCATTGATTCCTAATCATAAACATAATTCAAATTAAAAAAAAAATTATCCAGCTCTCGTGATTTTGTTGTAAATTGAATATTGGTAATTGCACGAAATTTATTAATGTCTTTAATATCTAGTTAAAGAATGTGTGGCACAAAATTCCAGTTTTTCAGGTGTTTTAATTTTAGTAAGTGTAGACGTTTATCGCTTTAAGTGAATTTCATAATCGATATAACCTATACAGTTGATCGATGATGTGGGTTACTTTCAACTCACATTGCCCTCCCTAACCTCATGTATATAGTTTCACTCAAAAACGCGATGGATAATTGGGACGAAACTCCCGCTGACCCAATAGTGCTCAACACCGTGACTTCTAAGAGTAAGTGGGAAGGTGAAGATGCTGAAGAAGATGTAAAAGATAGTTGGGACCAAGATCCAGAAGAAGAAAAGTCGGATGAGGAAATTAAGCCACCTCCTCCACCACCGTCTGCTAAGAAGAGTATTAAGAAAATAGGAGAAAAATTTGAAGAAAAGGAACGTAAAAAACTACAGGAGTTAGAAAAACCTTCCAAACCATTAACACCTGAAGAATTATTAGCTGAGAAAATAAAACAACAGAAATTGCAGGAAGAAAGCGATCGCATATTGGCGAAAGAAATTTTTGGATCTACTGGTTTAGAAACGAAAGAAGATTTTGATAAACTTAAGACTGAGGTATTGAATGTTCTTTCAGATTCATCAAAAAATAGCAACTATGTGACATTTGCTGAACAGATCATTCAAGGTATATGTCTACATCTTTCTTCAGGAGATTTAAAGAAAATTAGTACTCTAGTAAGTAATCTACATATAGAAAAAACAAAAATAGAGAAAGGTGACAAGTCAAAGAAAAATAAAGGTAAAGGTAAAGCTAAATTGAAGATGGAAGGTGATAATGATTATAGTGAATATTCTGCATTTACAGAAGATTTTGATGATTTCATCTAGCTGAGGTGAATTGTGAAATTGGATAATGAACATCAGAAATAGTTGAAATCAAGTGGGTTTTGTTTATATTGTTTTCATCTTGTAACAGACATCCTTTCAAAGGTAGTTACTTATAATGATTTATCAAATAACATTATTTGAGATTTTCGCTTATCAAATTACTACTGTAAATGTAATTAAAGTTTTTCTCTAAAGTGTATTTTAATTTACAATTCTAATTACTTGATAGGAGAAGTCGCGAATCGTGTTTACTCTAATTTCTTAATGATTATTAATCTTCATTTGACTTTTATTTTAGGTTTAAGTTCATGGGTTTGTAGGAAGTATGAATTGGATACTGAGATGTACATAAATATTATGTAAATAATAAACATTGTTAAGTGCTACTAATAAATTTATTGTTGATATACTACTATGTGTTTTAATTATTAAATACAACTTCTGTTGTACATATTTATATTTTGTTCTTGATTTCAGATCACATTTTCAGAATTAAATACATTTTTCTATGTATGTAGTATTCTTAGTGGATCCATATGATACATATCCACTCTATCAAAAGCCAAGTTTTAACCCATGTATGCTCAAACCAGTTAAGGTATAATTTTTTTTAAATATATGTTTTCACCATTCTAACTATTAGTTATTTCTTGTGTAAAGAAATGCTGTTGCGGATATTTAATGAGCAAATTCTTTTATATTATGCCAGTTGCAAAAGTTATTAATCAAAATATACAAAGCTATATTATATTATTGATAAACTTGTTGATTTTAATGTTTGAAAATAATAACCCTAGTCATTTAGATCAAGTGCCTTCTGATTACTAATATATCATTAATTGTTTTTCCATGTAAAAGAAACAAATAAATGAGAATTCTTTCAATATAAATCTATTTACACATCAAATAAGTTTTTTGAGATCAATATTTTCTTTTATTTATCTGAAAATGTTTCAGTTGCTTATTTTGAAAATTACTTAATCTGCTCTAATCTTTTGCTTTTTACTGTAACACCTATTTAATCAGGTAAAACTGGATTTCTTAAAAATTAACCTTAATTTTTGTTCGGTAATAGTTCTGAAGTGCTTTTCTATGATGGCAGCTGTCTACCAGATCACATCAATCATACTGTACCTGTGTGTATTCTAACGTGGATCAGTGGTGGCTGATTCCTAGATCTTCCTAGAAAAGAAATTATGGAATGTATTTGATGATTATCTGAGCAGAAGGATCCATATCCTCTGAAAAGGTTCCATTAACTGAACACGATCTATTTTAGTTTGATCATTTCTTGAGAAAGTGGAAGTCTACAGTCCTAATCCAATTAAAGCAGTTGTAATATTGATAGTCACTGATAATTATAATTAAGCTTACATTGTGTAAAACCTAATCTACCCTAAAGATTCTTTATAAGTGGACATATCCGTTAATGTAATCGTATGAACTTGATTGTCAATATTCATCTATTTTTTATTATTCCTTGGAATGATTATATTGTTATAATACCTACAAAGTGATCCTATGTCCAACCAGCTTCCATCTTGGAGTAGCATTTCAGAACTTATATTTTTTCAGTATTAAGGAAACAATGAATTGTTTCTGTATATCTCAAAAAATAATTCTGAAAATGAAATTCAGGCTATGTGGTCTGAGCCATCATCGTTTAAACTGTTGTACCAATGTACAATATTCTTAAAAGTGTTTCCTTCAGTCCTGCTGTACTTTCAATATCTGGTATGACCAAAGAAATCTTTTAGGAAGTTTAGAAAGTTTTAGGGCTAAAAAAAGTATGCTATCTACTAATACATAAATACAAAGAAGTAAACTCAAATTACATTGTATAAAATAAACCATATTCACTTCTTAGAATTTCTTTATTAGTAGATAGCATATTTTTTTCAATCCATTTTATTTTCTTGCTGATATGCTTTGTTTAGTTGATATTTTTCTTTATTTAGCCCTGAAACTTTTTATTAACAGTGTTATGACTGCAACTCCCAACCATGAAATATTTTAATTTGGTTACCATATTGTTTTAAATTAAAAATTCTGTAGTAAATTTCAATTTCCTTGAAAATAAATGCATGAAGATACTTTGATGTTTCTGATTCCATTAATTGAGACGTTGCTAAAAAAACATCCAAGCTTATATTTTTGTCTCTAAAATAATGACTTACTAAATTACAGCTCTATCAATGCAAAGTCATCTAAATTTACCTTAAGGCTTTCATTTTGTTTTCAAACTAACAAATTTTGAATCTATTATATGAGTTAAGCCCACATATAATGAATTATCTTAATCTAGATCAAACATCACATTGATGTCAAATTTATTGATATTTCACTATCTTTATGTTTGTTACCAACAATGCAATGGTATTTTAATTGAAACACTATTGTATTACAATTGGTTTCTCTAATTACAAATTAATTAAACATATCGTTATTTTTTTCCTACTGATTCATCAGTTAGTAAAACTAGCTGCTAAACTTTAATATAAGTTTAGCAAGTATAATATAAGTTTAGGTGTCCCAAAGCAGGAAGCCTACTTTAAATGTGTGAATGGGTTGCAATCTGACTGTAAATGACCTTTCTATATCATTCCTAAGATTAAAATGGATCAATTATTTATTTATCCGAATTCAATCTAATGTATTTTGGATTAACCAAAACTGTAAAGTTGGGGAAGAGAAGTAACATTTATCATGACTTTTCTTGTTTATAATATATATTTCATAACAATAAGCATCAAAGGATCATCCCTATTGTAATAATTGTATGATTAGTAGTCTTTCTTTTTCACAATAAAGACTTATCGATGAGTATCATCAGATGTTCTATATTTGAAGATGAAATCTTTCAAAATGAAAATTTTGCAACCACCATTGATACACTTTTACTATAATTTCCCGAACAATTACAGGATGTGGATTAAAATAAAAGTAATAGTAGATTATTTAAACAAGAACTGGATTCTTGGCAATCAGAAAAAAAAAATGTATTACTACAATCCATTCATCAGGTTTTTTGGGTTTAGTAAGAAAGAACTTTTTCTTGGTCAACGGTTTTGCAAGTACATGATTTGACTGAGACCATGTTTTATGGCCAGGTCTTCCCACTTAATCAAGTATTCAATTTAAGTTACCCAGAAGTTGGGTGTGCCCTCAGGAGGATCTCTTGACCTCAGGGTGGATGAAACAGATTAATTAATTTATCTGCCTTCAGCTGGAATAGAATCGAGGATCTTGAGCATTGGAAGTCAGAGTCCCACTAAGGTACTCCATTCCCAATCAGAAAAAGACTATTATAAAGTAAATATATATATATATATATAATAATTAAATAATTTAATATAAGTACTATCCTATGTAATAGATCAGTATGCTATGTACAAAGCAACCCTATTTAGTAGGGCATCATTACTTTCAATAAAGTATTTCTCTCTAAACTACATAGTTAAAAGTATTTTAACAAGTTCACAAAGTTAAAATTGGCATTAATTTGTACATAAAATTGCAGTTAATAGGGATGTTAAGATATTTTGAAAATATTATATTTGAACCTTAGGAAGATCCAGAACATTTAAAATTGTGAAGCTCATCTCAGAATAATTAGGAAAGTAAAAAATTGTTTAATTGTAATTCTTTTTTCTTAACTAATATCTGGTGAGCCGGCATGCAATTTCTGAATTTATAAAAAGCAGTTTTTATTTTTAAATAATTAGGAAACACTGCTGTAGAGTAATTTCTTCTTCCATTCTTATAATGTAGGAGTTGCAAAGTTGCCAACAAACCAACGAGATACAGATAAAATTCTCGGGAACTGTATGGATTTTAATGGGATTCTAATCTGAGGAGCTACTCGGACTACGAAGTGGTGCAGTAACAAATGAAAATTATCGATGAGTATCATCAGATGTTCTATATTTGAAGATGAAATCTTTCAAAATGAAAATTTCGCAACCACCATTGATACACTTTTACTATAATTTCCCGAACAATTACAGGATGTGGATTAAAATAAAAGTAATAGTAGATTATTTAAACAAGAACTGGATTCTTGGCAATCAGAAAAAAAAAATGTATTACTACAATCCATTCATCAGGTTTTTTGGGTTTAGTAAGAAAGAACTTTTTCTTGGTCAACGGTTTTGCAAGTACATGATTTGACTGAGACCATGTTTTATGGCCAGGTCTTCCCACTTAATCAAGTATTCAATTTAAGTTACCCAGAAGTTGGGAACTCTTCTAATCAGAGGAGCTACTCGGACTACGAAGTGGTGCAGTAACAAATGAAAATTGAAGTCAATAAATAAGATCAATATTTACAAAAAAATTCTTAGAAGTTCAGCTCCATCAAAAATGTATTTAGTGACTTTTTGCAATTAACTGATGATAGGAATAATTTTATTATGTGCAGTTGTTTTTGGCAGATCAGTGCCAGACAATTTTTGGTAGATTTTGTCAAAATGTTTCAAAGTTCAAGCTATTTGAAGTTGTATACACCTCTACAATTCTTACCAATACAGTTGGAGAGAGGAATGAAATTTTATATGTAAATTGAGTGGTTGTTAGAGAAGAGTATCATTTAGAGATTTGCTTTCTTTCTTTCTTTTTTTTCTTTTCTAGTTTGAAGGATTGGCACTACTCTAATTTGAGTTATGGAGTTTAATTTTATTTCTCTCCCCAGCCACTTTAATAAATGAAGTTTGGAAACTAATTATAAAATTTTGAAGAAGAAAAACAAGAAAGAAATATATTAGTTTGACTAATATAAAATTTGTATTTAGTTAAGTATCAACAAACGTTTAAATTAATATTCATCTGTTTTCCAAACAAAATTAAGAGGAAAATATGGTCTTTATGACAAAATTCCATTCAATACCTATGTATATTTTTTCAAGTTAGAATGAGAGTAGTAAAATGATCCACACTATCAACTCATGAAACAGGCACTTAATAATTTCAAATGACAAATCACTAACTATTATATAAGATATTATTTTTATAATATTTAATTAATTGACAAATTTTTGGTTTGGAAGTAAAAATTAAAAAAATATTCACCACTTTTACTTTTGTATAGTGTAGAGATTATCTTCTAAAACAAAAAAAAAAATTAATTCCACCATTATCCTTCTACCTTGTGGAGATATTCCATTAATCATAAAAACTTGTATTTCTTTTTAAAAAGGCAATAAATGACAATTAGATTTCTTTCAGCACCCAAATCAATAATACTTAGTAACTTTACTTATTTTTTAAAAAATTATCTAACTTATTGATGTGTGCTTAAAATAATAATAGAACTATCTTATGTAATTTATAGTTATTAAATAAATTATTATTTATATAATTTTTTACAAATTGACAAATTTAAGTTTTGAGGTATAAAATAATAATGAAGTAGTAAAATACCCACAGATTTTACTTTTTTCTCCTTTTGAAGATATGCTTTAGAGTAGAACTCAAAATTACACTTGTTGAATTTTACCTAATCCCCAATAATGTTTTTTTTATATACCAGACAGATTAGGTTTTTATTGGAATACACAGGGTGTTTCAGGGTTAAGTGGCCAAACTGAAAATATGAACTAAGGATCTTAGAAGAAAAAAAATTCCTCTGAACGAATGTCCGCAAATGCTTTGTTTGGGAGATATTCACGCCTAAAGATTTTCGTTGTTTCGAATTATTTACATTATATGAAATAAATAAAAGCTATTTATTTGTTCTACCTATTTTATTAATTAAATGTAAACATTAACATTTTTTGCAGCCTCGACTCAATGTGGCCACATTTCTGGAATTTCTTAATAATGATTACCATGATTTAGTTGAAAAGTCTATGCAAGTCAGGTCAATGACCTTAATTCCTTACGAAGAGGGATAATTGAATCTTGTGAAGCAATAACACATATCTAGGGCCGTTCTGCCACTGCTGCTGATGAAGAAAGATGCCGAGCCTGCCTTAATGCTCAAGGAAATCACTTTGAACAATGTTTAAATTTAATTAAAAAAGTAGTCAGAACAAATAAATAAGTTTTATTTATTTCGTATAACGTAAATAATTGATAACAACGAAAATCTTTGTTTGCGGACATACCTTCAGAGGACAGTTTTTGAGGTCCTTAGTTCGTATTTTCAGTTTGGCCCTTAACCCTGTATGTATAAATTTTATTGGAAAACAAATTTAACATTCTGCAGCTGATGTTTTAGGGGCTACAAAATATAAATCATTAGAAATAGAGGAGGGGGAGGGGAGGATTGGTAAGGTCACTTATAACATGGAATAGAACAATTATACCAAGTTTTATCAAAAACGGAAGTGTGGAGTCATAGTCTCATTGCACTCCTCTTACTCATGGAAGAAAACAATAATATTTAGGTTGTAATCAAGGTTCATTCAACTATTTTTTTTTTACTTTTATAACAAAAAATCATAAATTTACAAATATGAGTGAGTTTATAAATATGTTCATAAATTCTAGGTCGGTGAAAACTTCTTTGAACATATGTTCAAATATCTATCTCAATACATTTCTTAATGAATGGAGAATTTGTGAATCTACTCACTCTACCTAAATTATGGTAAAACTTTTACTCAAAGAAATGTTAAAATTAAAAACCAATACTGACACCTTTTTATGTTAAGGAATTGAGGTTTCAAAGATACAATGCTTTGTTTGAAAAAAATAGAAATTGTGGCCAAACATCAACATTTGCATCAGGTAAATGTAAAATTAAAATCCATAAGATTTGAGAAAATCTAAATATTTCTCTTCCATATAATTATGAGGTTCTTCCAGGGTTGATCCATAACTTTGGTGTGGGCGGATGAACATTTTTTATTGTAATTTTGAATTCAACGAACATAGGTTGAGACGTAAGAACTCAAAGTCAGGGAGAGATGTTAATTTTTTTTCCTTGGTTGATTAAAAAGAGTCATTGTGAAAATAATACACCAAAATAAATCCGTCAATAATAAAAGTTAAAACAAAACCTGAAGATAACTCCTTACATAATCTTACCGAAATGGCTATGTTGTACATATATATTCTATAATCGGTTTGGCTTACCTCTCTTGTTGTAATTAAATGTTTCTTTAATTCTTTTAAATGCCAAAACTGGCTATCCAGTTGAGATTTAAGGAATACATTTAAGTTAAAAAATTCCTCTTCATTATTTTTCCACTATGGTCATCATACCTGGTATGCTTATAAAAGGTAGCAAGCCAGCGGCTCTCAAGTGTCACCAGAGTTTGGTTTCCAACTCTTTTGTTTCGAGTTGTCTGCCTTACATCTTCTTCACGGGGATGCAGTTCTGAATGACACGCTCACTATTTCCCTCTTTTTAGTTTACTAATGGAATTACTCCCTATTTAAATTTTCTTTATACTGATATACATTGAGTCTACTGTGATTGGTCTGGAGAATGAAGAACTCATGACGACATTTGCAAATTTTCTGTGAGTTCAGACTTTTAACAACCATATGAAATTTCTGACACCTAATAAACAATTAGAAATAAAGTTTTCCTTAATTCTGGACTTGTCACTCTAATGAATAAGTATAACATAGGTGGGAAACTGCGCCCTCCAAATGGTTTTGTGTGATATTTATTAATCTAGCACTAGAATAAGTAATATTTAACTAACCAAAATTTGGAAATTCATAGGAGTTGAATATATGTGCCTATTTAGTGATAAATAAAAATAGTAACAATAAAATATTGAGAATTATTGCAGCCTCCATTAACACTGCCTAACCTTAATCAGGTATCTAATGATAAAAAGGTTCCCCACTTATGGACTATAACCTAGGATGAAATTTAGGCACAAATTAAAAACTAAGTTTTCAACAGCCTATATTCTTCCTTTAATGCACACACTTCAAATGTGTTCCTTAGTTTTTAGTTTAAAATTAAGCTAAGACAATGTGTAATGTAAACTCCATTTTTTTTTAGCAATGAATTTTATTCTCAAATTAAATTTAACCACTACAGCACACAAAATTATAAGTTTGCAGTTTTATTAAAATAACACATACCAGCCAGAAGATTTTTATTACTATAAAATTGCACAAAACATATCTTTATAAAGATAGATAATTTTAAAACAATCGGAATTAAAAGATTAAGTATAAAGTAACAATTACCAGGTATATAGATTTAAGTATTATCTAGTAAATTGAAATATAAAATAATACCATATGCTTAAATAAATAATGTAATTAGTTAAATTATAAGTAATAAAATCAGGACAGATTCATTTGATATTTAATATACAATTAATGTTTTTAGAACAGTTATTCATCAATCATACAGGAATGGTTAAATATTCATTTCAGCAAAAGCTTTGCTTATTACTATTAACAGTTGACAAATACTCTATTATTAAGTAACATTAACTGGAAGATAGCAAAGGAGTATAGATAGAGTAAATCATTTTTAATTTTTTTTTCAATAGTTAGGAATGAAATTAACTATATTAATCTCTTTATATTCACTATATTAATATAGGTAATGCATAAATATGGATAGAAATAAAATTTCAAAAAAAATAAAAATCTGGGATAGAAGCTACAGCTGACTTTATGTTAATTACATTTTTCAGATCCAGGGCTTATACAGTTTTTGTATAATAAGCTTCTATTTAATATTAGCTCCTTTTAGAGTTTGAGCTTTGACAAAACCTTTGGATTCAACTGACCATCTTTCTCCTTTATAGGTAGCAATCATTTCGGAATCCGTTTTAAGATCAGGTGCCACTGTCTCAAATACCTGCAAGAAAAAGAAGAGTAGAGGAAAACTGCTAACATTTTGATATCAAATAAAGGATCATGGAGATAAAAAAAATTGGATCACGTGACAAGTGTTTTTTTCTTCAATAACTTACTGATTTAAAAGATATAGTTTTTTTTTTTTACTAATGTTCAAAAATATAAATGAATTCTGATCAGCAACACCATTAATATGTATATGTATTATACCATCCAACAGCTTTTAATAAAAAATTTAAAATTGAAAATTGCGTTCTATTTTATCCTACAAACTTTTTATGATTTTAATCTTCTCGTTAATTAAAAGCATCTATAAAATTTTTAAATGAATTCACTGCAGGCAAATAGTTGTAAAGAAAGACTGATGTTTTGACTAAAAAAACATATACATTTTTTAATTAAATAAAACCAATCCCTCCCTACATCCTGGAACTCCTTACTCTACGTTCCTCTATCCACACTCTCTTAATACCAAGTATCAACCTTTAGATTTATATTTCTCCTTCCATAAAACTACTTTCTTCAATCAAATCCTTTGTCATTCGTGCTACTTCCTTTCGGAACCCTCTTCCTACCTCCATACGTCAATCCTCGTCCACAAATTCCTTCAAACAACTCCTGTTCCACCACCTACTCCACATTCAAACTTCCGCCAACATGTAGAATTACTAGCATATGTATACTGTTTAATTTTAAATTACTGCACAATTGCAATAACAATCAGCAGTTCATTAGTCTGTATTTTTTTTATTATTCTATGCCAGACTAAGACCCATAAATTTGTAACTCTGTTATTATTCTTAGGAGACTTTAGCCCTGAAATAAAATTATTTTTTCATTTATAAATTGTAGATAACAGGTATTCTTTTAATAATAAAAGCGACATGTATGCTCCAAGCTTCATATCAATTTAATTGTCTGTTTTATTGAATCAGACCTTATAGATAATTTAAATAGAGAGAATTTGGGAAATAAGGATGACTAAAAAAAAAAAAAAAAAAAAAAAAAAAAATGATAAAAGAAAAAAAAAAATTCTATATTTAATTACACCTGAACAATAATGTTTATCTGGATTACATGAGAACTTACCCCACCCAGATCACCAAAATTACGGACTAAAAATCATAAATATTTATTAGTACTAAAAGTATCAAGCAGTTTGCTTGTTTGCATATCTTTAAAGACAAATCAAGTTGTTACACAAAAAAACTTTTACTTGTATTATTTAATTTATTATTGTATAATAATCATTAATTAACAATTAATTTTTGACATCTAGTAAACTATACAGATTTAAAATATACAGTTTCTTCCTAAAATAAATTATACACTTGAAATTAGTATAGTTTAGAAGATATCGAGTAAACTTTTTAAAGAAAAATAAACCCATTAATATTATCTATTGATTAATACAAAAGGATTTTCAAACATAAACACTTAAATACCTAATTAATTTATTTATAAATTGCCTTCTTCTTTCTTCAAGCTACCATTTCATTGCCCTATTTCTCTTTTTAAATTCCAAAAATATTTTATAATGAGAAATAAACTTATTAATTTCTCACAATCCATTATTGTTGCGAGCACTTTTAAAAAATAATATATATGATTGAATCTTTTGTAATTAAGTGCGACAAATCATATAACACATTGTAGTCAAAGTAAGTACAAAAATCTTTCTAGAGTTTTACTTGGGAGTTGATGAGTTATAGTCAAATATCATTAAATGCAGCTTATTGCAGCTCACCGCGCTTCAGATTAGTAGCACATTATCATTTCCATTCGACGAGATGCATACAACTAAACATAAAAATCTTTGTCAGAAGTTTTTTGCATGCTCCTGTTGCCTAAACATTCTTTACTTCTGAAAAACTGAGCGGAAATTGAAAAACTGGTTTTCTTCTTGGACAATTTCATTGCAGCTAAAAAAGTAAGTCAAACCCTCCTTGGGTAATTTTTGTATTTACCCTTTGTTAAATTAAATTTTTAGTTTAATAAATTTCAATTAATTTTTTAATTCTGTCAGGATTAATTAAATAAACAGGGTCTGGATTAGCGAGATTCTACTTTACATCTCACTTTACAATGAGAAATCAAGAGAAAATCTGAGTTTATTTATCTACTAAAACGAAATTAACAAAGTCAATTGAGATCGATAGAACTCGGACCATCATCAATCATTTTTCCAAAACTATTTGGATTAGTAATGACCTAATATAAATAATGCATAAATATATTAGGAAAATGTAAGGTGATAAGAGGATGACAAAGACGAAAGGTAAAGGTCATCCAATGAATGATACGCTTCCACGAAAATTTAAATTTGATTAACTCATGTTGAAACTTTCTGAATCAATAATATGAATAATTAATAAGAAGAATAAATACCTTTTTCTTAGGATTGAGAACAGCATCAGGGGAATTGATGTAGCCAGAACATGTCACAACATCCCCTGGAACAGATTCTGACGGAGGCCTCAGAACTTCAACTACACCGTCAGAACTGGCACACATAACCATTCCTTCAGATGTTATGCCCCTCATTTTGGCAGGTTTTAAGTTGGCCAATATAACTACAAGTGAATTTAGCATATCTTCAATTGGAATATGTTTTACAAGTCCACTAACCTAAAACATTACAAGCATATTCATGATTAATTAGTAAAATATAATGTAATCAAAAACTTGGAACTGTCATTTCAAGTTAAAAATAAGTATAAATCATTCTCTCATACAGTATATAAGAGGAATTATTTCTTACCTTGCAATGCTGTGATTGACTTTGAATACAACAAATATTAACATATTAAGTATCCCAATTTTTTTTTTTTAAACTTTTATTATGATATTTACAACTGTATTAGTATGAATACATCTAGTAAATTTGTACAGAGAAATATTATTACATGAAACACGCTTGTTGAGAAACTACCCACTGGTAGCACTCTAATAATTTGTCTACATGAGAAGATCACGAGGCCATCTTCTTTTCAGACGCCTCGGAGGGTTATCAGGAATCGAAGAGGAAGCAAGGTTAGAAACAAGAGGATTCGGATGGTTATGAAGTTTATTATGAAAGGATAGGTATCTGGATTTGGCCAAATCGGAAACATATGGAACATTGAGGTCTTTATGGATTATTTTATTAGTGACAAAGTAAGGAGCATTGAGGATTTTACGAAGGATTTTGAATTGTAAGGATTGGATGCGAGAGGAATTCGATGGTTTAGTGGAGCCCCATAGCTCAACTCCGTAAGTCCAAATAGGTCTTATTATAGTCAAGTATATGAGTCTTTTGTAATTAAGGGGAAGTTTAGAGCGTTTGTCTAGTAAGTGTTGGAGTAGTCGGAAACGTCGAGCGGTTTCTTGTTGTTTCAGTCTGGTATGAGGATTCCAAGTTAGACGTTTGTCCAAATGAAGTCCAAGGTATCGGATTTGTTCAACAGGGATAAGTGGGGTATTATTAAAGGATACTGTGGGACATGAGGTCATAGGTTTACGTCGAAGGGTAAAGGTGATTTGATGGGATTTATTAGAATTTATTTTAATCCTCCAGTTTTGACACCATTCTTCAAGGCTTGTGATGTGTGATTGAAGAGTTTGGGATGCAATGGTTGGGTCATTATTAACGGATAGGACACATGTATCATCGGCATACGTGGTAATAACAGTGTTAGGATGGGTTGGGATGTCAGCTGTATAAACTGTGTAAAGGATAGGACCAAGGATACTACCTTGAGGAACTCCGGCAGATTGAGAAAAGAGGGATGAATAGGTATTATTGTGATTTACTTTGAAGTGCCTATCAGTAAGATAGGAACTGATGATAAGAAAATATGTAGGGGGAAGGAATTTACGGAGTTTGTAAAGCAATCCCGGATGCCAGACTCGATCAAACACCTGTTCAACGTCGAGAAAAAGTCCAGTGCAATACATTCCGCGCTCCAATGCAGAGGAGACTACGTCTACCACACGATGACATTGCTGGATAGTGGAATGGGATGTGCGGAATCCAAATTGGTGATCAGGGATTATGTGGTTAGAATCTAGGATGGGATACAGGCGTTTTAAGATGAGCTTCTCCAGGATTTTGCCCATGATGGGTAAAAGAGAGATAGGACGGTAAGAGGATGGGTATTCTGGTGGCTTTTTGGGTTTATGTATCATTTTGACTACAGATAGTTTCCAAGGGTCAGGAAAATATGTGGAATGGAGTACGGCGTTATAAATGTAAGTAAGGAATAGAATGGCTTTTCGAGGAAGTAGCTTAAGAATGTGGGAAGTGATTAGGTCGTGGCCAGGAGCTTTGCGGGAGGGTAATCTGTGAATAATATTGGATATTTCTGAAGGATGAAATGCTTTAGGAGGAGGAGTCATCTGAAGTGGAATATCCAGTTCTGTTTCAATACATTCAAGCTGATTTGGATTAAGGATATCAGGATGTGGATTAAAAGTTTTGAAGAGGTGATGAGCAAAAATTTGGGATTTTTCTTCATCAGATTTGGACCAAGTTTGATCTTCAGTAAGAAGTGGATGATTAAAGTCTTTAAATTTCAGGAGCCGTTTAGTCGTCGTCCACAGTGATTTGTCGGTAGGTGTAAGTTTTTCAGTAAATTTTGAATTTTGTATTTTCTAATTTCTGATTTTAGTTTGTTAGTCAATTGGGTATAATGAGTTTTATCTGTTGGATATCTAGTTCTATGCCACTTCGATCTTGCTCTGCGTTTTTCCTTTAATAAGATACGAATATGCTGTGGCAAGTTATTCTTTTGTAAATTGTTAATCTTACTGTTAAAGGTGTTACTGTTTATACTGTCTGTTATTGATGTTGTAAGTTTTTCTATGGCACCATTAATGTCTTCTTTTGTCTTAAGCGGAATTTTCAAGTCTAGTTTGTTTTCCAAGTCATCACGAAAGTTGTCCCAGTGTACTCGTCCTGTAATCAATTTAGGAGATGATGGTTTAGGAGCATAGCTTGAATGTAGTGAAAGCAGCACTGGACTATGGTCTGAAGAAAGGTCATCGAGTGATTTGATTAAGGCTTGTGAGAAGGAAATCTGGGAGGTGATAAATATATCTAGGATATCGGGACGCTTTTTGAGTAATGTTGGCCAATAAGTAGGACTCATGGGCGAGAGGATTGAATAACTGTTGGAAGATGAGATACGTGAAAGGATGTTACCGCGGGAGTTGGATGTTCGACAACCCCATCGTTGGTGTTTAGCATTGTAGTCTCTTTATCCCAAGTTAAATTTTTAAAAATGAAAAATTAGATTGTTATCTAATTTCGCACAAATATTAGAGTGCTTCAAGTGAAGAAGAAGGAGGAATCATTTCCTTCAATATCACCTATCAAGTTATTAATAGAAGTATGCTAACTTTTATATAACAGTTTCAAACTGTTTCAAAATATAGTCGAATAGTTGATAATACAGATTCTCTGGAAGGAGGAAATAATATGTATTTCTAGGATTGATTAGGATAATTAAAAGATCTGTTAAAAATAAATGGCATTAACAATAAGTATATTTTCCAATAATGGAAAATATAATTGGGATTTTTGGAAAGTTGTAATAAGTCCAGCTCAAAATAAAGACTTGTTTCCATCTTATCTTTCTATCAAATAGAATTTATTTCAGAAATACAAATTAACTTTTATTTAATACAATTTAAAAAAAAAAGAAAAAAGAGGGGTATCATAAGTCATTTTAAGCTAACTGGTTATTACTGTGACTGAGAGTGATTAGCAAATATTTATTTTTTTGAAAATACAATGCTAGTCTGTGATATTAATTAAAATAATAATGATATAAATACATATGGTATACATGTATTTGAACTTACTACTGTTATAGGTTCTTTTCTTCCAATCTCAACTTTCTCAACATATAGACTGTCAGCATCTGGATGTTTTTCTATATGCACGATTTTACCAACTCTCAAGTCAAGCCTACCCACATCAACTGGTGGTTCTTCTGCACCATCTAGAAGTAGGTTTTTCTTAGTACAAAAGAAATAAATGGAATAAATATATATATATATATATATATATATATATATATATATATATATATATATATATATATATATATATATATATATATATATATATATATACAAATGAGAATCAGGTTATATGATAATTATAAAGAAAACAAAACAATAATTATTCTAAAGTAATTACTTCATTTAAGAAAAGAAAAAAATCATGAGATACTTGCCTAGAGAAAAAAATAAATAGTGAAATAAAACTTTATTGAATATAAAAATAAAATTAGTAGATGTAATCTAAGATATAATGACATGGCTAGACAAGTAGAGAGACTATCCATTGGCAACACTCTAATCAAGAGAATTTTTAAGTGATAAAAAATAAAAATAAGGTTGAGACTGCATTAAAAAAAAACTTTCTTAATTATGGAAAAAAGTTGAAACAACAGTGAGAGGGTGACAAGAGGAGAGGACCTGAAGGACATGTACTGATAAACACAAAACCTTCTTAACTCATTCACGTCTACTTTATAAACATTTTAGATGGTACATTCTTGTGTTTTTATTTTAAACTGGAAATATTAATGATTGCTAAGTTTTTAAAAACGGTGAAATTCGTCCTCAGAGGAAATCAGTCAACCTAAGGTATTACCAAGTCCCCATTTTATATGTTATGAACAAGTACTGATAATGAAAATGTGAATAACTTTATACTTTATATAAAACAAACTTTTATAAGTACTAAACAAATGTTTTTTTGTTCATTCAAAAAGTTATTGATTTTCTGTTTAACAATAAAGAGATGGATTTTGAGACCTTGGTGGCTAAAAACTGTTAAGGCTTCAGCTTAGTAACCTCAAATCAGAAACGGCACTAGTCAGTGTTTACTATGGAAAGGTAGTAATTTGTAATTAATCAAACAATCCAATTTTTTAAACTAATATTACAGAAAGTATTATTTGAAAACTCACTAGATTTTTTCAGAATTACTTTTTTTTCTTACACAAAAACAATCTTGTTCTAGTTAAAAATGCATTTTTGACTCAATTTTGTTTTTACACGTTGGGATATTCCTCATTCAATACCATAATTAAGGGATATATTGGTTCATATTTTTTTAAAAATTTTTATGGATGATGACTGACAGTATGTATGCTAAAACGGCTAAATTATATTAGGCCAGAAGAGGAAGTCAATGTAATTTTGCTGTAAGAAAAAAAAAAAAACTATTTGAAACCAAAATAATAAAATTAATTGATAAACATTTAGTTTTTATGATTTAGATCTAAATTTAAATAATATAAGAGATTTTGTAATTTATTTATTAATTTCTTAGAGTCACCTAAATTATAATGAGAAACAATTTAGTTTGAAATCATACCAACTGTATATAAGTATTCATAATCATAGTATTTGCCATAATAAATGTAATTCCAACAATGACAGCCTTTTTTGTAATTAAATTTGTTATCAGGAATTTTAATTTAAAATTTATATATTGACACTTAAAATAGTAAACTAAATTAAACAAAATTTTAATATTAATAAAATAATATAATATATCTGTACCACTTCAACTCATGAAATGTATTAGGTTCCAGTACTTAATAAGTACAAATTTGGAGAAATGGTTGTGGAAAGTGATTTGGTCAACATCACATTCAACCACCGGATTTTTCCCCCCAATTAAGAGTACCCCTTTAATAGAGGATGGACATGCCCTAAGAGTGTCTTCTAAAATCTAATATAGCAGAATAAATAATTATTAGCCACCACCCCTGGTTCCAGGTTACTAGAAGCACTCACCAAGCCACTGCACTTTTTATTAAATTAGGTATCTTATGTTTTTTTTATCCATTGTTTTTTCATTGTATGCACAAATAAAGGTTATTATTATTATAAGCATCTTATGTTTTAAACATTATAAAGATTCCAAATATAACTATGATTCATCATAAAACTTAACAAAGACAAATTTCAATAATACAACAAAAACAATTGAAAACAAATTTCTGAATTAACAATAATTAAAACTGACCTTTCTTAACTTCAGATTTGTCAGATTTTTTCTTATCTGGTTTATCTCCTTTTTTTTGCTCCTTTTTAACTTTTTTGGATTCCACATTATATGCAGCATCATCTGTTTTAGAAACATTTTGAGGAGCAAGGGAATCTTTTGATTTTTCTTCAACAGCATTTTCTTTAGTAGATATTATTTCATTTATTTTTGATTGTTGTAAAATATTAGCAAATGCTATCTACAAAAGAAAAATATGTTATACTTAATTTTTTATTAACAACTAACTAATGTAAGAAGCAAGTTAACCCAGGTAAAAATAAAATAAAGCTGATAGTTGTGGTTATGTTTAGTATTAAAAAAAGTTTAAAAAATGAATGTGGGTATTTTTGTTCCAGCATTCTTTCTGAACAGCTGGGAGAACTTATGTGAGCCTTTTGATAGTACTGGTGTGGCAGTAGGTGTTTAAATTAAAAGGGAAATATAATATGTTTCAGTACTCTGCAGAATATTTTATAAATAGTTTGAGGCAACTATAACAAAACTAGTCTCATATTATTATTCAAATTTATACCTATGGTCTTAAGGAATAAATTGATAAATCAAAGAATGGCCCATATGGGTTATGTGTATAATGATCATCTTCTAAACCTTTAATACGTTGTGAAAAAGATTTATGAGATAATAAAAGATACACATAATAAAAGTAATATAGTATTTCTTTTACACTAAGGGGAATGACATTGGTTACCTAGTTCCATATGGAGTATAGATTACAATCTATATGAAGATCAAGGTTGAATATTCTTGAGTTAAGTGCAGACTGATAAGAAGAATGGATGTTATCTTCATTAAGTTCTGAGAATATATTGGCTCCTCTGGACATCTTTTTTTATCCTTTTTCTCTTTTCTTAATCCAGCTTGGTGGTCACCTATTATATTTTCTTCATACTGATATATCCGGTTTAGTAGAATATTCATTATTATCTTGTAGGGAAGCGGAAGGAGTGCCAAGCCTCTGAAATTACTACATTCATACATGGAGCCTTTTTTTAGGATAGAACAGATTAGGCCTGTATGCCATGCCTCAGGTATCCTTTCCTCTTCCCATACTTTTTGAGTTAGTTGTAGTAGCTTGGCTCTTAAGTCTTCTTCACCATCTCCAAACAGTTCTGATAGTAGATTGTCTATGCCTGGGGTCTTTTTTGTTTTGAGAGTTTTGATAGCTGTTTCTACATCCGATATATCTGGTTTTTCAACTTCTTTTGGGTCAAGGTCCTCAGTGTGGTCCATATCTTCTTCGTTCGTGGGGTCCCCTTGATTGAGAAGTTCCAAAATGCTATCTTTCTCTCGTATTTATGTATTTCTCACTTTATAACTTACCCTTTCTATCCTAATATTTGTGTAGAATTCGTGTATATCTCCAGCCTGTCAGTTGTCTTCTAAGGTTTATAATCTTTCTTTGAGGAATTCCCTTTTTGCTGATGTTATAACCTTGTTTGTCTCTTTCTTGGCAGCTATATAATTGTTCTGGACATTTTTTTTTCCCTCCTCTTTAAGGCTATACGTGGTTTTCCCGGGGCAGGGTGTGAGGGCTTGGATTTAAAAGACTCTCCCGGCACTGGGACACTAACAAGTGAATATTTTTATCCAGTTATTTTATGTATCAGGTTGGCGGTGCTGTGCATACACGTTAGCCTGTTCGGCGACCCCGTTCCTACTTGTCCTGGGCATCTTAACATCCTATAATTTGAATGGTTGTGATATGTCGGGAGAAATCCACATTTCTTCACACATTATGTATGCGTGTGGATTTCTCCCAATTCATAACGTTACTTATGAAACTACACTCCTAACGTCTTGTACAACTGAGAAATCAAAATTTTTTTAAACCTTGACCTATCATAAAAATTACTTCCATAATTTTAAGAATGAATAATATTCATCTTTTACGTTTCACCTTATGGGTATTTTACAAAATTTCTTTTTGGGTTTTAACCATAAAAGTAAATTGGATTTTTTGTTTACAGAATCGTGGGTTGAAAGAACAGTATGTCCATACGGAATTCTACCTTCTCTTTTGAACTAGATGGCTTAAGATACTTTTAAGGAAAATTAAATATAAAAAATAAAATCAATTGTTGGCACTGAATAAAAAATTAATATTAAATAATCAATCCTTTATTCAATTTATAAAAGTTTTCAAGATATAAAAAATGTTTCAGTCTGAAATGACCTTTTTTTTTTTTCTCTTCCCTACCTTGCCTTTTAGTCTATACGGGATTTTCCTGGGCCGGAGGGTGAGGGCGGGGAATTTAAAATCCCCTCCGGCACCGGGATGCGAACTCCCGGTTTCTTTTTAATCTTCTCAAATCTCTTATCTGGTTGCCAGGCAACTCGCGGTGCAGTGCACACGCTTTAGCCCATTCAGCCACCCCGCCCCGAGTCTGAAATAACCTGTAATAATTATATCGAGTACATGAACAACCTCAGTGCTCAAACCACGCCCTGAAGATGACCCACATGTTTGGGTTGAAACGTTGGCAAAAATAAAAAAAATTTTAAAAAAGACTGTGTCCTGAATATTTATCACCCATGTAATAATTATACCATTTAACAACACACAATTGGAAACTACACATAATGTTTGCAAAACAATTATGTGACAAAAGCAAATTAGCCTGAAGTGCTGAAATGTTGGTGGATTAAGCATTTAGGGGTTCAATGGACATAATTAAAGGGATAAATAAACCCCCTAACAGCTCCTTTTCAGTTGAGGTCAGAGGCTTAGTAGAGAGTTCAGCCACATTTGGTCTTTCTCTCGATTCTATTTGATTGGGGATTGATGGTTGAATGTATTGAATAATTGAAGAGAAGATTGGATGTGGTGTTCAGTAAAAAAAAAAAATAAATATAAATTTTTTTTCTCCAAACATTTCGGCCTAAAGTTACCTTTATGTTAAATATCCTAACTTTGTTAATGTTAGGATATTTAACATCAAACATGTTTTCTTTAAGTTTATTCTACATACATTTTTTAGACTATACCTTTCACCTACAATCATCATTTTATTTTTTTGATGTTAATAGTTCCTGTACCCATTTTTATCTGGTTTTCTCTTAGCCTCTGATGAAGGCTTGAACTTTGGGCTGAAACGTCGGCAAAAATAAATATAATTTATTTATTTTTACATTTTTTTTACTTAACACCACAACCGATCTTCTCTTCAATTTATCCCATTTATGGTGTGATCATGAGATCTTGTGTCACCCATGAAAGTGGAGTGTCTTTTGCACAATGGTCTGCAAATAGATACTATATCTGGGGGTGAAAAGAAGAAAAATCTGCAATGAATTGGCATTAACTTAGATAATTACATTTTTTATTATAAATATAGATGATTTACAGTTCATGAAAAAGTGTTCAATTTTCTTATTAATCACCACTATTCTCAGCGACTATTATTGAAATTAATAAAATGATTCTACCCCTCTAAACAAGCATAATTAATTCAGTTAATATATAAATATATTCAAACTTTATTTTAAGTAAGTATTACTATAATGAACAACATCAAATAAACATGGTAGGGCTGTATTAGCATAATATTAAGGAGGAATTATATTCAAGATAATTGGACAGGATAAAAATTATCTTGGCAAGTTTAAAATTAGTTTAATTTTTGAAGCATCTATTCAATGTAATAGATTTCTATTTGAAGCATAACAATTAAGGTCCATGAAACATTTTTTAATACAACATTCCATCATCAAATTATGATTGACTTGAAAAATCAAGATTTTAAATAAAAAGGTGAAACAGAGTAAAATTAAATACTTACTTGTCTTCTTCCATTAGCTAATTCCAACTGAGTTAGTTCATTTCTGTACTTCTGAATTTCTTCTTCGAGCTCTCTGTTTTCTTTCTCCAATCTTTCTATCAAAATATTATCAATAATTCTAGCTTCAACGTCACTCACCTAAAACAGTTTCATTAAGTACTTATAATACTTCACGAACTTCATCGAAGTATAAATTTTACCTCGCTCCGCAAAGCCATAATTTTTTTTTCGATGTCATCATCAGCCAATAGAATTTTTTCAATCCTATCCATTTGGAATTTGTACAGAGGTCTAATACTGCAGGAGTTAGTAACGTAAATACTGCATTTCAAAACAGAACAGGACCTTGATAGCAAGGGTGTCAGCCGACGAAGCATGAGTTGATGTAACCTCTCCCTCTTATCGATTTTTAGCTGGAGAGACTCAAATAGAAATAAATAAAATATCGATAATATTGAACTAGTATATTCAAGCTTATAGTGAAATTGGACCTAAAATCTGTTTTTCCGGTTGACTTCGCTACCCTCTCCAATTGCAATTCAGTGTTCACCTGTATTAATCATTAAAATTACGTATTCCTACTTTAGATAAAAGTTCTGGGCCTCACAAGCTTCTTAATATTTTCTCTTTTACTCAATATATAACGCTGAATATTTTGTTGTTCCCTGACATTCTTATTTATTTCATATTAATTTTCTCTTCACTTTTCCAACTGTTACCTCATTTTTTAATTCGCTAATATTTTTATTACTGACCGTTCTTCACCAACATTTAAACACATTAATAAAGACCATGTTTATTAAAGAACATTTTCACGTTAAAAGTGGGAGGCAGCTGTCACATCTTGTCCTCCACTGGAAACTCAATGCCCTAATCATCAGTAGTGACAATAGGTAACAAGAGTAGTTATGTTAGTATACTATCTGATTTTATGGTGGTTGGGCATGACAATAAGCAAAATTTTTCGGGTTTAACGCAATTTTTTGTTTGTCACATAATCCATAATAGATCTCGTTTTAATTGATTTAAAACCGTCTTCCAACCAAAATTTAATTTCTTTAAAGCCGCCTTTCAACCAAAATATCAAGTCGTGTTCTGGACTTGTCCTTAATTAGGAAAGTGCATAGATAGATAGAATAACAATATCTAGTCACGAAAATAAATGAGAACTATTTAGAATGTGTTAAGACTAGTATATGTTTTAGAATTGTAGTAAAAATTCCACAATATCTGTACACAAGACCACAGGTGGATCTATGGGGGGAGAGGGAGAGGAGATGGGAGAGGTAGCTTTTGGGCTGAAACCCCCCAAAATGTAACCATGTTTTATAGTAAAAAATTATTTCTTAAATTATTATTGTTTGTGTAATTAATTTAACAGGACTTCAAGAAACTCTTGAACACTATTTCATATAGGTAGTTAGTTTCATTCTTTTTTTCAAAAGTAATTATTATTATATATATGAAAAAAAAGCTTTCCAGCTGAAGCCTTCCCCCCCCCAAAAAAAAATTAAATCCTGGAGCTGCTAGTGTACAAAACTATTTTTCTTTTAGAAATTATACCATGAAAATTTTTTATTATAAAAATGACCCACATTCAAACTTCCGTTAACTTGTAAAATTACTTGCATCTGTATACTGTTTAATTTCAATCTACTGCACAATAATTTTAATATCAATTATAACAATCAGCAGTTATTTAGTTCGCATTTTTTATTATTCTAAGCTAGACTAAGAACCATAAATTTATAACTCAGTTATTATTCATAGGGGATTGTAGTTGCAGAATAAAATTATTTTTTTCATTTCATAATGGAGGTAAAACCCCCTGTTGAAATGAAGTGAAGCAGTTGAGCAAGGATAATGCCAATAACGGTTTGAAGAGTTGAAAGAAGAATAAACAATAATACATAATTCAGCCAATGGGGGTTCTACCTGGAAAGTTTTTAGATTTTTTTTTTTAATCAATAATTAATTTAAGTAAAAAATTATGTTTTCTTTCATTTTGGACATATCCTGGAAACAATCAATAAATAAAATAAAAATACAAAACAATGTTCATACCTTTATTAAAGTAGTGTAAATTTTCTAAAATGTAAGCCCTAATAAAGCTCTGTAAATTTAATAATTCCTTAATAATAATGTATATACAACTGTATAGTTGTTGAAAAAATATTATGTTTTACTGAAAGACAACGAATCAATAGGTATTTTCTGATTTTATTTTGGCAAATATCATGGAAATCATTAATGAATAAAACTGCATCATGAAAAAAAAATTGCTATCTGGGACTGAGATAATTCTTTACACTGCTTTACTATATGTATATGTCTGTTTCTATTCAGCTAAACTTTCTTATATAAAGTCTCTTCTTCATTTTCAAGAAAATTTAAATTGAAGGAAGAAATTAGAGCTGGCAATTGATGGCTTTTCAGACTCAACGAATTGACTCCAAAGTTTTAATTTTCTCGCCAGAAAAAATCCCAGATTGGTAGACTTTTTAGAAGGTATTAAGAAGGATAAACTGGTGTTTGATTTTTTTTTTTTTTTTTTTTTTTTAGATAAAGGAAAATGAAAATAAGAAGAATTTGTTATAATTACAATAAAATTTTATTTAAAATGACTATAAACAACAGAAATTATGACCAGGTTTCTTCTTGGTATCGGCCAGTGGCTTCCATTTTTTCTATGTAAGTTTTTGCTTCTTCCTCATTAAAACCACCATCTGTAGCGATAATATCAATAAATGCACTTTTCACAGCCTTAGGCATATTGTTAGAACTTCCAGCAACAAAAATAGAACAATCATCAGAATGTATCCTTTGGAACAAAAAATGCCCCTCAGATGCAATTTTATGTTGCACGTATCTGTAATAAAGTAACATTTTAATATTGATTTAATAACTATATACAAAAAACGCATGGAATAATTTTCCTTTGGTTCAAATCATTTATAAACCTTAAAATCATTTTCGAATTAAAAAATACTTTAAATAATAGAAGATTAAGTTTCACATAAACAAATTTAGAAACACATTTTAGGGATTTTTATTTCAAAATTTCAAACCTAGCACAAAAATATGGTAAGTACAATGTCATCATTCTAACTTTGTTCAAGAAGCTTGACTCTGTGAACAGGCCTTTAAACTTATTAATCTATGCTCTATTTTCTAGTCTAAGTATAGCTCTTAATAATTCGGAACAAATCTCAAAATGAAGTTGTTCAATTATAGTTAGCGTAAGTTTATCACTCATTTTGAACAGCATGGGAAAAGCTTATATCAGTCAAGTTGAGTTTTATATGTTTCATGAATCTCAGCAGTATAATGCAGATCTTTCCTGGTATTAAACTCTTTAATAACTCATAAAGAAGTTTTTCCAGCTCTGGTAATTTTACATTTCTCGATTTAATAAGACTTAACATATATATTGCAATTTCTTTAAATAAGATAAGACAACCAATAATCAGAAGTTTCTGTAATAATGTACAATTAAAAATAAAATAAAAAGTTTTTTAATTTTCCAAATTAGTCATGATTATATGTGACATATGTACATAAACAAAAAAAAAAAAAAAAATTAATGCTTAGTTAATAATTCTAAAAATGGCTTACAGTTTCTCTGGCTGATCTCTAGAAAAAGCAGTTATGAGTTTTATATCATTAGTAGTTTCCCATTTTTCAAACTCACTGCCAAAATGAAAATCTGCATTTCTATATCTGTAATTTAAAAGAAAATAAATAAATCAAATATAAAAATTGAGTGTTGAATCTCTCTTCAAACTTTTGATTGATTAAATAAATTTTACTACAACAAAAAAATGTCTATTGTCTATTAACAGAAATATCGTTATTAAATAAATAATGCCATTGAAAGCTTGTTAGAGGTAAAAGGCACTATGCCATTTCTATCATAATGTTTTCCAGAAAATTTTTAATGATGAAAATTACAGTAATATTTACGCAATTAAAACATCATTGATAACGTAAATCTTATTATGAATATGTCCTTTATACAATAAGGAAATAAAGGTATTGGATTTAATTGAATAAGGAAATGGTCCAGCATGGCGGTCATAAAAAGACTACAATAGTGGAAAAATTTTTTAAAATAAAGCCAACGTTTCGACCTGACTGGATCTTCTTCAAAGTCGGGTCGAAACGTTGACTTGAAAAAAAAATATTTTTTCACAATTGTGGTCTTTTTGTAATCGCCACCCTGGACTATCTCTTTACTTAATAATATACAACAGACAACCATAAAGTATTCAGTATTGAATTTTAATCTAGGGCAATACTTAATATGGAGAAAATAGTGTTTGTATTATTAAGTAAGCCTTTAGAAATATTATAAAAAAATAAAATTCTGAATGTGTGACATAAGAATAAGTTAAATTAATGTTTCTCTAAGATTATTTGTGAAGATATTGTTGACCATGGAATGAATTTTAGAAGTTGGTTGGAGAGTACAGTCATTGATGAAATAATACAAACAAGAAACCTTATTTTATTGTATTTCTAAGTTTAGGTCTTCATCAGGGCTCGGTAAAAACAAGGTGATAAAAAAAAAAAAAGTGTAAGTATGAGAAAGAGAAAGAAATATAGAATAACAAGAAAATAACTTCTTATTTTTTATCTCCATGAAAAAACAGTAAAAAAATAGTAATGATAAACCAAACATGCATGTATAAATATTGAAAATAAAATAATGACATATATATGAAAAACTATGATAAGTAAGATAAATTAAAAAATATTTTATATATCATAATTTTTCATTTATATCTCATTATTCAATTTTCATTTTTATTACTAACACAAACATATTTGGTTTATCATCATGATGTGCACACTCAAATTTTCAAACTGTTTTTCTAAACAGTTTCTGATTGGTTTTTGTAATTATTCAGCCCTAATAATTGCCTTTAACTCAAGCCGAAACGACTGCTCATAATAAAATAAGGTTTCTTATTTGTGTTTTATTCATCAATGACCACAGTTCAAACCAAATTCTTCAACAGTTCTCTAAGAATAATCTTTTACAAACCTTGAACCGAAAATTACAACCAGCCATTCCTTCGGAATATCACCTTCGCCATGATGAATTTGTGTTACTCTTTTAGAAATAAAGCTTCTAAACGGAGCGATTCCTGTGCCTGGTCCCACCATAATCACAGATCCTCTCTAGAAACACATTAGCTCATTAATTGTGTACTTTTTTTATAAATAAAAATTTAACTTAAATATATTACAGTAAATTACTTCTGGAAACTTCAGTGAAGGAGGCTTAATGGCAACACAAACTCTACCAGAGACAGTTGATAGCCAAGTTGAAGCCAATCCTTGTCTAGGAACAGAAAGGCGAGTTTTATATTGAACAATAGCAACCAGTAACTTTATGACAGGACCATCATACTAAGAAAAAAAAACAAAAAACAAATATACATATAACAGAGTTATTATTTTATATAATTTAATAAAAAAAAGCTCAATTCAATTCATAAAGATATTAGTTCCAAACGAAAATTATGAGCCTGGAGACCAGCAAAATTGTAATAATGAAAGCAATATAATAATTTTAAAGGTGAGAAATTATTAAGTTGCAACATTCAATCAATATAACTATTATTTTCAATTGCGGTTTTACAGAAAATCATTTATTTTGAATATTTATGGTATTAATAATATATAGTATGACAAAAATTTAAATTAATGTGTCATAGATTTAAAAAAATATATTTTATCTAAATAAAAAAATTATCAATTTACTATTTATTCGGTTTCACTAGTGGTAGCTGAAAAAAAAGGCCTTTTTTTGTTTTTAATTTCCATAAAACTGTTCCTATAAAGAAAAAAGCTATTTCAATCAAATCAATGAAATGAATTAAAAAATGGTAGAGAAATTTAATCAAAAGTGTTTTTGTGAACACTTCATTTAATATTATTTTCCATGGCAACGCTTAGTCCTGAACTCTCACGCCTGACTTGGCTAAAATTATGGGAGGTTGAATCGGAAGATCGTCTCATCTATCTTACACTAAACCTCTCGATTACTACTTTTCAAGCCCATGATCCATCACCTTCTTATAAGCAAACTTTTTGGAAAAGGGTATAGATTCTAAAGAAGCGTAATTCAATGGTATTAATATATCATTCTCATTTCTTCGCAGAATATTTATTTTGTTATTAACTTTCATCTATTTGTATTTTCTGCTTTTCTATTATTTACATTTACCTATCTTTTTATTACTTTTAAATTACAATGATTATTTCTGTATTTTTTGTTAAATATCTTTGTTATAGCCCTTATGATGGTACTCTATAGCCTTGATAAAATGTTGGCTAATGTAATAAACAGAAACATCATTTTTATTTGTTAATGATTATTCTATAATTGACCAAGAAAAAAGAAATGCTAATCCACTCAAAATTTGAGAGTTTATGTATCAAAATACTTAGAATCTGTAAATAAAATAAAAAAACTGTTTAAATCCGTCCACATGGCACACGAAGAATTTCTACTAACTTAACCCGACATAATCATCAAAATTTGACATTACCGTCCACCAGTTTATTTCCAAATAAAGATCATATCTAAGGCCTTTACGAATATATTTTAGGATATAAAATTTTCATGAAATTATTAGTCGAAGAGTAATAATTTGCAACATTTTTCAATATAATTCCACTTCATTGATCCTTAACAAAGTAATTATTTTTTACTTAATTTATGTTTACTTAGTGCCACTGTTTAAATCCCTCCATTAAAGTAAATTTTAAAGCTATATTACGTATCTTAACAAAAATTACTCATCTCCTATTCCTATTATACTATTTCATACCATAAGCAGGATGTTTAATATTGAGAAAATAAATAAGTGTTAATTAGCCTTTATACCTCAATAGATGAAGCTATGGAATAAGCCCTTGCTCTGATTGGCTGAAATATTTCAAAAAGATGATCAAGTTGAAGATTAGATGCTGCCACAGGAAAATCTTGAAGCACCTAAGCATAAGATAATGATTTGAGAGTTCTTAAAGGTTTAGTTCCTGAAATCAAATATAAAATTGTTATCTACTTTTTTTATATAATAAAAACAATAGAACAACCCTATTGAAAACAGTAGAAAACTCTTATGACCACAATATATTGCAATTAGGAGAAAGCTTACTTCCAGTGTAGTTCGTCTAGGCCGATTACAATAGGAATACATTTCATCCAAGCCACTAGGTGTCAAGAACTCATCTAGTTTTTCTTTTTCAAGTTCGCTGGTTGTTACTTTAGCTAATACTTCAAATACGTACCGTCTTGGAACAGCCTGAGACAATTCAAGAAAAGTAGTAGTGAATCATTCTATCTTGTTATTGTGATAAAATTAATTTTAAAAATATTATCAAAATTAGAATCCATTATAAATCAATTAATTGCTAAGATTAGAATAGATTAGTTTTGAGTCTATAAATGGTATTAGATAAAGGTTGGCCGATATTTGTATACTTCAGAATAAATTAGATAATGAGATAAAAATATAAAACTAATGTTGTATTCATATGTCAGTTATACTTTATAATGATTACATAAAGTTTCAAGGAAAATATTTAACCCTTATTTACTTCATAAAACTTTATTTCATTTTTATACTTTGACGACGTTTTGGGCTATTTTTGATAAGTTGATTCATGATTAATATTAGTGTACTGGTACTAATAATGGCGGGAGAAACTATTCCGTATTGATAGGAGTCATCATAAAGTCTGAGGGCAAGAATGTTTCATGGTAGCTCTCATTACTACATTCATTCTATAATTTCCCACCTTAGAATACACCTTTAGACTTGATCAAAAGACCCATACAGTCATTGACATTGATGATTTGGGGCAGAAAACTGTAGCTGTAATGGATAAAAAGATAAAGGCAAAAAAATTGTTCAATACTTCTTTATCACAAGTTTCTCATGTTAGAGCTATTTCTGATTCTGAGGAACCCCGATCCACAACAGCCACACTTTTCAGTCCCGAATCATCAATGACAGTAAAAATGTTTTAATCAAGCCACATAATGTACTATTAGGTGTGAAATGATGATAACGGTAGCTTCCATGAGTTTCACATGCTTTTGCTAGACTTTAAGCAGACTAATTAATTTTTTTGACATAATTGTAACTTGTTATTTCAGAGTCAGTATTTTGAAAATAATATTATGACATGTAAGCAAGAATTTCAACATTAATACAAACATTGAAATACCTCAAAATAAATATTAAAGATAACACTAATTCACTTTTTCTTATTAATTATTTTGTGGTTAATTTAAAAGATATTTATACGATCAAGAGTAACATTTATAGATGTACGATGAGATGATTCAAACTAATATATATATTTTTTTTATAGAGGATAACTATATATTTTCCCACTATACCTACCAGCAAGGGAAGTCTCAGTAATCTGAACAGTTTTTTTCTTTTAAATGATAGACTAGAAGTGTTGGGTGTAGTTCACTAATTTTTAGTTGAATAAAATAAAAACTTATTTGGATGTTACAAAAAAGTTTTTGAACTAATGGGTTGTCCGGAAAATAATGAAGGATTTTGGTTTAAAAAGAAAAATTTACAACTGTTTCATTAAATCAAAATAGCCTCCACTACTATCAATACATTTCTGCCAATGTGGTGACAACTTTTCCATTCCCTCGGAATAGAATTTCCTATCTTTAGAATTGATAAATTCAAAAACACATTTTTTAATTCTCTTTGTCCATCAAAGTTTTTGTCACATAAGTAGTGATCCAGGTATCTAAAAAAAATGATAATCCGTAGGCGAGAAGTCCGGACAGTAGGGTGGATGTGGCAGAGTTTCATATCCAAGCTCCATAACCATTTCATATCTAAGTTTTTGTGACGTCACACATGAGACATGTGGCTGGGCATTGTCATGCAACAAAATGAGCCACTTCTGATTGACCAAAGATAGCTTCATTACTGCCAATTTCTGATGCATTGTATTAATTCAGTAACAATACGATTCAGCATTGATGGTTTCTCCAGGATTTAAGAAGCTGTAGTGTATCAAACCAAATGAGGCCCACCAAACAGTAACCATCACCTTTTTTTGATATGAGCTGGGGGCTTTGGAAAATGTTCTACTGCTTCCCCTCTGTCGAGTCACTGTCCAGAACATCTACTTTTCATCACAAGTTAAAATTCTGGACAGAAAGAGTTTGTTTTGTTTCGGCAAAGAAGTGTAGCACAGAATTCATAATGTGTTTTTTGGTGGTCGTTAAATGTGTGTGGAACACAACTTTCAAGCTGTTTTACCTTTCCAACCACCCTAAGGTGGTCATCGACAGTCGATTTGCTAAGGTTAAGTTTCCCTGCAAGTTTTCGAGCAGTTGTTCTAGGATTTTCTTTCACCAAAGCTCACAGAACGCCGTCATCAAAAGAGGAAGTCCTTCCACCACCTTTGTCTTCAAGGCTGAAGTCTCCCTCCTAAAATTTTTTGAACCCGTTAAACAGTGAACTCATTAATACTGCTCTCACCCTAGACTTGATTGATGTTTCTAGCCGTCTGAGCCCCATTCCGGGGCTGAGTTTAAACTCGTAAAATAAAATTGTGTGTTGAAATCTTAGTAAAGATGAAATTATTTCTAAGCAGTGAAATGCTACAGAATTAAACGAACATTATCGTTTGGAAGAAGATTGCTAAATGTTGACATTCATTCAAATGAATAATCCAGCAAACGTGAACAGTTTGTTATACAGAGGGGTATTTTAAACAAAACTCAAAATCCTGCATTATTTTCCGGACAACCCAATAAAAAGTAAAGCAGAAGGAGCTAACTAAAAAATAAAATTGAAAAATATTAGTGTTGCCCACAAATAACAATGATGATAGAGATATAATTGACTGTTGAATTTGTAACAATGAATAATGGTCAGGATGTGCAGCCAAAAAAGTATGTTCATTATAATAATTATTAATTTATTTGTGGTTATCAAATAACAACTAACAATCTGTAATTTTAAACTAGAAGATGGAATTTCGGAAAATTAATTTGGGACATTCTAGATAGCAACTCATTAATCAAAACTGAATTAACTTTTGCAGTATGTAATTTAACTGTATTAGGTAACAGGAGCCATGATGTCCATGATTGTTAAGGGTTCGTCACCTTACACAACCCTCTCTCCCTCCCACTTGTATACCAGAAATGGCCAAGTAGGAGGTAAAAGAGAGAAATTAAGACCTTGGCAATTTCATATCCAGTGATGCTGGTTTGAATCAGACCTGGGTGGTTTGAAATTTATTGATGGCAGACCCACGGAATGAATCTTGCAATTTCCCCCTCTGGATATTTAAACATAATGAAGTTTTAATCATTACTTGGAATAACATAACTAAATAACTAATGTTTAGTTATTTTGGAAAACAATTTTTTTTATATGTTTAAAAAAATATATTGAAATTTTATAGTTGTATCTATTATTGATTTATCATGATATGATAAGAATGCTCAATAGTGGCTAATTAATAATTCCTTAATTAAGTAATGTATGAAGAGATATTTAATATAAATATAAAAAGAAAAAAGAATATTTTGATTATAATTTGTATATTTACAAATATACAATAACTGTTTTCAACAGAACATTTATTAATCCTTGGTACAGACCCCTCTTTAGCAAATTATTAACATCCGGCTGAAACTTCGTATAGAGTTCATCTCATCGTAACCTACAAATATTTTATTTTCGAAAATTCTCGGGATTGGAGCATTTTCAATCTGGAGATCGGCAAACTTTGTTTATTTAATTAAGGACTAAAAACTCGTAAATTCCCATTTGCTTTCCACTAGAATAGTAAGATATCTTCCACAAAAAGTTGGAAAAAAAGGTGGCCTTCGAAAATATTGAACCGTTTGGCGTGACTTACACCCCACCCCCAAATTGTCAAAATAACGAGGTTATTGAGGCCAAACAGCCCAAACTTTTTGTAGGCCACCTTTTTTTTTTTTTTTTTTTTTTATCAATTTTGTGATCAAATTATCTTATGAACCAAATGGAAAGCAAATATGTATTTACGAGTTTTTAAGACATCATTAAATAAACAAAGTTTGCCGATCTCCAGATTGAAAACACCCCAAATCCGAGAATTTTCGTAAATAAAATATTTGTAGGTTACGATGAGATGAAGATATTTACAAAGTTTCAGCCGGATGTTAATAATTTGATAAAAAGGGGTCTGTACCACGGACTATACTGTTAGTCACTGATCATAGCAGCATAAAATGATTTTACTAACAAACGTTTTCAGCTGTATTGCTTTACAAGATTCTATGTTCAATAAAAAAAAAAATCTGTGAGTAGTCATCAGGTTTAACAATCCATTTGCTATTTTCTGTATTTCTGCAATAGATCAAGGGTAAGCCGCGTAACCAACCTCACCATTTTAAAGCTATACAAACATTAAATCAAGTAAACTTTAAACTAAATTAAAGTTTAAAGAAGATGTAAAACTAAATAATTCAAATAACTGAATTTTAAAAATGAAATATACATTTTAAAACATATGCTAGATTAAATATTTAATTATTTACATTTTAAAAACATTTCTCTTAAGCTGGAACAACTGTAAGTATTTAAGAAAACATTAAAAGATTTACATTTTTAAATATATCTGAAAATTAAACATTCATTCAATTATCTTGAAGTTTTTAAGCAGATATTTTCCACATTTGCAAGTTAAAATATTCATCTATATATGTTGTGAAGTTACCTTCAACATATTTGAATATTATTATCATTTTAATTATTGAACTCTGTAATTTCAATACAGATATTTTGTAGTGAATAGGTTTGACGACATTGTTAACATTATTCATCTTAAGTAAAATATCTTTTATTGTACTTAATGAGTTTTGTATTTTTATTTAAAGTATACCATAGAGTTCTACAGATTTCAGACTTATTGGTATGATACATGACTTTCACTTTGGTAATCATTTTCTTTTATAATTAATTCAATTCACTCCTGATAATACATAAAACAACTTTATTATCCTTTGATAAATTAGATTATATTGGTTAATAGATAACTATTTATACACTATTCAATAAAAATTCATGGACATTGAATAAATAAATGGAAAAAAATATGCATACACAAACATTTATATAGGTTCACAAGTGTCGGTGTCTGGTTGACGGATGGGTGAAGATCACAGCGATTATGCTATAGATGGAACTGAGTGGATGATGGAACTAACTGAGTGAGTCCAAAAGTGTACAGAGATGACTGAACTTTTTAAAGTATAATCATTCAACCTCAACTGAAAAGGACACATTAAAGTTTTTTTAACCTATTGAGCATACATTTCACTACTTTCTAAATTTGCTTGTACAGTATGATTTATGTGATCTTGACGCACCACTTGCGAACTTGTATTGAAATTCTATAATAATTTCATAAATTAGCATTAAAAATATATACTAATATCTGCTAAGGAACAAACGAAATACTTTTCATAGCACCCATACATAGTTTACTAAATTATTTCAAGTATAAAGAACTAATAATATCAAAATACACTAGATATCAAAGGGTGTGATTCAAGAAGACGATTATGACAGACAGCAAACTACGAGAAATAGATCCAGGAAAAAATCCAAAAAAACCAAACCCAGTAAAAAACGACGATGAAGACTCAGATTTATTAGAGGAAGAAGAACAAAGAAGTGAACACACCTCTGAACTAATGAACAAAAGCAGCAATGAAAGTAGCTCATCAGTTTTAACTGAGACTCTTTCACCTTGGAGAGCAGCTGCATATCTCCATATACAAACATGTAGAGCAAAATTCATAAAAGAATTTGGGAAAGACATACATCTGCACAGTGATGATTCAGATACAATGATAAAACTAAAGGAGAAGATTACACCGAGTTGTGCACAAATAGCCGATAAAGAACGATTAAGAAAGAAACATAAAAAAGTATCAAAATCAATACCTACGCCATTTGATGAGTGGCTAAATAAAAAGAATAAAGAGGTATGAAATGTAAGCAGAAATTAGTTAAATGCCTTCAGCAAAATTTTTAGTATATTTTTGTTAGAAAAAATACAGAGAAAAATAGTTAGAATTTGGAAGTAAGTTCAGAATAATAAATGAGGAAGCTATATTTGACGGTGCCAAAAGTAATATAAATTATGTTAAAATAATATATGTAAGGTCCAGCACACAGGCCAAACTGCATAGGCTTAGCAACCAGTGCTTTGTAGATTTCAGTAGCTAGTGAACAGCTTTATTTTGCTTCTGAAGACCATGATAATATTTATTTGAGACAAACCTTGGCACCATGACCTGATATTGTAACTATTATTACATGCCCATATTTCAAAAATGGCTCATTCGATTTGTTTCAAAGTTGGGAGGATAGTGTTATGTTGGTCTGGTATCAATTTTATCAAATTCCATGACCTAACTTTGGTAATAATAATACATTTTCATTAACACGCCTATATCTCAAAAATGGTGCATCCTTCACCTAATGACTCTACAACCCTAAAATTTGAGTGTAGACCTCCAAACTTCAAATATTTGTTCCCAGAACTCTCTAGCAGGGATATTTTCCACTCCCAACCTCACAAGAAGACTGGTCCAATGTAACATCCCTAATTTGATATGCTGGATGAACATCCTTGTACGTGATATACTGGATCCTTGTACGTGTGCTTTCAGTTCTATGTTTGTCCTTTTCTTTCATATATAATTCCGAAAAAGCGGCCCATATACTCTTTTCAGAACTTGTCTTTCAAAATATAGCGTTGAAGATTCTTGAGCTCCAGTTAGGGTTAATATTTCAGAGGCATAAGTTAGAACATGTTCAAAAATAGATTTAAAAAATCCAGATTTTTGAGAGATTCAGTAGGAGAGATGTTGTTCAGAGATGTTTCTGTAGTGCAGTAATGTCATTCAGCACTTCTTTTTTCAAGGGATACGAACTCATCAACATTGTCATTTACCTCTATTTTAATATTTGTTTCCAGATTAGAGCCTGTAGGATTTGCATTACGCTACATGGTTTCATTGAAGTTCACCAGTAGTCCCATTTTAGTGGCATCATTCATTCTCCTATGCTTTATATGCATCCTTAAAAGCGTCTTGTGACCTTTCTACAATATCAATATATTGTCAGCATATCTGAGCAATTATATGAAACGATTACTTTGAAAGAAAAAAACAATTTTGTTAAATTTAATATAAAGCCCCTTCATTCGCTTAAGTCTTTATATATCCAATGTATATGAACCTAAACTCATTCAGATTATTAACATCAAAATCTTCAAGACAATCAATCTTCCTAAATAATTTTATTGCAATTAATCAGTTTTTTTTAAGACAAAAGTTTATTTTGTATTCAGCTGAAACATCAAAAGATGCAGGCATATAAACAACGAGAAATAAAGGAGCTCAAAGAAGCTGCAGAAGAAGCAAAGAAGGCCAAAAAAAGAAGTGATAAAGCAGAAAAATGGCGGAAGAATAGGCAACATTTAGATAATGAGAAAAAAGGTAAACAAATATTGAAGTATAGGTTAGCATAAACTTTATATGGGGGAGTCCAGTTTTCTCAGAACTCAAAAAATGATAATTATCACTTTTATCCACTCGACCTTTCAATTGCAAATTTGATATTAAAAATTTATTTTTTATATATTTAAAGTTAAGGACAAAAATTAATCAAAACAGTAATAGATATTAACTTTTCTTTCAGCAATAGCAAAAATTAAGGCAAGAGATAGACCAGAAAAACAATATTTAACTGACTTAAGTTCAAATGTAATTCCTGCTACTGAGTGGGAGAAGATAAGACAAGCAGCGGAAGATATGAAACATATTGGTAAAACTGTTTTGTAATAATTTTAGTAGGCATAATATAAATAGGACATTAAGGAACTAACAGTTATCAAACTAAAATCCATTTACTCATCCCTACGAGGCCACAATTATTATGAAGATGCTTTATCAAATTTACAATTCTGTTCTGACAAAAATTACAAAATAACATAAAATACTTCAGCATTATCAATAAATGTAATAATTATAAAACCTGTATCACTATTATAAAGAAGATAGTTGAGTATAGTACAGTGCAAGGAAGTACTGTTTCTAGGTTATCGGTTGTGCAAGGTGATTTGACTGAGAAACAATCAACTGCCAAGTTTTTCTCTTCAATTAAATATTTAAATAAGAGGAGGCGGAGTGTGCCCCAGAATAATCTCTCAATCCCAGAATCAATCCATGGCTGATGTAATAGAATAAATGATTATCTGCTGCAGGTGAACTTGAATCCGGAGCTGAGAGAATCGGATCACACTGCCTTACTCACTGAGCTATCTTGCTCCCCAAAATTTAATATTGAAAATTAATCAAAATAGTTTTCCTGATTTGACATTGTATACTATGAAATAAAATTCTATAGATTTTATTTAAATATAATGTAAAACTATGCAAATTAAAAAAAATTGCCCTCTTTTTTATCCTACTTAAAATCTTTATTTAAGACTAAATAAAATGATAGGATTTTCAGAATTACTGTTTGAACTTTATGTTATAAATTTGGAACTAACCTACTTATTAAGGGTACTGAGAGAAGTTGATTGCAACTTATTGCTACACGATTTGCCCTTTGCCTGCCACATTCTTGTGCGTGAGTTATTAATAAATACATTCTTCAGAATTTTACATAACTCAGTCTAGTACTAAGTAGTACTTAGACTAGTGAAATTTTGATTTATTTTCTCATACTAACATCATTAAAAATAAAGTAAAAGTAATAAAGTATACAGTTATTGCTATGACAATTATTGAGTCCTGCTGGACAGATTTGTAAATATAATAAACTGATATTAGAAATGTTAACACATCAAAGCTTAATTTTCTCCTTGATAACCTACTTAATGTGAATGATACTACATTCTAGGTTAGGGGTCTCCAAATTACGGCATGCGAAAATTTCTTACTTGACATTGTAAAATTCTAAAACTATTTAAAAAATACGTAATTAATAAGTAAACCACTCATACAAGAGGTTTCTACACCTTCTATTGCATGGATTGTTTCTCTTAGATAGCTCATTTCACAGCTGAAGGGTCATTTATTAATCACAAGCCATGACATGAGCCCTCAATGTTGCCTGTGGGACTTCGTGGAGGTTCCAATGTGGCATGCGGGCCAAAGAGTTTGGAGACCCCTACTCTAGTCAAAAAGGTTACAGTATGAATCTAATATAAAAATTTGTATTAATCAGAGCCATTAAAGCTGGGAAGATTAGAAGGGCAGGGAAATAAAGATCCTGGAAAATATTTAACGAAATATGTTGTTCAACCAGATCCAGCCTTCAGAGCTAGGTAATGCCATATTTAATTGATATTAATATATTTTACTCTTGTTAATTTTATCTTCATATTTCTATGAACCTTTTGCTCTCCTAATCTTTTGAACTTTTCATGCAGCTTCGCGTTAGTTTATCATAAACCAACTCCAGTTTATCATAAAATTCGCATTGGCATTGTCGTCACTTTCTTCGGTCAGACAGTGTATGTTTATCAACACAATTTTAAACTAAATACCTGGAATATGGCCACTGATATCCTATAGCTAAGAATTTTATGTCCCTAAAAGTGGATAGAAATCTATTACTAATAAGAAAACCGGTAACTAAACATTGATTTCTGCTTCCTCTGTACCAAAAAGTGTACTTACCTTCCCTTATGGATCCCTTCTCTGGCCAATGAACCTCTTGCAATGCCACAATATCTAAATTGTACCTATTAGCCTCATTTGTGACCGATTTTAACACACCTGCTGTATTCAAACTCCTTACGCTATACTTAAATCCCTAGATCCCTAGTTTTCAACTTGAGACATAAATCCCCTAAAGCAGTTCCTCCCACCCAGAGACCCGAACAGAGGACTAGTTTGCTTCCGGATAATGAGAGTTTTACTTTATGAGGATCCATGACTGACCATAGTATATAGTGTGTAAACCACTAATTGCAACCAAGATATAAAATATAAATTTTATATTATATTTAAAATTATAAAATATTATATTTAAGATTTACTTTATGAGGATCCATGACTGTTTGGTATTTTGTGAACTATAAATATGTGAATAGGGTGTTCAAACCTACGTCTCACATGTAACATAGGAACATTTAAAATACTAACTATATATTAAATTTTAAAGTGAAACAGATATTGTTTAAACCACTTAATGCAACCGAGATAAAAAAAAAAAAAAATACAAAGGAATGATTTTTAATTATTTTTTTATTTCTTAATCAAGCCTATGGATACATTCATAATTGGTTTAAAATGTGCAGGTATAAACATATTTTAGAAGCTGAAGAAGCAAGGCCAACTGAAATCATACTTGACGGAGATCATAAAGGCGATGCTGAAGATCCAGCTGGATTGCCACGGCAATTTAAACAGATGCTAAGAGGTATTGAGGGTAGCAATTAACATCTAGCATTTCCAAATCTAATTTAGATCTTTATAAAAAAATTGGGATAGCTCCAAAACAAACTCTGAACTTTCCAAACCTAATTAGGATTTTTCAAATCAAATTTAGAACTTTCCAAATCAAATTGGGATTTTTTCAAACCAAATTTAGAATTTTCCATTCCAAATTAAGATTTTTCTAAATCAATTTTAGAATTTTTACAACACCAAATGGATAGTGTATTTTAGTTTTTTTAAATTCCTTAGACGTAGTACCTATTACGAATAATAAGGTTGGGCATTATAACATTTAAAGACCAATTTTAATAAAATGCAAATGAAAGTTAAATTTTTCTATATGTAAAAATGAAAATGACGACGCAATCTGCAATTCATAGATACAGGTTCTGAAATTAATTCAGTCAAACGTGCTGCTGGTTTATTCACTACTTTTTGTCCTAATATTTATTTCGGAGAAGGCTCTCTACCGTATTTAAAGGAGGAGAGCAGGCTGTAAGATACCTCACGGTGAGACTAAATTCCTGCACCTTTTCTTTTACTTCCACAGCTCATCACCAAAACACTTCTTTGTGGACTATCAGTAATTTTCTCGTGAATTCTAACAAGATATTACTGTACCTGATTTAAAATTTCTAAAATGGGTTTTTAAATGCTATAACATCTAACCCTATAATAGTTGCAAGATCTACGGAATTGAATAAGAAACTAAAACATTCTATACATTTGGAGTTATAAATATTCTTAAATTGATTTGGAAAAATCTTAATTTCAAATGTAAAATTCTTAATTTGGTTTGAAAAGTGCTAAATTTGATTTGGAAATATTATATCTTAAAGTTAACTAATTTAAAAAAGTAATTAATTAAATACAAATTTCATTTACTGTAAATATTACTAGTGCAATGTTTTACAACTATTAAGTATAATTTCATGCCTTTATAATATATGGGAAGTTGAAATTTAAAATGTCTCTAAGAATTTTACAAAAGCTTTGGTTTATCATAACCAATATTATACAGTGCTTTTCTATTCATATAAACTATATTTGTTTTATTTTAAAATTTAATTTTGAACCGGTTTTGAAAAAAAAATTTAAAAAATGTTTATACAGAATGCTAATAAAATATTTAGAACTATATTCTCTTCATAGTGACATTAAAGATTAACCGGTGTAAGCTTTTCTGCAGAATTTTCTTTTAAATTGGCCATGTAGGTATGTAAGGTAGCACTCCTGCCTACAGAGCATGGAGTTTCAGGATTCTCTCAACGGTTAAGTTCCTTTATACAACACCTTTAGCCACCTCTTGAGGTTAACTGAACTACTATTTTAAAAAAGAAGGTAGATGCCTGGACTAGAAAACCAGTTGTGTACAAGTATATTTAGTGACTGTTATAATAATTATTTTATACATTATAATATCTATCTGTATTTCATAGAAATATATTGAGAATAAACTATGCAAATAAAAAGTAAACAATTTAAATCAAAAGCCAATTCCTTCGTTCGTGTAGAGTATCGATATAAACATCGAAATCAATGTATTTAGTTGTTGGTTTTGAAAATCATTTAACAATAATAATCATAACTTCAAACCACTTAACTTTAGATATAAATGAAAAGGTTATACTAAATGATTAATACATACATTGAGATCCCAATAAACTGTAGCAACATCTTTGAGAGACAGGGTTTTCCCATTAAACATCTCAGGCAAAGGTAAATTAATGGATTTCAGTTCAAATATATTAGGACATTGATCACCAATTATTGAAATCAATTTTTCTACTGATGACTGTTGGTTGGCTGGCCTTATATAAGCTACAGAACCAGGACTATATTCTATAGATTTGTTGTCCGGTACAAATGTTATTAGTCGAACATCCTACCTTGCAAAAGAAAAAAAAAATCATTAGCATTCACCAATACATTACCAGGCCTGATAAATAAATAATTAAACAGAAAATTTTAAATTATATTAACTCTTGAATATGTTCAAAAACTACGTTTAAAAATAATATGAATTTCATCTAACCAGTGAGGCCAGTTTTCCTTGTAAACATCATTAATTTTGAATTTTATTATTTTTTTTCCCCGGGAATATTCAGTTTTGGATAGTATAATTATAATATTGATATTATAATATAAAACCTATTAGATACAAATATCAACATATATATTTATTAAAATATTAATGAGACATTGATATTTTACATCAGTAATGTGAATTTGGTTCCCCAACTACACCACAACCAGCAGAGAAATATGGGTAGTACTCATCATATCGACTATCATTGGTATATTTCAGGGTTAAAAGGAGTTGGATATAATATGAATTATATTATTTTATAGTTATTTCAGTTTGCTGCTTACTCCCACTTTTCTGCTTATTCATTTGCTTATAATGCAGAAATAAACTTCTACAGTGCTGGATTCTAAATAAGTTGTATAAGTTTTGTTTATTCACATGTACATAAATATATTAGGTCTTTTATATAAATTGATACATAAGATAATTTATCTATATCCCTAATTTTCCATTCATGCCTTTATGAATCGATTTGGAAATAAAAGTCTTGGAAAAATTAAATTCCAATAGTGTCTTATACAAGGGTTTCTCAAAACTGCTAAAGATACGACACAGTTTCGTATTATGCTGAATTCTCAAACTCTCCCACCACCTTCACTATTTTAAAGAATTATGAGTCAATATGAATTATTAAAAAATCTTTAATAATAGTAATAATCCTTATTAAAAGTAGTAATTGTTCAAACTATAACAATAAATCACAGTTATTAATTAAACAAAAGTGTGATATTGGTCAAATTACTAAATGTTTTATGGATAGTAGCAGAATTAAATAATAGCAAAAGAAAAAAAAAGTTTCTGGTACTCGACAGTACATTATTCTTAGAGGATTGTTTAGTCAATAGTGAGCTTCCATTCCTAGAATAGAGCCAACTTTAAACATTACAGAACTGAATGAAACTAGGAAATACTAATCAGCTCACTAATTGTCTAACAAGAAGATTTTATCGACTGGCCAGGAATTAAATTGGGGTTGTTCAACACTGGATGATATCTCATCCTTTTATTACTACTTTTCTTTTTAAAGTTTAGTTTAATATTAGTATTTCTATGAAAAGATGAAATACATCAAAAATAAAATACCTGAAAATGATTCTTGTCAGTTACCCTCTCATTACTGGATACTTCACACCAATATCTTTCATTTGATTCACCTGGAAGAAAACTTAACTCCTCTGGGTTCCAATCTCTTCGAACTGCCTCCCATCTTGAAACATAAAATATAAAAGTTTCATATTAAGTACCATAATGCATCAATACCTTCAGATCATAATGGATAACATTTTTTTTCAAGTCTATCCTTACCATAGTTGAATGTTTACAATCAATGAATATACTTCTATCGTCACAACTAAATCCATCTGGGTATATTCATAAATGCCCAATTAATGAACATAAAAATAAAGTTATGGGGAAACTGAATGAAAAATACTCCGAACTGAATTTCTAGACAAATATGGATATTAGGATAACAAGCCTGGGGAGCATGAACCAACATTGGATAGAATGCAAATAAGTGAACAACTGGTGCACTGTTAAATAAAAGACGAACATTGGATCTGATCAAACTCTCACACCATTGGTACAGTTTTTTAAAGATTATACTTCATTATAATTGGGCAGAAAGCATTCATAAATGGCAGATAATCAGATATGAGAGAAGACCCAAGATGAACTGATTTAAGTGAAAAAAAAAAATTGTAAAGCCAAAACTGTAGTTAACTGATGGAGATATTGTTGTTAATCAGACTGTCTTAAGCTTCCTCAACTGGAGGACTGTGTACTTCAGAAACATAAATGATCATTGAAATTACTGGTCTCAATTCTTGATAACTTTTTGGTTCTTGAAATAAGAAGAAAAATTTATTGATACTTATTCATTACATCAATTGTGAGTGTTCTTGATATATGATATGAAATAACAAATTAGGTTTTCATGAAAATAAATAAAATTGTTCTTCATTAACCAAAAGTGAAGCTACATTGATCTGATGAACATCTGCCAACCATTTCTCTTTATCTCTTGCATGGGTAATAGAGACCCTAAGTTGTCGATTGGCCATTTGTTCTGTAACATTAGTGCACACTGTCCGGAACATTCATGTACAACCTAATAACCACCCACTCCTTCATCATTCATCCTCCTCAGATCTTATACAGCTACAACTACTTCTTATACAGCATAAACATGGTGGTATGGCTTACAAATTTTCTTTTGATTAATCTTAAGACAAAGTATTGGCTACATTTCCTCATTTCTTCTTCATTTGTAATAGAGCCAAGACTCTCATTAATATATAGGCCGATCTTCTTTTGTTCTTGCTCCTTCTATCAAATACTTTAAAGACTACATATACACTCTGGAGGGATTTACAGATTAAGGGAATAAGAAAATAAATAATTAAATATGAAAAACAAAAATTAACTAAAAGTGGCAGATTATTAATGGGTCCTTATCTTATCAGTTGTTGCTCATCAAGCCAAAGTCATTAATAGGTTGACTTCTGATCTACAAGATAACTTGTAACTAGTATTCATGCATTGGATCTAACAAATAGGTTGTATAGGTACCATATTTTTGCAACAATGACGAAATCCATAGAGCTTTATGATAATTAAAATTAGTTTAAATAATATAATGGGAATGTGGTAGCTCAGTGTTAGGTTGCTGACTTCCACTGGATTCCTACTTCAATGTACCAATCCGCCTGATTGTAAATAAATTATTTTTTCTGGTCCAACAGCCGTAGATAGGCCCTGGGTTCAAGAGACCCTCCTGTGGCACACCCACCCTCTATAAAGCGGGTAAGAACTACTAATAGTACTTTTTTAAAAGTATTAAATCCAAGACCCTTTATGGGTTATAGTGGTGCAGGTTTTTTAAATAATATAATATGAATAAATAAAATTAGTTTCAAGACAGGAATTTTGAAAATTAATGTGGGCAGTCAACGTTTTAAGTCCAGAAATTTGGCTACTTTCAGCATTCGATGTTAAGTCAGTTCTGATTACTAGAGATCACCCACCATGATAATTTAGCGTATTTTAAGTAGTACTATAAGTAATAGTAAGCCAATTATTTACGGTCAAAATAAATAATTAATTGTTTTTTTTCTTCATGATACACCATGCTTCAACACTTTTTATGTTGTTAATTTAATTTATATTAGTATTTTAATCTAGCAATATCAGTTAAATGAATCATTGCAGATACCTATTTGCTAAAACAAAAATTAAAATGAAGTTGATCTGAAAATAATCAAATAAAAAAATAGGATAGAACTGTAGAGTTTTTTGTATACAGAACAATAATTTAAAATCATTAAGATTATTATCAAATACTATCCAAAATTACTTAAGTAATAATGAGCAATCTTCATTCCCTGTGGTTTGATTCAAATGAGGATATAATGGCTGGAGAGCATTCCATAGTTTTTCTGTCCAAGGGATGAGTTCGGCATAAAGGCCTAAATCATGTTGATCGTCACAGAGACCAGTCTCAAGCAACACCTTCGCTCCTAAACTCACTAATCTTTTAGATAATTTCTTTGCAGAAAAATTGAACTTTGCATAGGACGAGTCACCTAGTCCAAGAACTGCAACCCTAGCAATAAGAATTTGCAACTAGCATAATTTATTACAATTAAAGTATCGTAAAAAAATTTAATAAAATAAAACATAAAACTACCATGAATTTGATAAGGAGTTGTTAGGTAGACTTTTTCTCAAAAGAAACCTCCAAAATTTTCTCATGTTTTCTGGTGGATCTCCTTGACCAGTGGTAGAGCAAACAAAGATAATTGTGGGCTCATAAATGAGTTTGGAAATATCGTAATCATCCATAGCCTGAACAGTACTTGTAAATCCATTTCTAAACAAATAAGATTTAAATGAGAAGATGACAATTTAAATTAGGCCATTCGTATGCATTCTGTGCTAACTTTACGGGTTAAACCTTTTTGAAGTTCTCCAAATTCCTTCGGCAACATCTTGAGCTGTTCCAGTTTCACTTCCATACAATATGAGCATTTTCGGAACTAATTTAAGAAAGTTAAATTCAAATATCAATGATATGAAGTTTACACAATTCCATGGAGGTATAACATTTCAATATTCATTTTTAACCTCTCAGTTCGGTTATGTTCAACTAGTAGCCATATAGATTAAATATGTGACATCACTTCTTTATAATTTCTGCTCCAAAGGTGGGAAGCTGGGAAGAGAAATATCACATAATTTGGGAAAAAATATTACCTTATTTATAGGAGACATTTTATTGAATCTTTTAACTAATTATTTCACAAATCGAACTCGATTGTTGTAAGCCTAGACAAGGTAGTTAAGCAATTGATTTCATTGATGTATCTACAATTGATTTCTTAGACAATGAGACTATTTTTCAATTTCCCCCTGCTTTACAAATGATGATTTATTCACGAATAATGGTACTACTAAGTAATTTTAAACAGCCTTATTTTTTTTTCTCAACGGTTAATTTTGAGAGGAAATTTCATCTGTTCCTTCTTTGATGGGATCTGTCAAGGCTTAGAAAGCTCATTTTATAACTGAAGGGTCATTTATAGAAGTTTTGTTTTCGTCATAAGTCATGCCCCGAGGGACATTGTGAAGGTCTCAATGTTGCTCGCTTTCCAAACAGTTTGCAGACCCTTGAACGAGATTATAAATATGTATTATTCTTCGTTGTTGCATATTTTGGGAAGTGAAAGTGTGACTTACATTTTCTGGTTTCACCAGTGTGCTGCTTTCGGTAACCTATCTTCGGTTTATGTTATAACGTTATATTATTATTATTATTATGTTTATAATAACGTTTTATCCGCTTTAGTGTTTTTGGAAACCTTTCTCTGACCTGAGACCGATTGGCTCTTTTATCATCTTGATGGTAGGCATACTCCATTCTTTTTTCTTCTTTCGATTCTTTAAATCATTGGACATGGAAGTACGTCGAGATAGGAGGGAGCTTTTCTCACCCTTTAAATAATATGAAAGGAAATAAAACTTAATATAATACAAAATGTTTGCCGAAAATTCAAGAAAAATATTTTTTTTAAGTGGTTGATCTATGTACTATTGTGTTTCATATAAAACATTTATAAATTGTAATAATAATCAACTACTTAGTATAATATTATAGAGTTTGAAATTATTTATTTGCAAAGAAATGAAAAAAAATAAAAATTGAAAAACAAAAAGTACGTCTAATATTGCGACTAGATAAGTTGTACTATAACAGAACTGTTAAACCTGGCTTTCGAGAGATCGAGGTGGTTCAAAATATCAAATACCTTAAAAAATCCTCTGTTAGTAGATGTTATATATCTCTTTCTCATCAAATGTTTGATTTCATGAGTCAAAAAGGCCAACAGTAACTTCGACAGGGCTGGATCAAGATATGAGAGGCTATAAGAATTTACTAAATTTGAGTGGAACTCCATCCCACCCACACTGCTGAAGTTAAAGAATTCCTTTCTTCACCAATCCCTCTCTCTCTACCTCCAAAACCTGTTAACCCCTCTGAGGTTAAATTCCTCATAAACAAATTAAAACCCCGAAAATCCCCTGGATATGATCTCCTCACTTCACAAATCCTTAGACAACTTCCCAAAAAATCAATTATATTCCTGACCTATCTATATAATTGCACCCTTCATACTACCAACTTTTCCTTGATGTGGAAACACTCCATAATCGTGCTGTTTCCAAAACCAGGCAAACCCGTTAATAACACATCATCCTACAGACCGATAAGTTTACTCCCTATCCTCTCAAAAATCTTTGAGAAAATCTTCCTCAAACGCACCCTACCCATACTCGAATCCCACAACATCCCTTCTCATCAATTTGGATTCCGCTAAAGACATTCCACTGTCCAACAAGGCCTTCGTGTTGTGGACCATATATCCTCTGCACTTGAAAACAAGCAATATTGCACTGGTGCCTTTCTGGACGTAGCGCAAGCTTTCGACCGGGTGTAGCACGATGGCTTGCTTTTCAAGCTCAAAACCCATTTATCCCAATCCTTATACCTTGTCCTCAAATCCTATCTCTCAAATCGTTCCTTCCAAGTCCGTTGCTGCACCGAATTCTCCACTTACTATCCAGTTGAGGCTGGTGTTCCACAAGGCAGTGTTTTGGGTCCAGTTCTCTACATCCTTTTCACTGCCGATATCCCTTCAAATCCCGATACCTTCCTAGCTACATTTGCCGATGATACTGCCATTCTATCCTCCCACTCAGATCCTCAAATAGCATCTCAAAACCTACAATCTCACCTCTCCTTGATTGAGCAGTGGTGCAACGACTGGCGCATTAAAATCAATGAAGCAAACTGTAAACATATTACTTTCACTCTGCGACGCAGATCCTGTCCCACAATCCTTTTCAATTCAATATCACTTTCCTACTCAGATACAGTCCGTTACCTTGGCTTCCTTCTAGACAAAAGACTAACTTGGAACCCACATACGAGACTTAAAAGACAAGAACTTAACCAACGATATGGCCAGCTATATAGACTACTAAGCAGGACATCTCATCTTTCGATTGAAAATAAACTTTTAATCTACAAGACAATACTGAAACCTATCTGGACCTACGGGCTTGAACTGTGGGGAACTGCTAAACATTCGAATAACAAACGCATCCAATCCTTCCAGTCCAAAGTACATTTTTTTTTTTTTTTTTTTGTTCTTCCCTACCTCGCCTTTTAGACTATACGGGATTTTCGCGAGCCGGGGGGTGAGGGCGGGGAAATTTAAAATCTCCTCCGGCACCGGGACGCGAACTCGTACTTTTTATATCATCTCAAATCTCTGTTATCCGGTTGCCAGGCAACTAGCGGTGCTGTTACACACGCTTTAACCTATTCGGCCACCCCGCCCCCAAGTCCAGTCCAAAGTACTTAGAACAATAGCCAATGCCCCATATTATGTCATAAATAAGACCCTACACCATGACCTTAACATCCCTTTTGTCCTCGACATCATCCCATCCAGATTCTCAAACTTTCATCAGAACCTTATCCATCATCCAAATCCTCTGGCTCAATCCCTATCCAGCTCCCACCATCCCTACAATCCCCCTCGAAGGTTAAAACGGCAGTGGCCGCGAGATCTATTGTAAATATGCTTCTGGAGTCCTGGCAATGGCCAGCTTCTCCACTCAAGTCCTGAGCATCTGTGGCTCTAGTGCCCTCCTTCAGCCTCCACTGGCTTTTAATACTAGTGATGCGGCTGGAAAAGTGGCACTGGGATCTCTGGAGTCCTGCTTTGCTTTCCACATGTGGGGAGAAAATCCTGGCTCGGAGATTCCTGGGCGAATGTATATATTGTATATAAGTATGAATGTGTTTAGAAGTTTTTATTTTACTTTGTTTATTTATTTTTTTATTTTATTTATTTTTTTTTATTGATTTACATTTTTTTATAAGTATTATTTATTTACTTTTTATATTTATAGTTACTTCTGTATTACTTGTATATACTGTATGAATGAGAACTTTTAGCCGTAATACTTATAGCCCTCCAACAGTGGCAGATTGTATTATTACTCAATAAAAAAAAAAAAAAAAAAATTTGAGTGGAAAGTTGGATAACCCTAGAACGCTACGCAAGCAAAGTGACTGCAACAGAGATGAGGTTCCTGAGAAGGATTCAGGGTAAAATCCGAAGGGACTGGATTCGCAATAAAAGTATCCCGGAAAACATCGAAATGAAGGCTACGGCAAATGATCCTGACAACTGAAGGAGATGACCGAGGCAAAATCTCCGCGCCAAGTGGCAACTTGGAGGCAGAGAAAGAAGAAGAAGATAAGTTATTTATTCCTAGATTTCTATATTACAAAAAAAATAAATGTCGGGTGCTCCTCATCATTCGATTCTATAAGCACTAGAGTTATGTCTTTGTGTTGACCGTTTGTTGGTCGACAACGATTTTTAGAGCATACGGCTGCAACGATTTTTTAGTTTGGTGGCACATATTACTTATTTGTTAACCATCATCAACTACCGATGTATTCTTCTTGTTAATTACGTCAGAAAGTTTCGTTAGTAACAATTCTCTATGAAGTGAGATGTATGGTTTTGACCAGTTTTCTTATAATTCAATGATCAGGAAAGAATTTGAAGGATTTGTTAGACCTAGTTACGAAAAACAGAACATGCGTTCTTAGTTACTTGGCCAGGATGTGTTTTGTATTATTTTTGTTGATTTTATAATGTAAAACTTTTATAATTTTTAAGAACTGATTATTGAGAGAGAACTGCTTAGCAAATTCGCATTGTTGATCAGTTGCTTGAATTAGACTACCATTGTTTGTCAAAAAAATATTTTAATAAGGAAAACGTTAAATCTTGGGCATTAGCAAATTTAGCGCAGTAATCTCGTCATGATAAAGGGGGTCTAAGTTGTATAGAATGGGGGTAGAAGGTTTCTTTTTATTTTCTTGTATGGTATGTGTCTGAGATGCAAAATCCAAGTTTTCGACTTCGCCTCCCCCCCCCCTCCCCGAATCACTTTTGAAAGCCCTAAAACTGCTACATTTTCGTACTTTTTTCGGTTTTCTCCATTTTGATCATGAAGGAGCCCGTTTTCGACCAAAAATTACACGGTGCATTTTTAAACTATATTAAATATACTACCATAAGGGACTAGAACGGGCTCAGTTAGCTTAATTATTTTTGAGATACAGGCTTTCGAAGTTTTGGAAATTTTTTGAACTTGAAAATTTTAAGCTATTTTTCATGATTTATCATATACAATCAGGGGTTTATTGCGTTCTATCTTCTTCCTAGGAAAACAGTGGGCAGAAAAAAAGGGCTTACCGCAACCTTTCAAAACTCTTCGACTTAGAAATTTAATTACAGAGAGCAGTGTTAGATATGTGGCGAATTTTAGCAAAATATAAAATCGTACAAAAATATATAAAAAAGAGAAGAAGAAAAAAGAAATTCTGTGATCACTGTGGAGAAGATCCAAAATTTTTGAAAATATAAGAAGGGACTGATGGAAACATTATTCGGTGGAAGAAATATTTAATAGACAGATGAAGAGAATAGCACTATAATTCTGCCATTAATGAGAAATAAAAGAGGACTGAAGACGCCTAAGCCGGTGCCGCTTTTTCGCTGATTAAGTTTATTTTATAAAAACTGTTTTAAATATGCTAGAGATCAGTCAGTGATTTAGAAAGATAAATGTATTCTATAGATGTTTTATTTCATGGTGTTTTTGGTTATTGTCGTCCGTTTAATTACAATTGACGTTTAATTATCAACTTTAGTTTGAACAACTTGAAAAATTGAATTATCAGGTATTTTTTATTGCCAAGACCAATTATTTGTAATATTGGTTTATTATTTTCAATAATCAACCATTGTGATCGAACAAAAAAATCAAAAACTTAACCCCTTCTCAAAATTTGAGGTTCCATGTTTCAGGATGCGTAGAATTCGAAAAATGAATAAAAACTTTTTTGTCCGTCCGGCGTTCGCGCATTTTCTCCGAAACTACTGGACCAATTTTTTTACAAATTTGGATATAATATCAGAGGTCACCCGAGGATGATCCTCCTTCATCGACATTACTATCCGCCATTTACTTTCAAAATGGGGGCCGAAAATCTGCGTTGCTATAGACTGGAGCTCCTAAAAGAATGTACCGATTTCAATGAAACTTCACTAAAGTCTTCTTCTCGATACCCTTTAACTTTACCTATATGATAAGTTTAGTAACTACTAATAGTACCTATAAAAAAAAGTTTAGTCCAATAATTGGAATCACCATTTATTTATTTTTATTTGTAACTAGGAAGGTAATGTTACTTTAGATGCATAGTTGTTTGGAAATAATAAACTATTGTCAAATAATTTGCAGCGTTTTTTTTTATGTGTTATTATTATCCGACTATTCAGCTTTAATGAAAGATTAATTATGACGAAATTAAGGCAACTGCTGAATCTCAGTGATCGAAAAACTAACTCCTGTCAAAGTCGTCAATGCGCCATGTTTGGTACAGTGCGGCCAATTTTATTTTGTGAGAACACTGTTTTTTTTATATACATATCTATCTATCTATCTATCTATCTATCTATCTATATATATATATATATATATATATAGATAGATAGATAGATAGATAGATAGATAGATAGATAGATATGTATATAAAAAAAACAGTGTTCTCACAAAATAAAATTGGCCGCACTGTAGGTCACCTGGCTGTATGTACTGTAGGTCACTATATATATATATATATATATATATATATATATATATATATATACATATAGTTACAACGAACATAAATATATGCAATTTATAATGATGTGGGGAGAGGTTGCACGGGAGGGAGGTCTGGCCCACGGACAACCCTCTCCCACCAAACTTCCCTCCTCCCCCCCCAGCATCACTCCTTCAAAATCTTAAAATTAATAAATATTTACTTCAATGAATCATATAAGACAGGTTATTGAAGATAAAAAACAATTGCAAATGATCAAACATGAAAAATAATTTAAATGGAAAATAAAATTTTCCAAGCTTTGTAAACCTGTATCTTAAACTATTTGATTTACCGAGCCTTTTCTGGTCTTAAAATGTGGCACATTTAATCTAGTTTAAAAATAAATTGTATAATTTTCGTCGAAAACGTGCTACTTCATGGATAAAATAAAAATCGAAACAGGTGCGATAATGTAGCAGTTTTTGGGATATTCAAAAGTGATCCGAGGAGAAGGAGAAGGGAGGGGCGCTGAGGTCGAAAACTTGGATTTTGCATCTCAGTCATAATGTTTTCTCAGTCATAATATAACGGACCAAAATCAATATCCTTTAATACATTTACATGTCTAATGGATTTTTTTTTTCTAGAGGAAGCCAGCACATTAAAGGAATATCTTACCGCTGGTAATTCTTATAAAAAAGAATTGAAGAAAATGGAAGTAAATGAGCGTTCATACAAACGTATAGTGAAAGGAAAGTTGAAATCTAAGATCCTGGTAAAGAAACACTCATCCCGATTCACCAGGTCTTCAAGTATTCCTTCAAGAAGTTGCTTTGTAAAATGTAATTCTTAAACATATCGCCCAAATTGGTTTGCTTACTAATAGTATGCCATCTATTATCATTCATTACCAATTTTCTATGTTTTTGTTGATGAGAAATATTGGAATAAATCTTCATTTAGTCCTATCATCTATTGTCCATTTATTTCATAATTGCACGTCATTGTTTTAAGTATGTGTTCACACACACAAAATAAACACAAAAGTTAATATTAACATATATTTCAAACTCATTTAAACAGATATCAAAGGTTAAAGATTTATTATTTATTATTATTACAACATTTAGAGTAACTGTTCAAAGGGGTCTCCGTTTTGTTGAATGCAACATTCAGCACGATGAATCCATGATTCTCTGGTTCTTCGTATTTCGATTTCTTAGCTCATCTTGCGTGCCAACTGCCGTAGAATAAACCATGGACTTCATCAAGCCCCACAGAAAATAATCTAATGGCGTTAAATCTGGAGGTCGTGGTGACTAGTTGACAGTTCCCTTTCAACCAACCCATCGGTCTCCATAAGTTGCATTTAACTAATCAGTGACAGTATTAGAAAAGTGAGCTGGAGCAACATCATGCATAAACCACAGCCATTGCCTAACGCCTAGCGGAATATCTTCCAGGAGTTCATGAAGATTATTTTGCAAAAAATGCAAGTAAGATATACCTGACAGCCTAGGTGGCAAGAACGAAGGAGCTGGTGATGTCGCTTAGAACACCACAAGAAACATTTAAAGAAAAAGTATGTTGGCAATGTCCAACAGCAGTCGTATGAGGGTTTTCTTCAGACCAAGCATTCCATTATTCATCAGTAAACAAAATGCAGTTCAGGAAGTTAGGATCTCGTGTGCATTGTCTTCTTAACCACTGGGAGAAATTTCTGCGCTTGTTATAATCTTGTGGTAACAAACCTTGCCTACTCGAAATGAATACAATTGTTGTTCGCGTAAAATTCGCCAAACGCTGGTAGAGGAAATATTGAAACGATATGACAATCTTCTGTTACTACTAGTAGGAAATAACTGAACAGCATCGAGTATTTCTTCTTCAACGTTTGCAGTTCGTCAAAATCTTTCTCGACCCCCGTTTACTCCCATAAGTTTTAGCGTGTCATTTTTCCTAAGGCGTCTTTCAATGGCCTTAAACGTTTGTGTATTCTTCGGTTAGGAAATTTTTCACGATATCTTCGAACAGCAGCAGCACCGTTTCTATGTACCGCGCCATAAGCTGGCAAAGAATTCCAGAAGGTAGTGGATCTGGCAATAAAGGAATGTTCAAATGTTTTAGTTTAATGGGAAGGGGTATAAAGGTCGGAGATATGGGATCTTGTTTTCTGAGAGTGGACTACGGGTTTGAATTGTAGATGTAGGAAGGGTACCGGGAATAGATCATTTAGAATAGGTAAAATCCAAGGAAATATTGTCGGAAGAAAGAAGGGAAGAGCCATTTTAACTCGTCGTAAAGGTAGGACACATGAGAGCGCCTCGAAGTACCCAAGGCAAATCTTAGGAAGGAGTTGAGGAGTCGTTTCAATCTATCCTCCAGTACGATCGGGATGCCACTGTATACTACACATCCGTAGTCAAAGTGGGGGGAAATAAGAGAGTATGTATAATATATATATCTGGATAATGTGGGATTAGTGCTAATTAATTTTACAAAGTTTTACTTTGAATAACTGTGATATCATTATTTGTCATCGTTTTATTTTAACTTTTATATGATATTACATTCATTTTTTAAAGTTATAATTCAATTTAAAACATGATTGAACTAGTTCGTTTTCAGATTATTATTTTAATCCGTACATATATTATTACAGTAAGGCTCGAAATCGGTTTTGTACCAAATATAAGCTCCTGTCATCTTCAAATACCTTGAATGGGGTACCGTTGGATTCAGAATTTCACGGGGGGTTAGCGAATTCTATTCTCCACTTTTGCTTTTCTTTCTAAAATAAATAGAGTCGATACAAACATTTTGCTAGGCTTCAATACCTGAACAGTGGTAGGTCTGTAGATCGATACGGGACAAATTGGATCTAGAAGATTTTGATGCGTACAGCAAGACCCGGATAGTTCCTCCGGAACTATCGGATCCTGCGTTTTTAAGCCCAAAAATGTACTATTTTCCAGATAACGCAAGGCATAAGGTTCGCATCCACACAACCTTACGTTAATTGTAATACTGTCATTGAATACATGTCTTATTTCGTCGACTTGAGGTCTCTATGATCGAGAGAAGAGGAGTTTATATTATTTATCGATGGTGTTTTTGATCGGCAAGACATATCATCGTCAATTTTTCACCAAATCTCAAGATTGAGCCCCCTTTTCGAAGGCTTCCTTCTCCTTCAGGCGGACAAAATAGTCCAATCATCCCGAAAATTCAGGAAAAATAGTTATAAAAGAAAACAAACTTTATTTGCGAATAACTAAAAAATTACACACTTTTCCCATGGTTATACCCGTGATTATATAAAAGATTACTAAATTCCCTACACAATGAAAAAAAAATTAATCGAAATCGGACAATTTTTAGCGAAGATACCGCTTACTGAAATTCGTAAACATGTTGCTTCCAAACAAAAATGAAGATTTAAATTAATTTTTTTTTTCTTTTTCGATTATATTTATCGATAAAGTAACGTTTGATTTCTTTATCTTTTGATAGGTTGCATTATTTTATTTTCTTATTAATCTGGCATTTGATAACAATATGCTGTGCGAATTTTTCGCACGGGCCTACTAGTGATGTAATAATTGAAAAAATTTCAGAGGTTCACATTTTCTCTTGGGTCATGAAAGTGGAATGTGGAATCATTCGATGGAACAAATGTATTGAAAAAATAACTTCTATTTCAAAACGCGATTACCAAATTCCCATGAATAATTAGCAATAACAGCAAAGTACACACACTAGTTCCATAGCAGAGAACCGTACCTTCTGCTACTATCATGTTATGCTGTGGCAAATGGGAAATGGCACTTAAAAACTAGAAAAAAATCAAGGAGAAATATAAATCTCGAAGGGTTTGATGAACAGCTTCTGAAGTTTCCACTTGGGGCCAAAATTATAACAAAAGAAAGAAGAGAACGCCTAAAAGTGGAAAAACAGAGCTATAGCTGTACACCAGACGTTGAAAGATCCAACTTAATCAATATTTCATCTTTGGGAAACTTTCTAATTAAACATCGGGATTTGGAATTCTGTTATAAATAAATGCAAAGATGAAAACGATTTGCCTCTGCTCCAACCACTTTATTAAATTACAAATGATTCTTGTAGGAGTGAGACAGCATTATTATGCACTGCTATTGATGCTAATTATGAAGAATGCTTCTGGTCAAAATTTAATGAGTTTTTTTAAAAGTAGCAAAACATTTCCTCCTGTTTCTTCCTTCAGTTGATCCTTTATTGTTTTATGAAATGATTCCTGGAAATGAAGATCCACCTTTTTATAGAATTTCTAAAAAAAAAAAAATAAAAAAATCGCAATTAAAATGTGATATAGATAGTCTGGGATTTATATTAATGAGCTAGTATGACAAAAAAGTAACAAAACGTCATTCTCTATTGTATTTCTGTTACCAATACTACTTTAATTTTTAAGGAACATTTTCTGGTCATTTCTCTATTGTTACATTTTCTTAAGTTGGTGTCCTTGCAACTATGATTCTTTAAGGTTTAAGCCCTTCAGAGTAGTCCTATAGAGTGCATATACTTACTTATAGTCAAATATCTATCTTAGAATATTTTAATGGGTGAAATTCAAGTCCTACATGAGGCTCACACATTTTATTTGATATGGTTACTGACTAAATTTGTTGTCATTTTAAAAGTTTAAGCGTGTAATGAAAGTTTCAAAGTGAGGCTGAGAGTGTGTTTTCTCTTTGAAAGCAGTGTCGATAACTGGAACACTTCACTGTTGATAATGGGAAAATCATTGGTGAAAATTAGAACTGAAATCATCTCCGACTTTTTTCTATTTAGCTACGTTATTTATTATTATTTTGAAGGAAAAAAGGGAAGTATTGTGTCTATGTGATATTTTTAGATCTCATGCTACTAAAAGATCGAGATTGATTAAATAAGCATCAAGTGTTGGAGTAAACCTGGAAGGTGATAATAACTGATATGTTTATCCTTGGTGAACGAAATGTATAAAACAATGAGCGTATAATTATATAACACTGATGAAGACCCAATCCTTTTCAAGTATCATACAAAGACAATTATGCAGTATGAACCTGCATGATTTAACTCCTAAACACGTTGGTTTTTCTCCCTTTGCCAATTACTTATCTTTTGCTCAAGAGTGATACAAATTTTTATATTGAGCAGGGATCATTGCTGATACTAAATGAGAAAAATAATAATAATGTTTATTTATTATACTCCACCTTGCTTCTCGACAGCCTAATAGCCAGTAACGTTCTCCAAAATCTACCTGGCTCAGATTTAATGGTCCATAACATTTTGGCATTGAACTTCTCCGGTTGGTCGATTGCTTTAACTAAAATATTTTATTCAATGAATTGTCTAAAAAAAGTAATTTATTAGAGTATTATTTGTGTTAATAAATAATAAATAATTTCTAAAAAGATTTGTGTTGTTATTATAAGATATTATAAGAATTTTTACAAGGCTTTTTGTCAAAAGAATTTTTGGCTTAACAATTCGTTCATGGGAGAAATAGATCGAAAAATACAAACACATACTTACGCAACAATGTAAGCCGTTGTTTTTTTTCTAAAGGCATAGCTGCCTCGATTCTTTCCCAAGGATGTTTGCCAAGTTTTCGTACTTCAGAAAAAACTAAACGAAGATGTGAAGGGCAGCGATTTTTAATTAAAAATGATATTACTGGACCGTCATTACCATAAGAAACACCAATGCCAAGATTAATAATTCTCTGTAAAAATAATTGTTATAAAACAAATATCATAAAAAATAATACTGACAAAACGATAAAATTAAAAAAGAATGATACCAAAGGCAGCTTTCGAGTTCTGGCGTCTTTTTGATACGGCAGTCTTTACACCAAAGTGTCAGCGTTAAAGTAATAAAAGTTTGTGAACAACGTTCAAAAACAACTGTTGATTGAAATATTAGAGAACAAGTGGTGTACACACCAAGAGAAGAGAAACTCGTCGAAAATTATTACTAACGTCTTGTTTATCAGGCAGAAAGATCTCTCCTTCGGCAATGCTTTGGTATATGTGTATCAATATAGTTTCAGTGACAAAAAAATGAAAATGGTGGGCCATAACTTATAGAAAATAATCAGAAGATGTTCTTTTTGTTATATTTGATTTAAATATGAAATGTGGTAGTTTGTTTAAATATTCCACTAGAATGTCTCCATTGGATCTCAATTTGTCATATACTGCTCAAGAGCAGAACTCTCATCAAAACTGATTTTATACGTACGATTCTATTGAATATTGTTTAAACCATATTTACGCACTTCCATGCTATTCAAGCCGTACAGTCAGACTTACCTTTAGAATTGACCTAAGAACAGTCCGAACTACAGGGCGTGGTAGAAACTGGAAAAAGATCGTTCAGCACCAAATCAATTAATATGTCTACAAAGCAGTAAACCAAGGTTTGCCTTGTTCTAGAAGAGAGTTTTTCAAGTAAGAGCAAGAAGGGCGGGGTGGCCGAATGGGCTAAAGCGTTTGCACAGCACCGCCGTTGCCCGGCAACCTGACATATGAATCTAATGATATAAAAATAGTCACGAGTTCGCGTCCCTGACCCTGGAAAACCCCGTATAGCCTTAACGGCCAGGAAGGGGAGGAAAAAAAAATGTAAGAGAGAGAAATACGGCCAACGAAAGTGAGGATAATAAAATACAGTGTTATAAGTCATCAGAATGACAAATTTCTAGCCCATATAATCTCACAGGAGTTACCAACTTCATTAAATAAAATATGTTAGTGTTTAATGTTCAATAATTACGAACAGTATCTGGGATTATACTTGGACAGAAAACACTTCTGGAAAATACACACCAAATTTAAAAAACAAAACAAGAACGGACCAGACGATACATACAATTTGGACTACAAGTTTCCACTCAACACGACCATACTAAGACCTATCTGGATATCCGGAGCATAAGACTTTAGGGTTCCGCAAATCACCTCCATATAAACAAAATTCGAAACGCAAAATTCAAAATATTTCGAAAAATCGTTAATGCACCTTGGTCTATTTCAAATGACACCGTACAGGACATGTACATACCAGAATTAAATTCCTACGTACATAACAAATACATTCCTCTCTTGAACTCCTAATCATCAAAATCCATTCGTACTGCCCCCTCCTGTAAATATTAAGTCTCAACGATGACAAAAAAGAGATCTCCTACTCATAATGTAAATAAGAATCAAGAAAAAAAATAAGACAGAATAAACGATAACAAATTTGCTTGATGCGTTAAGCCCAGTATTAAAAAAAAAAAAAATGTTCATAATAAATATAAACTTCAAATTTTACTTAATACCTCATAGATGGGTGGCCGGTCTCTCTGAACCTGTGTTGCATATAAGGAGAAAAATAAAAGACAAGAAGAAAAATAGGGTAATTTATGCTTCCAAGATTTGGCATAAAAAAATAAATTGACAATCCATAAAGTGTGGTGCAGTGAACTTTTCTCCATAGGTAAGTCAAAATGATAATAAAGTGTAAGAGATATTCCGATTTAATTGATTCAATAGATATTTCACGGCCTAAAAATATTAAGGTAAATAAAAATATGTTTACCTGTGCGTCTGTAGCAATCAGTTTTAGGTCACAACATGTATCTATTTCTTTTCGGTTTATTAATAACTTTATCCACTTTGCAGCATCTGGCTGAAGATAAGAATCTATATCCGAGTCCAAGGTTTGCCTGAATTCTACCTCAATAAACAAAGAAATGAAAATATAATAGAAGGGTGATGACATCTTATATGTATACTATTTCCTCTAGTCCATTTGCAAATTTTACTTTTTTCCATGATAAAATGTGAAAATGTTTGATAAATTTCTATTTAACAAACGTACAAAAGGTAAAAAAAAAGTGCGTGGGAGTAGTGAAAAATCAATTATCATATCAATATTCTAAGAAAAGATTTATTACAATTTTTTTTTCAAAAATCAATGGGTCTTTTCAAGAAGTTATGAAATAATTCAAAATTATTGATTTGGCGATGTATACTTGTTTTTTTCTTAAGGATGATCTATTTTAGTTCAAAACAGTCTTTGATTAGAATGGTTTTAAAAACCTGCTTTCATTTGCCTCAATATGGCTGTCTAAAACGTTAGTTTCTTGGCATTTTTTTTTGTAGAGGTTCACTTCTACGGAGTCGTAATAAAAATACACACTATCATATGCCAAAGAGGTTTTTATATATCAAAAGTTTTAGCTATTGATTGTTAATTTTAACTGAAATTGATATTATTAATATTAGACCATTCAGATAGTAGATCTAAAAGTAAGTGTTTTGGGACTATAAGCTTAAAATAAAATATATACTTACTTGTTTGATAATTTTTCCTGGCCTCAGCAAGCTCTTCTTTCGACCTCTCGCATAGAAATGCTATTAGAAGTTCTTCATGGGGCCCGGGAAATTCCTTGAAATATTTCTTTATTTAATAATATATCGCTAATGTTAGTACAAAAGTTCGAATGTAACAATTTTCCATGTTTATTCTATTTGTGCTCAAATGACATTTTGTAGTCAGTAACTGCAATAAGGAGCCTGCTGAAATGGAAAACAGCAGAGGGAAATAAAATATGAAATTATACTAATAAATAATAAAGAAGTTATAAGTTTTGTACTCAGAAAAAAAAAAACGCAATTTTCACATGCGAACTTTTCACACTGACAGTACCGACATACATTTAAGAGTCAATAGTTAATAATGAAAAGTACATTAGTGAAATACCAAGAAAATCTTATAAAACAAATAAAAATAAATTTTAGCTTCTTATTTGTCAGTAATTTGTAGGACAGTTGTCAGTTCTGATCAAGGAAAATTCCAAGGATTCATTGAGTAAAAATAAAAAAATAAATAAAAAAACTTTTATTAGGACATTACAGTTTTGTCCCAAAACAGTTTCCTTAGTCTGAAATTGTCAATTACACGCTAATAAGAATTACACCCCGTATACATGCGCCATCAGCATACGTAGTGATGACAGTGTCAGGATGTCAGCTGTATAACTGCGTAAAGGATAGGACCCAGAATACTACCGTGAGGATAAGCAGGCTGGGAAAAAAGGGATGAAGAAGAGTTGTTGTGATTTACTTTAAAACATCAGATCAAATCAAACGCTTGTTCATCGCAAAGAAATCGACATTGCTGATTAGTGGAGTGAGATGTACGGAATCCAAATCGGTGATCACATATGGATATTAAAATATAAAAAAAAAGTGATTCCTTATCGTATTTAAAGTGTTGTCAGCCTCATGAAATGTTTTACTGTTATTTCATAATCATCTACATATTGTATATGTTGGTTATCAATACAAATATGTAATTTATTATTGAAAACATGTTAGTTATTTATTTATCTATAATTATATTTTTTACTTATGATTATCCTTTATATTAATTGTAAGGTTACATCACTCTGTAATTGAATCATCTCTTGTTATTTTACTCCAGACAAATGGAATTTCTGTAGTTAATTATAATTATTCTTAAGGGATTAAATGTACTACAGTAAATTTTTTTTTTTTCTTATGTTAAAGCAAATACAAACATAAACCCGTATACATATATTTATTTAATATTTATATTAACTTAATTCTATTAATTTTCAACTTTTTCTTATCTGAATAATTAAATATTAATTATAGCGCTAGGTTAATGAAGACAGCGTGAAAACATTTGGAGGCCGCGCTTCCGCACATGTGGAATATGCTAATTAAAGATCATTTAAGTGATAATTTGTTGTAAAAATTTATTTTAATTATTTATATCAAAAATTAGGTCATCTGCCCCGAGACTGCCATGGCATCATCTGTGAGTCCCCTATGGTAAAATGATTTAGTATGGAATAAAACAGAATCGATCAAGCTTTAGATATAATGTGTTGGATTATTTCTGTGATAAAGCTTCAAACATGAAAACTATGCTGTGGCAATGTAGAACTAGATTAGGGACTCTAAATTCTAGATGAGGCATCAACGAAATAATCCGATCAGTGATAATATTGATCCAAAGTTTATACTCATGCTCTACCATACTACGCTGCTCTTCATGCTATTAGAAATAGAAATAGAAAATCATCTTTATTCTGGGACTAGGTCCTCTAAGAATAAAAGTATTGTTCACATAAATTAACAATAAATCTGGCCAAAAGTCCTATTATAGAAATAAGAATAACTAAAATACTAGTAATAAATTAAGAATAATAGCTCTTAGGATATATTAACGGAAACAGTTGGGTAATAGGGTTGCAATACTACAATATTGGAGCTAAAACAATAACATAATAATCACTATTAGAAATTAATAATGAAATTGGAAAGGAACGCTAAATCAATTTTATAAGCAAAGCATTGTAGTTATGGAATAAAAAAAAATAAAACAGAATAAAATAAGAAAAATAAAAACAGTTAATATATATATATATATAAAATAAGTTTTACATATGTTTCCTAAGATGTTTAAGTGAACATTAGGAGAAGAAAATAAAATAAAATAGAGCATATATATATATATATATATATATATATATATATATATATATATATATATATATATATTTTTTTTTTTTTTTTTTATTTATATACACACAGTTACATAGAAAGGAGTGTGTCTTAGATAAGTAGACAATAAAATACATTTCAAAGAAATACAATCTTATGAATAGGAAAATTAGAAGTTAAGAAAAACCAAAAACAAATTTTACCTACTCACACTGCTTTGTGAGTGGTGATGGAAATTCACGTTCAACACAGAATAAATATAAGAGAAAAAAAAATGTATAAAGAAAATGAAAGCCTCATTACACAATATATATATTTAGCCAGCGTCTGATTGGATAGTGAAGAGGAATTGGAATAAGAGGGTTTTAAATGTGGATAAGAATAATGCATGGCCCATTTTTAGTGGGATGGGATTCCAGAATGCATTGGAACGGACAACAAAGGAATGTTTAAATGAGGAAGATCTGTAGAAAGGGGTGTAAAGGTCAGAAGGACGAGATCTTGTGGAGAGAGTGTGCAGAGATGATTTGAATTGTAGGATATTGTATGTGTAAGACGCAGGATGATTATTGATTCTTTGGTAAAGGAATGTGCCTCGGAAATATTGTCTTCGGAAGGAGAGGAAGAGCCATCCTAATTCAGAATAGTGGTGCGAAACACGGGAACGCCTCAGGATCTCGGAGACAAATCGGAGTTTGAAAAGGTAGAGAAAGGGAGGGAGAGAATAAGGAAGGAAATGTTGAAGTTAAGGCTTTCATAATCAGACTTGCCTTTCGGTATCTAAACGATAAGTTAATGTTTATTGTTAAATGTGTCCCAAGAAACAATATCAGGGACTCCCATAATTTCATATGTAATTTATTATTGAAAACATGTTAGTTTTTTATTTATGCAAAGCATGTATAAAATATCACATAGCTGTTAAAGTAATCATTATAAAATATTCTTAAAATAATTTTTAAAATCCATATAACTAAAACTACTTACCGTTAATAGTGTGCTGATTTCTTTAATAAGAAATATACCAGGTTCGGCGACAATAGAGCTACATAAATAAAGGTAATCTCCAGCTAGGGTCTCTTCAAGCTCACGGGATAGTTTCTGCAACATTTTGATAAACAATATTTACCTGCCATCTAAAATAATTAATAGTGTTACACAAAACCTATGATCACTTCTATTGGCTTTCATAAATTTATAATTATAATAACTAGTCGGCCCGTGCGAATAATTCGGTCGGTATATTGGTCAGTGATCAATAAGAAAATAAAATAATGCAACGTATCATAAGAGGGATAAATCAATTATTTTCTCGGTAATTATAATTGACAAAATAAATGAAAATTAATTTAAACCTTGATTCATGTTTTGAAACATGTCTACAGATTTGAATAAGCTTTATCTTTGCTAATAATAGTCCGATTTCAAAGATTTTTTTCGTTTCGTAGGGAATTCAGTCGTAATCATGGGTGTAATAAACAAAATATTATAATTTTTGAGTTATTCGCAAATAATCTTTCTTTTCCCTCATAACTTGTTTCTAGTAATTTTTGGGAAATGTGACTATTTTTCTCACCTCAAGGGGAAAGAAACCTTCAAAATGATGGATCAATCTAGGGATTTGATGAAGAATTAACGAAGACATGGCGTACCGACATAAAAACACCTTTGATAAATAATAAAAACAAAATCCTCCTCTCTCGACCATAGGGACCTCAAGTAAGTGCTAGTCGAAAGATATACAGTTAAAAAGGCTCACATTCGTTATTCTAACATGGTGCCGACGATGTTTACATTTTTAAATCCTGAGGCAGGCCAAAACGAACAAAGCCAAAGCCCCGTTACGCTCAACTGAGTAATACTATATATTTTCATAAAAATTAACGATTATCTGGTGTCTCCAGGAATAATACTGGCAATCATAATTTGTTTTTATTCCAAACCATTGCTATATAAATAAGAGATAACTTATAACTTCCTTGGTGTAATAATATAGAGAATATAGTCCATCTTAATAATAAATAAATTTAATAACAACGTAATAAATTTCAACAAACTGAACATCAAACCTTAGAGTATATTGCCCTGTAGTGAGATAGAAGCCTACTTCTGCGAATATTATTCAAGGAGGCGAGAAGACTGGAAAGAGTTTCATGGTCACCTAACATGATCACCTTGTGGATCAACCATGCTTCTTCTTCTAGTGTTAGCAAGGTGACGTTGTAAGCTTTCATCCCTCCGCCAATATAAGGTCTGTAATTGAAATCGACACAATCATTGGCTACTGCTATGTTATAGAGGTATTTAGTTGTACCAAAATTTAATTAATACGAAAAGTACTTGATTTACTTTGATCAGGTGTTCACATTAATCTTTAATGTACTTAGTATCGCAAGTATGGTACCAAGAGCTCAACATTTACAATACCTAAAATTAGATATCTTTATTTACAATAATCAGTCTTTCATAATATGTATATATATATCTATCTACAAAAGACAAAAGGTGCTGTCAGAGTTCAGGGAAATATTTTAGGAACTTTCGTCATAAGCAAAAGTATAAGGAAAATATGTACAAACCCAGGCGGATTATATATTCATATAATAGGCTCATTCACCACCTGGCATTTGCGGACGATGTGGTACTTACTGACAGAACAGCCAATGCTCTTCTAAGAGCATTTGAGTAAAGTGAAGAACCAGCGAAAAACGTAGGCCTGAAGACTGATGTCTCTAAAAGTAATTTAAGTAAATGACATCTTCGAAATATAGATATGGACATAACTACATGGAGGGAATAGAGTACTGTTTTGACAGAATTGAAACAGTTAAATTTCTGGGAACAACTATTTCAGAAAATAATGAAATAGAAGAGGAAATAAAAGCGAGAATAGTGGCGGGTAACAGGTACTATTGGTCTCTAAAAAATATTTTTCTGAACAAGAGTCTAACATTGAAGCTATAAGTCAATCCTTAGGCCTTTGGCCCTGTAAGGAAGTGAAACGTGGACTCTAACTGTAAGAAATGAACGACTGCTCAACATATGGGAAACAAAAATTCTGAGCAGGATATATGGCTCGGCACCAGAAGGACTATTAGACTACGTGGTCTTCTGAAGTATATAAAAACTTTAATTTTTGTTAACTTAAGTAAAAACCCAGAAATGGAAAGTAAAAAATAAATAAAATAAAATGTAAGGTACCCTTGATTTAATTAATTAATTAATTAAGAAACTCTGGCGGTTGATCATGATCTTGCTCAGATCACCTTGCACAACCCTTACCAACAAACAGTACATCCTTACAAAGTACTGAACGCAAAACCCTACAGAAAATTTAAGTGCCTAACACAAAAAGGAATGAATTATCATCATTTATGCCAACTGGTTTTTTTCTCCAGTTGTTTTAATAAAAACAAACGTATTTTTTTATATCAATATTTCCCCTTCCCAGTAAACAAGGATTTCTTTTTTTATATTCAAACATGGAAAAAGTGTCTGTTAACGGGTTTGGGAAAATTAGAGAACCCTCGGTAAAATCTTGCCCCGGACGCCTTCATCCTACGTGACGGCCGTGTTCATTTATAACAGGAAATAACTATCACCTAGCTGTGCCTGTTTTATTTTGGACACACCACAGGCGGATTTACGAGGGGGCTTTCGGGCTGAAGGTCCCCCAAAAATGGTAAAATGTAACCATGTTTTATGGTAAAAAATATAAAAAAATTATGTCTTAAAGTATTACTGCTCGTTTAATTACATTTAATAGGACTTCAAGAAACACTTAAACACCGTTTCATACAGGTAGTTAGTATCTTTCTGTTTTTCCAAAGTATTTATCGTTTTATATATATGAAAAAAAATCTTCCGGGCTGAAGTCCCCCCAAAATTAAATCCTGGATCCGCTAGTGGGACACACCATACACATACCTGTAATGTTTCAGAACGTAGTCTATAGCACATGAACTACGTTAAATGATCATGTTTTTTAGAGAGCGATTCGATTCAACTACCATCTTTTGTCGCATCGAAAGTAATTACATTTTAAAATTAAACAAAACCAATGAAGACAATTTCTGTCAGAAGTAATTTCTTTGAAAGTAAACATATCAATACAAACTGGAGGAATAAAACGCTACTTCCACACTGTTTTGTGCTAATCCTTTTCCTAATTAAAAACACTAAATGGAGTATGATATAAAAACAAGTATAATTCTCACCTGCCAATTTCATCTGTTTGGTAGTTTATAGGTAAAAGTTCTGAAGTTAAATGATGCGCATGTGGCTGTCAAAATAGATACATTGCGTGCTTCATCAAGATTACGCTTATCGGAAGGATATAAACGTTCGATAGACCTACTTTAGTTGCATTAAATGTCAATTCCTGGTAAACATAAAATGTCTATTTCTTTTTATAAAAACTCAATCCTTCAGAAAAAAATAATGTTCATGGGAATGCAAGCTAAAAAAATTCTGATGCGGTGTGCGCATCACACAACTTTCACTTACCACCCTGTTCTTAGCAGAAAGAAGTATATCATACAAAGGGGTAGTGAAAGTAAAAATTAAAAACGCTTTATTTATTTATTTCATTCCGGATATTTTTATGTGTTTAAGTACTCTTTTATATATTATATATTAGGTAATGAAGTGAACAATGTGAATGAAATTGAATAATACTAACTTTTATTAACGACATTGTTTTAAAAAATGATAATCCTACTCTGTCCAATACATCACACCCGATTAGGATATCATATTGAGCGGTCAATTTCTCTAACACGTGAACGACTACACCAATTTTTACCCCTGCGAGATTCTCGAGTTCCCATATATACTGTTCAATATTGGGGAGCCCGGTACATGCCATATGACCGGGAGCCCTTTTCTTGAGAGATACAAAATAAAGAAATGTTCTAGAGAGGAATACTTGCGAATATATGTAAAATAGCTTACGTACAGTTTGATGAGGGGGTCGGTCTCGCGCCTTCTCTCTCTCTCTCTCTCTCTCTCTCTCTCTCTCTCTCCGCCGTTCTGGGTCCAGAAAATTAGCCGAAGGGCTGTAGTTCTGGAGGTCTGGTCAGGAGATAGGTCGTCAGCAGTCCTTTTACCAACTTCGCTCGCTAGCATCTGTCCTTTGGCCGCAGATAAGGCCGTCTTAGAGAGGGGGTAGTGCAAGTTGAGACCGGGGGCCTCCCCGTGTTGTTTATACAACGATAATTTAAAATGCTGTATACAATAAAATTTTGGATGTAAATCCAACATATACTCTAAATAAACTGCAAGGGCCACTCTAAGTGATAACGGAACATTTACAAATCTTGATCTCATACTTGCCACACAGCCTCTTAAACACCCCTCTGCTGATTAAGGCACTGGTACTGACACATTCGAAACATTTAATCGATGAACAATCAGGTCGCCTCTGCTTGTCCTATAGTCTTGGCCGAGCTTTTCGGAGATGGCTGTATATTGATCAAAATTTATTTTCGCAAAACTGTAATCTGACTGTCCGGACCTTTTAACCTCCGTAAAAAGTCTGTAGACGTGTTCTTCAGATATCCAGCGTTCTCTCCCATGGGCCTTTTTCAATCTTTTAGTGATCTCTTCCCAGGGTGTCAACTCATCCGCTTATATTCCGTTAAGGACATTTCTCTTTACTCTTCCAACCAATGTGAGGAAGTACTGTTATAAGGCCAACGATTGACGGTACAATATCACGCTCAACCGCCAGAATATCCCGATTACTTAATTATTTAATTAAGAGTACTCACTTTATAGAGGCTGGGTTTGCCTCCGGGTCGACCCATGACTGATGAAAAATTACTAGTCATCAGCCGGATTTGAACCTAGGATCTTGAGCTCTGTTAGTCAGTGCTCAGCCACTGATTTACACCGCTCAGGAGGCAATTGTTTTGTGAAATTCGTAACATTTTTGTTGCTTGCAGTAGAAGATTCTCTTTCGGGGCCGCTCTTTTTATAGAAATTAACTCGTGTTTTTCAGTCAGAACTTGATGTAAAGGTGTTGTAAATTGCACTTTTCTTTGGAATATGGTTTTCGGTGTGACCACCGCTCAATTTGTTTTCAGAAGTATTAACAGTTTCTTCAAGCTGTTCTTCGGTTTCAATATTTGCGATTTGTTCGATAGGCAACGCTATGTATCTTTTTGCTTTAAAGCCAAACATAAGGACTTTAGCGTATTCCTTCTTGGTAAGTGGTGTTCTTGGAAAATTGAACAATGGCTAAACCATTTGACCATTTATTTTTGTTGTTGTCGTTCATACATGCAGTTAGCATATTCTGTATATCCTGATTGGCATTTTCAACTGAGCCTTACGTTTGTTTGTGACGAGCTTTTCATGAACTATCTTAACATCTTTCCACATAGCACATATGACTTGATTACTGAATTTTCTACCATTATCTGATTGTATTGTTGGTGCACGAAACGTTAAAAATATTGAAAGAACGTGATACGCTACTTCTTCAGCTCTTTTAATTTGCAAAGGTCGTAGCTGGATAAACTTAGTTTAATGATCTTGATACATAATTATGAACTTATATTCGACATCTCTGTTTGACTGCAAATCTATCAGATCAACTTGACATCTTGAGTTTAACTCAGAACTGACCATTTGTTTCACAATACCTTTCTTAGGTGCACTGTTTTTCATTTGACACTGTTTGCATAAATTTAAATACAACATTACAACTTCATATGCAATATTTTAGTATTGAACTTGCAACTGTTTAAGCATATTTGTTCGTCATCCTGGTGTGAGTTTCATATAGTATACAGAACAATTCTTCATTGGTAACATGAGACTGTATATTCATTTCTCCTGAATTTAATGGTACAATGAACTTCTTTTCACCATTAATTTTTAATCGTCCTTAATACAAAGGTGTGTTGCACTTAGTTATAGCAGAAACCACTTTAAAAAGTATTTTAGAGTACTTTTCTTGAGAAAAATAATAACAATTGTATCCTCATTCACCCGCAATTAATACATTTAACTTTTCAAGAAAAAGGTCACGATTTACTGCAGTACCTATTCAGTATAAATTGCGGAAAAAAATTTAAGAAAACGTTGCTGGCATAAAACTGACTGACTCCCAGCAGAACAAAGGATTTGGCGGAAAAGAGCCAATCGCCTCCTCTCTTTTGGACCTCAACCAGAGAATATCTGTGAGTTTCGACATACATTAGCGGATCCAGGATTTAATTTTGGGGGAGGTCTTCAGCCCGAAAGATTTTTTTTTCATAAATCTTCATAAAAATAATTTGAAAAAAAAAAGAAAGAAATCAACTACCTATATGAAATGGTGTTTAAGTGGTTCCTGAAGTCCCATTAAATGTAATTAAACGAACAAGAATACTTTAAGAGGTTGTTTTTAATATTTTTTTTTTTGTAAAACATGATTATATTTTACCATGGAAAATATAAATATAAATGGAAAATGGAACATTCCAAAATGGAAAATATAACCTTGTCTTATGAAGAAAATACCTCTAAAGTATTATTGTTCATGTAATTACATTAAATAGGACTTCAAAAATCATTTAAACATTTTGTATAAGTAGTTGGTTTCTTTATTATTTCATAAAAACAGCTTCGAGAACTGAATCCTGCTCCCCTCCCCCAAATTAAATCCAGGATCCAATATTGTCACCCAGGGAAGAGACATTAGATAGTTAGTTGTAGAGGTGAGAAAATTTACATTTTGGATGTCATACTAGTACACTGAGCAAATTAGTTTCATGTACAGGATAGATGTGCAAGAAATTTGACCCTGAACAAAGCAAGGATATTGAACTAGTTCAAATAATTGGTGGAGCAGTGGGATCAGATGCTATGGGGAGTTCCAAGTATATCCTACATCATACACCCCAATCCCAGTTTACTATATTTTTGGAAATTATAATCAGGAACAACACATACCTACTTAATTGAAATTATTCTGTTGGTAATTATTCCTAAGCTTTTATAAAAAAAAAAGGTACAGAAAGTTCAAGCTTAATTTGAATTAATTATCATAATGTCATAAAATGTTTTACTATCATTAATATATGACACCCAAATTGTAATTAATTTTTCGAGACATAAAATCACAAACTATATTTTATCCCATTATCTTGAAGTTTAAAGATATCTTCCAGCTCTACAACCCGAATAAATTAATCCCCTCCAAATCTAAGGATTTAGATGGTAGAGGGATCTGTGGCACTGAAGATGTTTTGGAATATCTTGTTAGATGTTTTTTATTGACCAACTAAAAATCAGAGATAAACAAAACACCCTTGTATTTTGTTTGGACATTATAAAATAATGTATAAAAGTTTGGTCCAATTTTGAGTGTTATTGGTACATCTCATCAAGTTTCTAAAAATACTCTGGTTGAAATTCAAACCCTAAACTCCTTGATTTTTTTTTCCAATTTGAGATTGTGAAGAGATTTAATTTTTGTAGCAACTTATAATTTATTTTTTGAAAGTAAAACTTTGTAACTTTCAAGGTTAAATTAAATCCCTTTTTATGAAATCAGAGCTATCCTGTGGTGGAGTGACTAGAGATAACAGAGGTGGCGCCACATATCAGAAACGAAAGTTATAGCCAATGTAATATCAGTTCTTAATAATTAAAATTACAAGCCAGCTTGAGGTTCAAAGTTTTATATTTCTTTATCTTTTTTCCATTATGGCAAAATAGGATCTTAGTTGACTTGGATGGAGAGGGGACCAGTAAAATCAAACCCCGGGCACCTACAATCCATACAAAAGTCCTGGTCCTGGATGTAATCATGTTACCATCTAACAACAAAAAGAAACTATTTGAAGACAGATAATAATGACCATACGTCTAAAATAATTTGAATTTATAAAAGTAAATAAACTAAAATGGGATGAAAGGGAAGTAGATTAAATATAAAGTTTTGTTTTAATTAGTACTAATCAATATATATTATATGTATACATATATATAGATGGGATAACAAATTGTGGACCAAAGCATGGTCAGACTAGCTGCACAAAACATATTAATATATCATTAATAAATCACATTTTTTTTTACTAAATTGCTTACTTATTTAGTGCCCTTGATACAACTATATAATTTCTTTTTCAAGACCAATTAAATTACATTATTTACTATAGTAATTTGAAAGGGATACAATTGACCAACTTGAATCCCGGAATTACCAAGTGCTGTAAAAAAAAAATTAGTGAAGTGTTTTGGGTTTCTAGAGTAATTATTTTTTTTCTTCACAGGATCGGACCTTTATTATGACCTGTGGTCAGCTGATAAGAAGACAATACTAACAATACTTCCCACAGAGCTAATGCTCTTTACAATGGCATGAAAAACACTCTTATTCCGAAAACATTTTTACAACAAACAAAACTTTGCTACAACTCGCTTCATGTAAAAAATATGTCACACATCCTTTCTTTCAAATGACAAACAGATCTCATGCCTATTAGATAGACACAATAAAATTCAAAAATGAGAGTAAAATACCTTATTTTTACAAAGTACAATCATTTCACTATAAATGAGGTAATAACAATTTAAAACATATATTTTTTAAATGTAAGGCTTTCATGATTCGACAAGCGAAAAATCATAATAGGATACACAAATTATTCCAGATAACTGTCCATCCTGGAAATTAAAAATAAAAATTAATACATATGTACAAACTATAATTATATACAAGTATGTCACACCAAATGCCAAATTATATATTTTAATATGGTCTTTAAAAGCTGATAAAACATTCTATATAGCAAACACTTGAGGTGTATTTCTTTTTTAAAATAGCATACCAATAGAGATCATTAGCCTGTTAAGATCTTACACCATTGGCCAATATCGCATTACATTTCAAAACACTTTATTGTCTTATTCATTATTATTACTAATATAATATAATTATATAGATACATGAGATGCAAGGACTTGATCCTCTACACTGATGGTAACAACATAGATAAGAAAAAGAACAATGCCTACATTGATACAAGAGTATAGCTATTCAGTGAGGAAAACTCATCAAGGTTTAGAAGACTTAAATTTAAGCGAGAATCAGCTCTAGACTGCTTTTACTGCAGACCGATTCTCACCTTTATTCACTGTATTTATAAAAAACATTTACTACTTGCTCAAAGCTAACATTAATTTTTTACAATATACATATATATATATTTATATATATAATTTTATATATATTCTTCAATATATATATATTTTTTACTTAATATATTGGAAATATAATTAAACAACAGTAATAAATCAACAATGCAAAGCCACTTTTCATATTAGTAATGAAATGACTTTCTATTTCCATGCTCAAGGTATAAATATAAAACAAAAAAAATCTATGAATTCAATAACAAATGGTGAAAGTTAACATACTATTGGTAGTAATTATTCAACTTTAAAAGCAATATTTTTAGTTCTTTATATAAAATATTTAGATTTTGCATACTAAGATTTTATCCAACGATCATATTTGTAATAAAATCTCCAATAATCTACTTTTTTCATGTAATACAACTTTCACCATTGAAGAAACATAGTTAGAAATAAAAATTAATTTTTCCTTATCTTATCCGATTAGAAGTTTTTTAAATTAATGGAAATTTTCAATTACATTTTATAATTATTAACAATGAAAACTCTTAAAACCATTAAACATGAAACATATTACATCATACCAGTAAAACTCCTTTTAAATGGAACTAAGCCAAACAAATTGTGATTTAAATTTACTTTGCTTCATCACAGTTTAACATATCAAATTAATCAAGGATCTTCAAACATCAAAAATTCTGTCTGCGCATCATTACTTCAAGTCATCAATGTCTGAATCTATAAGATCAGAATTTCCAATAGATTTGTCCCCAACCATCTCATAGTCTTGCAGCTCAGCTTCAAGCTCCTTCTCCCATTCTTGACTCTCTATTAGGCATATGGGAAAAAGGATAGGATGAAAAAAAATCAATAAAAAATAAAAACTTATAATGCCGTGAAAGTGAATTTTTTTTATATTTGTAAATTTAAAAAAATAAAATAAATAAATCAGAAAATGGAGTGAAGTTATATATATATATATAAATGAAGTGAGAATGGTCATGGAATGAAGATTGATATAGTAAGCATTGGTACCATTTTTAATATAAAAGAAACATTAAAATTAAGTAAATACAGATAAAATAAAGAAAACAGATTTAAGAAGAAAAAAAATCATGCATATAGTGAAATAATCTTTTGCATCCAGTCCCAAAATGCTCTCACATTTATTTACCTGTGTAAATAAGAGCAATGTGTGGTATGAAATAAAAAAATATATATTTACCTTAAAGGTGTACGTAAATATTATCAGTAACTTGTTTCATGTTCATGTATTTATATTTAATGTTATAATATCAACAAAAATTGAACAACTGTAACCCAAAGCGAAAAAATAAAACATGCATTTCTAAAAGGATTTGGAAAGGAAGGGAATTGTTAGTTAGGTGGCAGCTCGGCATTCTGGGCTCTCCGTCTTCAATCTGTAGACAGCCAGAAACCAATTCAAATTTAATTAACAGTCTAATAATAATTAAAACTGTAATAATAAGCACAATGAGAAAGAAATTCATAGTTAATTTTAAATATTTTTTTTCAAGTAAACACTACAAAAGAAAAATAATTCTCAACATCAAAACTCATAATGTCTAAGTAAAAATATGAAAATGAAATCTGTATATTTAACTATCGAAAATAGTACAATCATGCTATTAGATTGGGACATAAATTTGAAGCATTTCTAAAGGGAAACTTAATAAAAAGAAAAAAGTTCAGATGCTTTTAACTAAATTATTTTAGAACCATTTCGTTTGAAATATGACTATTTCGTTTGAAAATATCAAGTCTTTCAGTATCTTGATGATAATTTCTTTTTCAAACACACCACCACCTTGAGAAATGAATGCTTTTTTTGGCAACAACCCAAGAAATTGTAATGCTCTGTTTCCTCGTATCATGCAAATTTTGTTCTTACCAGAAAAAGTAAAAAGCTAATGTTGCACAAAAAAAGCTAAACAGAATATGTGAGACTGAATAAACTAGCAAAACTTATAAGATGTTATTTTAATTAGGCATGTAAAAAAAAAATTAAGGATGGTAGAGACAACATCTGGATTGGTACATTGTAGCAATTTTATTTTACGATCATTCAATATTTTGGTGTCACATTTTAGTTATGTATAATATCAAAGTGAATTCATTGTCTAATAATTATACTGCGGTTATTATAGGTAAAAGAACCACATAATAATAAAAAAAAAAAAATTTCAATAACACCAGATGAACAATATACCTGCTCGAAATATATTAGTAAGATTCCTGATACTGGAAAAACAACTTTATCATTTTATTTATTTTTTTTTTCAAGACATTTCAGATATCAGACCATCATCAGTTGATTCCAGAATGGACCCAATAAAATTAATTTTACAAAAAAATCACAAAAGTAATTATTTTTATTTGAAAAAAAAATCATGTAAATTTGGAACATCACTGTTTAATTTTTTTAACTTATAGTCCCCAATTGTTAGTTTCACATCTTCCAGGTAAATGAGAACATTGCTGCCTGATCCATTGCCATGAGCCAGAAATAGAAGATATTTACTTTTATTTGGAATGGTCATTTAAATTAGTTAGAAAGACATTTGTAGTCATCAGAACATCAAATGAACATCTATAATTTATACTGTTTTATCAGGAACGTAAAATTTCCATGACAAAAAACAATATATTTTGTTCTAGGCCAATTTATGCATTTGTGTTTTTATTTTTCATATAATCATGAAAAATTAAAACATGTAGTAGATAATTGAATAATTAAAGAGTAATTAGTCTAATGATGAAGATAATTTAACAAAGGAGAGAAAAATTTATTAAAAGGGGGGATTCGATGGACCAGAGGATTATAGGAAGGATGAAAATCTCAGTGAGATTAATTTTTCTTGCAGTGCTTAAGAATTATAGGGAAGGGAAAATTTAGAAATGTTTATCTCTTAGAAAAATAAAATCTTTATTAGCAGTATCTTAAATTGAATTTGCAGAAATAAGACAAGCTCAAGTAAAATAAAGCAAATTTCAGAAAATAATAACAGTTAAAAAATATTTGACAGCAGTATATGCAAGAGAAAAAATGAGCTCAAAAAAGAAAAAAAAAAAAATTAGCAATAAGGCAATAAGATTATTAGATGTCCTATGAAAAAGGTCTGTACGATAAAATAATTAATTTCATTTAAAAAATTGACATCAAAATGTTAGAAGATGAAAAATCAATAAAACCTCCAGCCATCTGCAAGAAACAGGTTAGCAAAAACAAATGATTTATCTTTTTAATACAAAAATAATAGAAAATAATTTAGAATCAGTATTAGTACCCTTATTAGAGCCATCACATCCCTATTATTTGCCCAGACCACATTCTATAATCTATATATGTCTCATAAATATATTGTGATAGTAGCTGTTTTATATGATATACTCCAATTTTTAACATCATATAAAAATTTAATTATAAAATCCTTCTATTTTTATGGGGACCCAGACAGTTCATCAAAAGATCCTTGCAGAAGAAATAACTCCTGAACTCATCATGCAACTTAAGAACTAGATGATGTAGAATGGGTCAGTGGACTTATTAGGGAATCTACAGATGAGGACCAATGAAGAACCAAGCAAGTGCTAAACAGTTTTCCAAAAGAATAAACCTGATGGATGAAACCAATGATGGTTAAAAATACCTTAAGAAGTTGTTAGAAGAGAAATATTGGATTATTGGGTCACACGTAATTATTCAACTTTTTATAATAGCTATTACATGGATTATTGTTAAATTTTTACAATTGCACATTATGTTATAAAAAATACACTTTTGATAGAACACATAATAAAAAAACTCTGGTACACAACTTTCAATTACCGCTCTATTTTGAATAGAAATTATTTTCTGGCGATGATGGGCTATTATAAAATTTTTGAAATACATTTCAAACAGTGCTAAAGCTTAAATTAAAGTTAAAAAATAATTAATACCATTAAAATAACAAAAATCCTATTTATTATATCCACAGTAGGCAATAAAAACCTCAAAAATCCAAAATTTTTGTAAACCACACAACCCTAGTATCTGCGCTATATGTGCCTTTCAGTTGATAGAATGACCTAACTCCAATTTCAAAATTTTTTAGTAATGTCATTTTTGTGATATTTCTAGTTGGAAAATTTATAGTGAGTAAGTTGATTCCCGAGTAGATGATTGCAGTGTTGAAATATAGAACTGAAGTAAAGGTAAAAATTTTTCCACTAGAAATACCACTAAAATTAATAATGAAACATGTTTAAATTGGAGTTAAGTCATTCTGTCAATAGAAAGGCTCATATATACCAAGAGAGATTTAAAAGTACATTTGTATATTAAAGGTATAAATGATTATGGACTATACGACTATTAGTAATTAAACTGTTATTTTCCATTGTAATGTTTACTGAAATGAATTTACGAGATTTTCATTGCCTGCCATGGATACGTCAAAAGTTGTCACACTAATTGTAAGTGGATAACGTTGGGATTTCACAAAGAGAAAATTCCTCAACTCATTAACTAATTTAGAAAGAAAATTTAATTTAATTTTCTTGGAAACATGTGATTAACATTAAATAATGTTAGTTTTCAGATATTATTATTTATATTTTTTTCATCACTCTCCGTTACCTTCTATAACTTCATTTATTTGATATGATTTTTTTTTTTGAAAATTCACCGCTTTCCAACGATGTATTATACGTATACCTTCTGACTATAATTTCTAGAGATCCATTTACGACCTGGATAATTCCATTATTCAATTATCAAATTCTTTCAAAAGTTATATTTAGAATTTTTTCGTAACCCTTAACAATGAGAAGTAGTTAATTATATAAAATAAATCAAATTAAAGTTACTTTAGAGGAAAAAATGTTGACATTGGACATTTAAACCCTCTAAAGTGACATCAATGGGAAAACGATCTAAATGGTATTAAAGACCACTTAATTATACAATGATACACAGAGTATAATCAAAATCGTTAGTCGGTTTTGAGATAATTGTAAAAATGTGTAACACCGTTGATATGAAGTAGCACTTCCGGTTAGACAATTTAAGGAAAAAATTGCTTTAACATCTCAGTCATATACCTATCTTAAATACGTAATATCAGTTTTGTATGACTTTTCGTTTTTGAGCTAGACTGCTCACATACACACAGAGACCATTTTGCAGGACTTGGTTATTTGGACTTTCCATTACTGTATTTCCATTGAAAATTTAGATTCAAAAATTTTCACAATCGCAATACTTCCCTTTACTATATATTACATACATAGGTAAGTGAAACTAAAAATAAGTGATAATAATATGATGTAGGGGAAAAAAAAAACTATATAGAAAAAACACTATAAACTATAAACTATAAAAAAACACAGTGAACATAAAATAGACAATGTTCCTACAAAACAATTTTAAAATTAAAATTTAATTTTGCACAAAATAAAATATAATAACATTATAGAAATCTATCCCTATCTTGATTAAACATTGTTGAATAATCTATCACATACTATTAATGAAAAAATTTTAAGTCAATTAAAACCACCTGTTTCAAACGTAATGGCTGATAGGAATATTAATAAATCAAGGAGATACATTTAAAAAAAAAATAATTAGAAACTAAAAATCATGGAATACATAAATAATAAAATAAATTAAAACTAGATCTCGAGGGACAGTAAGAAATTACTAAGGGGAAGTAAGAAAATAAAATCATGATAAGCTTGTTAGTTGGAACATGCATTACTGCCAGCATATTTGTGCTAAAAAACTGTAGACTCACAATAATTTATAACTCAATACTAATTATTTTATAAATATATATAATGGTTATAGACATGCACTTTCATTCATTTTAATATTAAATTTTTTAACAAATGCTTTGACCAAATAAATTGAATAATTGCACTCCATCATTGTAATAATAAATATATTTAACATAAAAGGTTAACAAAACCCCAATACTTTAGCAGATAAGAGAACTACTAATTTATATTGAATAAAAAATCACCAATTAATTGTTACGTAACTTTATTAATAATAAAACTGATATTTCCGATATTATCTGGCTTTTGCGTACAGAAAACAATTTTTAGTTGGGATAGTTTTTTGAAATGCTTGCCATTGGTTTGAAGATGAAGTATATAAAATTTTATCATAATCAGTAAAAAACTGTAAATTTGAAATAAAGATAAATATTAACAGACGTCTTATTTATATAATAAATTATTTTATAGAAACAAGGAGATAGTCCGGGGTGGCGGTCATAAAAAGATTAAAATAGTGAAAAAAATATTTTTATTTCAAGCCAACATTTTGACCCAACTTTGCAGGTCTTCTTTAGGTATGTGTATGAAAGGAGTTTCAATTGACTGAAAGTAATTATTTTATAGTTGTATTGAATTATTATTTTATAGTTACATTAAATATTTATTTATTTACTTTATAGTTATATTGAATTATTTTATAGTTATAAAGTACATGTATAAGGAACACACATACAAACATATAAAGATAAGTGACGACTCAGAATTATTATTATGACCCTCCCTTTAGTCATATATTTATTCTTGCAGGAGATTTAAATAAAATAAAATCTCTTTAGAATAAAAATCCACACAAAAATTATTGAGAGTCTACTGCAGCTATTGTTATAGTCCTTGATATAGACCCTCCTCCCTTTTTTATTATCAAATTATTAATACTCGGCTGAAACTTCGTAAAAAGGTTCATCTCATCGCAGCCAACAAATATTTTATTTAGGAAAATTCTCGGAATTGAGGCGTTTTCAATCTGGAGGTCAGCAAACTGTCTATTTAATTAAATAAAAACTCGTAAATATCCATTTGCTTTCCACTATAATCGTAAGATAGCTTGAGTACAAAGTCGAGAAAATAGGTGGCCCTTCAAAAATATTGAGCCGTTTGGTGTGACACACCCCCAAATTGTCAAAATAACGAGGTAATATGGGCCAAATGGCCCAATATTTTTGTAGACAAATATGATAAGTAGTCCCATAAAGCAAATATGAGTTTAAGTTCCCAATTAAATAGAGAAAGTTTGCTGACCTCCAGATTGAAAACGCCTCAATTCCGACAATTTTCGTAAGTAAAATATTTGTAGGTTACGATGAGATGAATCTATTCATGAAGTTTCAGCCGAATGTTAATAATTTGATAAAAAGAGGTCTGTACCGCAGACTATTATACAGTGATACCAAGAAGCAATATAAAAGGTACTGCTACAAACCTGGTAAAACAACGAAACCACTGGGTGCTGAAAATTCTCTAAAAGAAGTATTTTTCTACTTCTATAAAAGAAATATTTTATTTTATAAATAATTATTACCAATTATTCAGCATCTCACACTAATCAACAAATTATGTAACATTTTAAATAATTCAGCAAGCTATGTGATATCGACAAAAATAAATTACGAAGTCGAAGAAAGCCATCTAATGTAACTGATTTGCTTTGATTATATTGATGTATTGAATAAATCATTGATTTTTTTTTTTAATAAACAAAAATTTTAAAACTTCAAAGAAATTAATGTTTGAGTTTAATTACCAGAGTAATTATGATACCTCTTTAAAAAAATGAAAAGATTCTAAAAATTCATTAAATATATATGAAATCAGTGGAAAGTGGAAAAAAAGTAATTGATAATATTTTGACTTAACCAGTTTTTATTACCTTTGCCTCCTCTTTGTATAACACTTAAGAAAAAATCAATGGTTTAAAAAAAATTAATTTATTAGCATGAACATTTTTTTTTATTCAAAGAATCAGTAAAATATTTAAGAAAGCAATACAATTTTTACTGACATGTTCAGTCAGATATTAGAGATGATGAAGTAACAGTAACGCCTGTTATAACATTGGAGGACAAGACTCACCTTGGTCCGTTTTGATGCCCAGTTTTCTCATTCCTTCTTGGACCTCTTTAATATCTTCAGAACTAGCAGGGAATTCTTCAGAGACAAAGCCAGTTTCAGCCAACCCTCTTACATCTCCTAATGATGTTATCAATGAAAAAAGTAATATTTAAATCATAAACTTCAGTCTTAGTAATGTAAGGGATTGTAATTAAAAGAAGTATGAAATTAAAAATTAATAAAAATACACAAAAAAAAGCAAAGCTAACAATGATAATGATGATAACAAAAAAATAATTATTTAAATAAAACACTTTGTTCGTTGTGTTACTTTCAAAACGATAAAGGGTTTTTTTGTGTATCGTATATTGAATATAATCTAAGGTGGGTTAAAGGGAGGGATGGAATTGACTACAGAAAACTTAATGATAAATCAAAGACATTCTTTCCTCCAGATTACACACATTGAAATTTCTAATAAGTAAAGCAATAACGATTTTTGAAAGCAAAGATAAGGAGTCCTGAATTCGGAGATAACATTATACCAAGGATATGAAACTATAGACAGGAGAGTTGAGTTTTCTTTTATATATCATAGAAGATATGTAAAAGAGATATTATCAATTAATAATAAAAAAATTTTGCTGGATAGTTTAATACTAGTTAGCACTAAACATTAACGTCTCAGCATTCTCAGTTATTGAAACTAATAACAGGCAATTTATGTTTGGTGACTAATAATGATTTAGTTAAATCTTGACAGATTAGTTGTACAATCAGTCAACTCTAGAATACAAAATTATTTCTAAAAAGATATGTGACAAATGAATTGCATACTTGCATGGAAACATAATTGTGTGAATTTGAGTTGCAATAGAATTCAACTTATGAAGAACGTATTGAGATGGCACTTTTTAAATAAAAAAAAAAAAGGCGCTTGGGCGGCGTGGTGAGAACTGGAGGGTGTGTATGGCTGCTGGACACAATACTTTCAAAGCTTTCAGCTCTACATTATAAACTAGCATTTAGAAAAACTAATAAAGTATGTTTTAAACTAAATACTTTTACTCAGAGACAACATGGTATACAAAATATGGAAAGATATTTCTTGAATGGAAGTGTATGTTATTCTAAGTAAAATGAAACTCATCTGCCACTGCTTTCAACAGTGGCGGCTGATTTAATGAATATAGGTCAGTAACTTGAGGATCAAAATGGAAAATATATTGCAAAAATTGTGGGAAGAGTTTTAACTTGTATAAATGGGTTCAGAAATGTAAAAAACGAAATTGCTAACCTGGGCCACCAATGGAAAACTTTTTAAAGCCAAAAAGGACAGATTTGTAAAATATTTTCTTCTGAACTGTGCACTGAAGCGAAAAATGTGCTCTTTATGAAATCAAAGAATGTTATATTGTGCGTCAAATGAGTACCTAAACTTAAAATGTTGGTTAAGAGGTATGGTCGAAAACCATGGTCAACGAACACTGATTTTGATCAAATTTGTCAGAAACTGGGACAAATTACTAAAAATGACCCTGTAGGAAATGAGTTCCCTAAGAAAAAAAAAACTCATAGAATAACAGTTGTTGAGCATAAAGTTCCGCATCCCCTGAGCACCAACAATTTTAATATGGGTTATAACAGTTTAATAAAACTTACTCTGCTGGAAATCTGTAATCTCTCGATGGCTATAAATTGATAATGAAGGTATGTGTTGGCAATATTTCAACAGTATGGATGTATATTCTACTGAGTTATTCTTGATCAATGTCTGCAATATGCATAGGCTTCTTTACCACCTCTCAGTAGTAATAGATTTTGAGTAACGAGATGTTAAACAAACCAAATTTCATGATGAAATAATGAATAATTAATCCCAATCCAAGTCCATGACCAAGGCCAATATCACTACTGACAATGGTTCCAATGCAATTTTGGCAGTGGTAGCAAACAAGATTAGACAATTGATTACCGTAAGTACTATATAATGAACGAAGAATATTTATTATATAAATCTCAAGGAACCCTTTTAAAAATTCAAGATTATCAATAAAATATTAGAAAATAATATTTATTATCATAGCTGAGGAAATCCTGAATAAAAATGAAAAAGCTTACCTTTTCAGCACCAAACTCAATGGATATTCCACACTAACCAAGCATGCAACTAATAAGCTACATACTACCATATTATACCAGCAATATAAAAGTTTATTAAAACAAAGGAATGTTCAGCAAACAAACAGAAAGAAGAGGAAATTAAGTGATTGAAGACAAGTAACATTCTCAAGAATATTTCATTCCAGGCAATATTAAGGGTATAATATAAATCCAACACGAGTAATCAAAACATTCAAAGTAAAAAAAAAAAAATCCCGAATGATCTCACCTTTCATGTTCTGTTGCGGAATTAATTTTCACATCATACATCTTATTTGTGAATGAACAGATAACAAGTCGTGGTATAGAAATTAAATAAAACCATAAACAAAATAAAAGGAATACTAATAAAGCAAACAATTTTTGATAAGAAATCTATAAATATTAAAATCACAGAAATACTTAAATCACTATTTGTGAAAACAAACTCTCAACAATAACTATCAACTACTAGATACCTGCAGATGTTTCTGTTGGACCGCCTCCAACATTAGCACTTTCAGCCATATTACTGACTTCTGCAGCTTGACAAATAAGGTTCACCCGATATAAATAATTACGCCAGAAATTTTCTTCATTTATACTGAAAAGAAATAAAAAAAATAAAAAATATGAACATTTTAAATGGCTGAACTTAGAAAATATATAACTTTTTTTTAAATAGTAAAAATATTCCATAATATACCCAGATGTCAAACTGGATATTTCTATCTGGTTGTAAAATCAACAATGTCAGGTGTGATCTTTGAACACAAGATATGGTCTCCAAGATCACATCCCAATTCCTGATTTAAGCACACGGGGGTAGGGTCATCAGCCCTACGCCAGGTCGGTGTGAGTTGCCTCCAGTAGGCTGATGGGCCTCACATACCCGGAGGGGGGAATTTCGGGCAGCGTGGCTTTCCCTGGCGGATGGCCACCCAAGTGCTAACCACGCTCGTCATTGCTTAACTTGGTTACCTATTGCAAATACCTTAGCTCCCACGGCTATCCCAGTCCCCTATATATATATATATATATATATAATACCTTTATTTGTTTTATGTAGTTAAAAACCAAATAAGACAAAAAAAAAAAAAAAAAAAAAAGAAAACAAATATATCATCAAGCATTACTTCATAAATTATTCACATAACTATCTATAACTATATATAGAGAGAAATAAAATGAATTTTAACACCTAATAAAATTAACTTCTATAAATGATATGATCACAACATACATGCCTGACAATGCCCCAAAAAGTTTAAGATTGAAGAAATCAAATCAACAAAACAACTGCTTTCACTGAATTGTTTGTTAATTATATTTAGTGATTAATCATACCAAAATAAAGGGAGTAGTCCAAATGTCCGAATTAAAGAATTAATCTGAACCTACTAAAAGAATTTAAAACAAAAACTGTATAGCATATCTTAAACAAAGATATGCCTATGGCTTTCGCATCTAGAAAATTGGAACAGTAAATAACTGAACAAACTTATGGATTATAACTTCACCTAAATATAAACAAGAAACATTTATTTGACCCATGATTGCATTCATCTCTAGCGAGATGGTCATAGAATCCATGCATTTTAAATTAAAATCATGAAATTAATTGGTGATCTTGACAAAAAAATTAAAGCTGACTAAAGACCAGTTCATTATCAAAACAAATTGCTAACTACGGAAAAGATGGTTGGAACAAAAAAGTGCAAGAAATTTCCTTAACAGCCGCAATTGGATGATTCCAGGCAATGATGAATGGCAATAGGTAATTAAAATATTAAATCTAGGGTATCTACATTAATCAAATGAAAACCAGAGATCCAGAAATTAAAAAAATTGCAAAATTTTTAACGACTCTACTCCTACACTTATACCCAAACAAATTTCCTGGAAAGATCTTAATTCCTTAAACAATGAAAACATCAGTCGTTTTTTTCGATTCCCTAGCCGTTTCCTTAGAACTCATTTTTTCCCATTCTTCCATCGATGATATGGTCGAATGATTTTCCTCTAACTTCCTTGATTTCCTTAATTAGCATGCACCTCTTAAAACCCATACTTTCATATTTCCTCCTACTTCTGGATTAATTTAGTAATAAGAGAGCCTGCCAGAAGACACTACAGAAGTAAAGGACTGCCTCAGCACTATTCTACCTTTAAATCTCTACGAAACCTTACACAAATATTCCTACGCTGTGTAAATATTCCTCCCTAAAACCTCTCTATCGTCAGTTCCAAAGCCTCTACTCAATATTCAGTAGATTAGAACGAGCTAAATTCCTTTTTTGCTGACCATCTCCCTTCCTCATTTATGGACATCTGATTTCTCACTTTTTTCGATCAACAAAATCTGCTTTGATCCTTATAAGTTTTATTTTCTTGATATTTATCCAACTCACCTATTATTTGCCATCCTTAAACCCAAAACGAACGATTATGGACTTGACCAAATACCTGTTAAAATCAATAAACTGTGCCTTCCTGCCTGCACTTTTACACATATGCATACACAATTTCTCTCTCCAAAATTTTCCCCAAAGCCTGGAAAAGCCCTAACCACCCCTCCAATGAACAAAGCCCTTGCTCCTTCCTCAGCTTCCAACTTCACACTCATATCCATTTTATCCAACCCATTGGAAAGATTAGTCCTCTCTCAGTTTAACCATTTTCTTAAACAGAAATATCTTCTTAATCTTTTACAATCCGGTTTCTGTTCCCATTATTCTACTCAATCTGCATTGCTAAAGATTACCCAAGACCTCCAAACCTCCATAGATAAACAGAAAATCCCTATCCTAATCCTTTTCGATTTTTCAAAAGCCTTTGATTTCGTCAGTCATAAGATCCTCCTTTCCAAACTGTAAAGTCAGCCTATATCAAATAGTGTTAAAAAATGGTTCCATTCCTTCTTATCCCACCTCTACCAGGCAGTTTTTATCACTCCAATTAACACAGGGTGCTCCTCAGGGCTCATCACTCTCTTCTACCCTTTTCTCAATTTATATTAGTAATCTGCCTGACTCCATACAGAACTATGGTTACCATTTATGTGCCGATGACTTACAAATATAACAATCGTTCCAACCTTCTAAGATGACTGAGGCTACTCAAAAGCTACTAGAGGATATCGAGTGCATCTACAGATTGGTAGAAATAAATGAGCTGAAGCTGAACGCAGGAAAAACCAAGATTATTCTCATCGGTTCCAGACATCTCATTAGTTTCCTTCCTTATTCTCCTCTACTTTACCTAAATAACAGTCCCATCTAATTTCTCCCGACAGTCAAAAATCTAGGAGTAACCATTGATCAGAACCTCTCCTGGAGTAACCATATCTCTCAGATTACGTGAAAATCCATAACTTTCTAAACAACTCCTATGACTCCGTGATTCTAATGCTCAAAAAACTAGACAGCTCCTTGTAACCTCTCTCGTTTTACTCCGCTTCGCTTCAACTATGGTTGCTTGGTATATGGAGGACTGTCTGCAAGAGTGGAGATGAGAATGAAGAGACTCATGAACTGCTTCATAAGATTCATCTTTGGAATTCCCAAGCGTTCTCATGTTTTCTGTTAGTACACCAAGTAGAAGTGGCTCTATCCTACATCCCGAACGAAAATTCCTTCTTAGTGTTTTTCTTTTTTAAGTCCTCAGAACCAAAAATTTTCCCTACATCCTAGAACTCTTTACTTTTAAGTTCCTCTATCCACTCTCTTAATACCAGATCTCAACCTACTGATTAATATCTCCTCCCATAAAACTACTTCCTTCAGCAAATCCTTCGTCATTCGTACCACTTAATGGAATTCTTTACTTATCTTCATATGACAATCCTCATCCATAAATTCCTTCAAACGATTCTTATTCCACCATCCACTTCACTTTCAACTTCTGCATCTAAGTAATATTTATTGGTTTCTGTAATTACAATAGCTCATTAACGATTAATCGACAAGTGTTATTTGATTTGATTTTTTTTTTATCGATAACTTTGTATATATATGTAAACCATATAAAATTTAATTGTGTTACTTTGTATACTATACAGTTCCATCAACCGTATAATTGCAATTGCAGTTGCAACTAACAGTTAAATGACAGGTACCTTTTGTGTTTCGTTAAGCCAGAGTAATGGGCTTAAGTTTTTGAACTGTGATATTATTTTAAGGGGTCAGAATAAAATGATTTATTTTATTTTATTTCATTTCAATATGTTAAGAGCAGTGTTTTCCAAAATTTTCAACGAACTAGTTGTGAGTGTGGTCAAAGATGGAAAACATACAACTTGCATATGAGAAAATAAATCCTGTGTTCTATTTTTATATATGAAAGCAGCCCCAACCAATGTTTCTAATTTATCTATGGTCAACATATCTACACCATTTTTAAAGAAACATCGATATGGAACATTAAATTAGGATTTTGGAGAGCAAACATATTTTACTTCCCCAATTAATAAAAAATTAAATTCTTATTATAATAATTTTTCTAATTAATATTGAACATTTTGATAAAAAACAAAACATGTAACACAAAAATCATTTAGTTCATTCAATAAGTTCATTATCTGTAAGGAAGTAATGTTTCAAGACCATTTGTTGTGCAGGATCCAACATTGTAATAAACATTATTTAATTTATTCCAATAAAATACTTTGTACTAATGTCTATTTTATTAATAACACTACTTACATTTTAGGTACTAGCTCGAATCTCATTTTTTCAAGATTAGGGTCTTCTTGCAAAATAGCCTGACAGACAGAGAATTCTCGTTCCATATCAAATGAAAACTCAACTCCTTCAGGTGGTGCTCGAACAAAATTTCTCCTATCCTGAAATATCAAAAAATAACTATGAATGGAAAACAAAATTTTTACTCTTAAATTAGACAACCTTATTTTATTCAATGTATATTATGTACTGATATAAATATTATAGCATTATAATACTTATAAGTAAAAATGGTTACTACAATATTATATAGAAGCAAAGGAAACGATTCTAATGAATAAAATAGGCTTCCAGTACAAGATTAAAAAATGCTCTACTGTTCATAAGTTCCGTTTTAACAAAAAATAAGATATAAATTCTCCAAAATAATTTTAATAGATTAGAAATTTAATCATAAGATAATTGATCAATGCTAATTTATAAGGTTTTATGAGTGTAAATAAATTTTATTATAAAAGTAATATATAATAATAATAATAATTTAATGCAAATAATTTAAGGCATATCAAATTAGTCTATAAATTGCTATATTAACATTGAATTAAAACATCATCTCTACATCAATGTTCAATAACAAGGAAAACAAATGTCACATTTCCCAGAATGAAATTTACAGAAAGAAAATGAGCCCTTGCAGTAATTTGATGCCCCTTATTAAAATGTTACACAAAATATCACAAAGTACAGAGTGAAAAACAGAAAATATAATTAATTCAAAATGGGAAAAACAACATTAACATTAACTTCACATAAAAATAAGTTATCTCTTATTTTTTAAAAAGTTTTAGTAGAAAGAAAATTAGAACAATTATAGACAAATTATGATAATTATCAAATTAACAGTGTTCAATACTTAAGAAATAACATGAAGAACTCGTTTATAAAGAGACGAAAGTCAGAACTTACAGTAGACAATGCTAAGCATTCTTCTCTGAGAGCTTCTTGGTTTGGACAACCAACCCATGGTGGTACTGGTGCTCCTCCATTCTTATTTTTTTCTTTGATGAATTGTTCCTGTTCTTTATTAAATTCACCAAGAATGCTCTGAAATTTAATAGGAAAAATAAATTATTGAGGCAATTAATAAACATACACTTAAATAATTATAACCATCAAGTAATCTTAATAATAATATTATAATAAACTACATAGCTTTCAACATGAGACACGGGCCAACCACAAAATACCACTCTATTCAGCTCGATACATGATATATTGCCATATATAATATAATTAACAAAGTCCCTGTGATTGCTTCAATTGTCAATTTAACTATTTTTTTATTTCATTAATATAGGCTAAAATGATACTTTTCAGAGAAAAAAAAGTTTTGTTCGTCAATAGATTTATTTCGATTCATAATTTCTTTTGACTGATCTTTCGATTCTATAAATTTGCTTTTTAGACCATAGATTTAATTTTTTTCAAAAACAGTTACAGCTTCATTTTTTTGAACCATTAAGAACTTCACGTCAACATTAACTAAAAAAATAAGAGCAGAATCCTCACATCAGCGAAAGGAAAGGTTTCTGGACCCCGATACAACGGCTAAAAGGCTCAAGGGACCCAAAAACATAATACAATTATATAATTAATGTTTTATAGATTGTTATAAATTTAATATTACTAGGTGTATCATATAAAATATCTACCCCATCATGATATATTATTATACATACACATACAAGTCTGCGCAGTGTGTCCGTGCAGTACAGGGAAGGAAATTTTGGGCAACATTTTTTTAAGCTTACATATAAATATACTATATCTGCTTTTTTAGTTGGTATGATCTTTACCTGGTCAATTATAGCAGCTGATGTTAAGAAATGATATTTATTGGCTGTTGGCGGGAGATAAATGAAGATGGAAGGTCAAAATTTAACTAGTTCCTGACCAAAATCTGGCTCTGCATATAGGTGAAATATAAATATATATATATCACATGAAATAGAAATTCTACATTAGAACTTCCGTTTCTAACTTTGTAAATATTTTTCTGCTTTTAAGCAATATTAAATCTATTTGCGGAGATCCATAGAACGTAAAGATACTTAGTGTTAATGGGAAAAATGTTAACTACAGTAAATTAGGATTATGTTAATACAGACACTAAAAGTATCAAGGCCGAGACAACCAAGAAAAATTAATTGGAAGGAAGAAACTGAACAACTTTTCATTTCCCTACATTTTTCATAGAATATTCTGGTTTTATAAATAAGAGGAATTATTCCACAGTAAAGTATTGGAAATGATTAACTTCATTTATGAAGATCTATTGAATTGCAAAGAATACTTTAATTAATTTGAAGTTTTCCATCACAGAAGATTCAAATCCATCTAATTTGTAATGCACTACATTCTAGAATGGCCCAAGTCAGCAGCCTCAACGAAATATGCTAAATATATTTCAATTTAATGATGCGTACGAAATGCTGAAATAAAATTTACATCTTAACAGAGGAAACAATTAGTAACCTTGAAAAATAATAATTAAAGTTGAGGCAGACAATGGGTTGGAATCATGCTAGAACCTCAATACAACAAAGCCAACTGGATTAGGATGGCCATGGAGCGTGAAGTCCATGTTTCAATAAAGGCTTTGATTGAAGGACCAACAACTACCACACAGTTCGTTCATCTAAGCCTTCTCAATTTACATTTTCAATAAACAATGAAAACAAGATAAATATTTAACCAACTCAATTCCAATTAGGAATTATATGTTTTCAGTTACAATCATGAGTTCTGTTGTATCCTTTTATTAAAATACTACTGATGCAATAATCATGAATTGAGGACAATATAAATCTTAATCAAGGCAGTTGGCACGTACACAAATATATACAGAGGATAGAATATTAATTATTCCGATGGAATTTTTCATAATTAGTAATAATTTCTAATCCTTAAGAATCTTTAGTCGACCCTATAATCCATACAGGACGACGATGGGTTCAGTGCGTGATAAGGCAGTATGATTTCAATGAATGTTATGCGGTCATGATCATCCACCAGATTGTCCGATCTGGATCGATTTTCGGGTGATAACTATAAAATAAATATACTGCAAGTGGCGGACTCTAACCAGCGGTCAAAGTAATCCTCACTTAAGATAATTTTTTAAATACTTCCTGTTTAATTCAATATCCACCTATGTAATGAGAACGATATATAATTATTATAGAGGAATATGATTGTAAGATGTCGATATCTAGCTGCTCGAGTCCGGACTCAGGGTGCACATTTATGTGACTAAAGGCTGTTCACATGTAAGCCAAATTCAATTAAAACAGCTGGCTGCCCAACAACTTACGAAAGTCAAGCCACAGAAAAAAGTTCATATTTTTTACAAAAATTAAATTTCATTTTTAATTAAACGATTTAAATTCCCTCTAATTATAAGAAAATGGCCCACGGAACGATGTGCAACATTTCCCACCAAACAATCAAATACGAGTTCCCAAACACATCTACTAATGGACAGTAGATCGCGTGTCAAATGAAAGGGTATAAAAGATGTCAACACGCGAATAAGTTCTCGGAAGAACTAAGTGACGAATGAATGAACCATTCATAACAGACCTGACAACATTAATTATTAAATTAGTGTAGCTCCAAAGTAAAACAGATAAAGCTTCTATGGCAGAGAAACTTCCATACTTTTATTTGAAACCACAAAATAATCTATGATAATTCAAAAATAAGCTTATACATCTAAAAACGGATAAATAACAATTACCTTCACACAAAATTATATTAACTCTAATTTAAAAAAAAATCGAATTTTGTGACACTCATAAAATAGTATGTATTCCAAAAATAAGACTGTGATACAGATTTCAGTGAAATTTAGGTTTTAGTCAAGCACATAATTAGTCCATATTGCCAAAAGGATTTGCAGTTACCAATTTTTTGGATTCATTATTTTTAGTTATTAATAACAATATTAAGAGCAGTATTGAGGAAGTATAGTATGGCTAGACATTACCGATCACCGGACAACTGTTTTTGCTTTTTTATTATTATGACAGTAAAAGGAGTTAATTTTAGGAGATGATGATATTTATTTCGAAATTTATAACAGTAAATACTGCTATGAAATTGTCCATTTTTACCGGGAAGGAAATGAGGGGGGAAAAGGAGCGTTAAAATTAAGCTTGACCCTTCTGGAAAAATAATCCCAGTTTCGGCTCTGCTTGGGAGCACCAACGCTACAATTGATGCCAATCATTTATTCTATAATATAACTTATAATTTATTCTATAACATTATAACCGTTTTGCACGGTCAAGTTCCTTGACCAAAACTTTGTTCTGACTATTGTAGTTAAATATTTTGTTCTCAACCACCACAGTGAGATCAGTCACCAAGGGAGACCACCAGACACTATAGACGCTTTTGCACGGTCAAGTTTCTCGAACTAAGTCGGGATTGAGATTAATATATTTTTCCGATAGGTGTGCAAGGAAAGTATAACTTGTACTTTATTTTGAATGCTGTTTGTTAATTGGTTTAAAAAATTGAAGAATGACTTGAGCTTTTCGGTTGACAGAATGACCAACTCCAATATAAACATTTTTGAGTAAATTCATTTTAGTGATATTTCTAGTTGGAAAATTTATAATATATATACAGGCAGTAAGTTGATTACAGTGTAGGTGATTGCAGTGTTTAAATATAGAACTGTGAATAAAGGTATACATTTTCCGAAAAGAAATATCACTAAAATTAATAATTAAAAATTTTTAAAAATTGAAGTTAGTCATTCTGTCAACTGAAAGGCTCAATTATCATTTCCATTATTTCAACTCGAAAGTTGTCCTATACATAATGAAAAATATTCAAAGAAGTAAACCTCAAGAGTAACTAAAAAGTTTACGTAAGCAATGTAATGTCGGCCAGAGGTGATCAGCCTCTTATCACTTCAATCTATTTTAAAGCTTGGTCATGGTTCCACTTAGCCGTTGTGACTATAAAAAGAATATGGCAAAAAGCAGTTACACTGATAATAATATAATAGAAACATGGAGTAATACAAATCATGGTTTGAAGCTTAGTATGTTTCGTGAACACAAGGCAAGCGCTACTTCCTATAATGATAATTAATAATCTGGTAAAAATATTGCTATCAATTTGGTCCCAAAACCTAACGAAACCCTCTTAACAGTTAAGTTTCTCGATCAAAGTAATTTCATTTAAGAAACTGATCGTGGAACTTAATACTGTGTAAGGGCCATTAGATTGATAACTGTTTTACGTCATATTTCTTCTTATGTAAAACATTCACTATGGTGTGATGGGCCGGATATATTTTGTACATTGTTATTTATTTTTTTCTGTTGGCACAACAGAAGTTGTAGATTTGTTAGCGCCTTAACTGTCGCATCTCTGCCTGTCTTGGGCTATTTATTTCCAGTTATCTGCACGTAGCTCTGTTGGATCGTTGTTTATTCTATCTATCCATCTGCTTTTTGGCCTTCCACGTTGTCTTTTGCCTTCTATTGAGGCATTCATTGTTAGGTAGAGGCTTTCAGATGGATTGCTCCGAGCTACATGCCCCGCCCACCTTAACCTTCGTGCCTTCATACCATGGGATATTGATTGTAAGCGGTTCTTCATTGGTCTTTCTTCTCCATAAGTTAGTATTCTGATTTTTTTCTCAAATCTTTCAATACTTTTTTTTTTTGTTAGTGTCCAGGTATCACAGCCATATATATGAGAACTGGCTTTATCATAGCATTATACATTATTCATTTAAGATTGCTCGAAATTTCTAATTCCTTTGAAAGGGAGAAGAAAGCTTTGTTTGCGCTAGTTATACGCTGGTCTATTTCTGACTGTTGGTCGTTGGATGAGGTTATTTGAATTTTCTTCCTCTCTGGAACGACTTCCCTTCTATGCAGGTCCTGTAATTCGAGTGAAATTTTCGGCTTATCGTAATATATTTTGTTTTGCCTTCATATATTTCACTTGGTACAATTACAAACCATAATTGAACCAGTATTAGATTTCAATTAACCGAAAAAACTTCAAGAGAGAGGGGA